AGTGGTTTGCCAGGCGCTGGAGGCGTGCTGCTGGTGCTGGAGGTTCTTCGGCTGCAGAGGGTACTGCTGCCGAGCGTCCCGGCGGTGCTCGTACTGTGGGTGCTGGAGCTGCTGGGTCTAAGGGTTCTCCTGGAGCTGGTGCTGCTGAGGGTGTTGACGCTGAGACTGCTGCTGGAGGTCCGACTGGTGGTGCTCCTGGTGGTGCTGCTGGAGGTTCTGGAGCTACTGGAGGTACTGCTGGAGCGGGTGCTCCTGCTGGGGGTAGTGGTGCTGTCCCTGCTGTTTCTGGCGTCGCCGTGCGGCCCCGGCCGTACTTCGTTCCGCTCCTGCAGCAGGTTCTTGGTCTTACACCTTCTCCTAGTCCTCCTCCTCCTCCCTTAGAGGGTCCACAGCCTGTCTCGTCACAGTCACAGCTACAGCCTGCCTCACCTTTGCCTGCTCCTTCTCCCTACGCTAGTCCGACTGGAGGTCTTACTGAGCGTCGTGAGCTTGCGTCTCGTCCTGCGTCGCCTGTTCGTACTGCGCGCACTAGTGGTCGTGGTTCGCGTCAGCGTCCTCCTCCTGTCCCTGGCACGCACCGGATGTCTCTGCGTCCGTCCACTGCTCCTCTGCGTGCCCCTTTGCCTTCTCCTCCTGCTTCCTCTCTTCCTGCTCTTGCCGACCCGGAGTCGGACTCTCTTCGTGCTGCCAGTCCTACTGTCACGCCTCTTCTTGCTACTACTGTCACTGACCCTTCTTTCGAGTCTTCTGCTGCGTCTGCCCTTGTCACTGAGCTCGTCGACTTTGCTGCGCGCTGTCGTCTAGACTACGCTGCTAGTCTTGTCGCTGAGTCTGAGTCTGCCTGTCCTCCGTCCGTCGGGGGTGAGTGTGCCCTTGGCACGGACGTCCTTGAGGACAAGCAGGAGGAGTTCCAGTGTCTGGCCGCCGCTTCACCTCATCTCGCGTCTGTACTGCTAGCCTCTGAGGGAGACCCGGATGCACTAGACATCCCGACTCCGCGCTCTTATGCGGAGGCGATAGAGGGTCCCTACTCCTCTCAGTGGCAGGCAGCTATGGATGCAGAGATGGCTTCCTGGAAGTCCACAAGCACCTACGTCGACGCTGTTCCCCCTCCTGGGGCGAACATCGTCAGTAGCATGTGGATTTTCAGGGTGAAGCGGCCGCCGGGTTCTCCGCCTGTCTTCAAGGCGCGTTACGTGGCTCGTGGCTTCAGTCAGCGGCAGGGGGTTGACTACTTTCAGACCTTCTCCCCCACCCCGAAGATGACCACTCTTCGGGCACTGCTGCACATTGCTGCTCACCGTGACTACGAGCTGCACTCTCTCGACTTCAGCACAGCTTTCTTGCAGGGCAGCCTGCACGAGGAGATCTGGCTGCGTCGCCCACCTGGCTTCACTGGGTCTTTCCCTCCTGGTACCCAGTGGAGTCTCCGGCGTCCAGTCTACGGTCTCCGCCAGGCGCCACGTGAGTGGCACGACAAACTGAGGACTACGCTTGCGGCACTTGGGTTTGCTCCTTTTAGTGCCGACCCGTCGCTGTTTCTGCGCACCGACACCTCTCTGCCGCCGTTCTACATCCTCGTGTACGTCGACGACTTGGTCTTTGCCACAGCGGACACTGCTGGACTCGCATACGTGAAGTCCGAGCTGCAGAAGAGACACACGTGCACTGACCTGGGTGAACTGCGCAGCTACCTTGGCTTGCAGATCACTCGGGACAGAGCACGCCGCACCATTACCCTGACTCAGTCACACATGGTGCAGCAGGTCCTTCAGCGCTTCGGCTTCACGTACTCCTCGCCTCAGGCCACTCCTCTGCCTACTCGCCACTCGCTCTCAGCTCTGCCTTCGGATGAGTCCGTAGAGTCGAGTGGCCCGTATGCAGAGCTTGTTGGCTGCCTCATGTACCTGATGACCTGCACACGACCTGACCTTGCATACCCTCTCAGCATTCTCGCACGCTATGTTGCTCCTGGGAGACACCGACCAGAGCACATGGCTGCAGCGAAGAGGGTGTTGCGCTACTTGTGCAGTACGTCGGGCATGAGGCTAGTGCTTGGAGGGCGCAGTCCAGTGGTCCTCACTGGGCACGCGGACGCTTCTTGGGCTGACGACCAGGCTACGCAGCGGTCGTCATAGGGTTACACCTTCGACCTTGGTTCCGGCTCTGTCTCGTGGCGTGCTACTCGCTCGTCTTCTGTTCTCGGCTCCAGTTGTGAGGCTGAGATCTACGCCGGGGCTATGGCTGCTCAGGAGCTTCGCTGGCTCACCTACCTGCTGACCAACCTTGGAGAGCCGCCTCGTTCTCCTCCAGTCCTGTACGTAGACAACAAAGCCATGTAGGCCTTGTGTCGAGAGCAGCGACTGGAGCACACGACAAAGCACATTGCTCTCCGCTACTTTCTTGCTCGTGAGCTGCAGCAGTGTGGACTGTTGCGACTTGCGTACGTGGCCTCTGAGGCCAACACTGCTGATGTCTTCACCAAGGCACTTGCGCCTTGTGATCATCAGCGTTGCTGCACGCAGCTGGGTCTTGTGCCTGTCTTGCCTCACTTGCTCACTTCTTGACCTTGCTTGTACCTTGACCTATATATACTCTTGCTCTTGCTTGCTTGACTCTTGTATATCTCTATATATGATCTTGCATGCGAACTGGCCTTGTGGCCCTTGACCTTGCGCTCGGAATGTGTGGTGACTTTGTGATCCACCCTGAGCTTTGCTTTGCTTTGCTTGACTTGTCTTGTGACCCCTTGTTCTCCCCCACTTTGCCTATGGGGGTGTGTCAGAATATTATAGCTTACTTATTTGTGTAGGCTATAGTGGGGTATCCCATAGGGGGTACAACCCAATTAGAGTTTCATATTTGTACTCACTTCATTCATAGTTCATTCATTCTCGTTCAGTTTTTCACACGGCGACGGGGCCGCGTAGGGTGAGAGGCGGCGACGGGGCCGCTAGGGGCGGCGACGGGGCTGCTAAGGGCGGCGACGGGGCCGCGGAGGGGCGGCGACGGGGCCGCTAGGGGCGGCGCCGGGGCCGCTAAGGGCGGCAACGGGGCCGTGTAGGGTGAGAGGCGGCGACGGGGCCGCTAGGGGCGGCAACGGGGCCGCTAAGGGCGGCGACGGGGCCTCATAGGGGCGGTAACGGGGCCGCTAGGGGCGGCGACGAGGCCGCTAGGGGCCACTAGGGGCTTGGAAAGGGCGGGAAAAAGGCGCGCCTCGGGCAGGAGCGACTGGCGCTCCGGTCAGAAAGGAAGTTTTCAGTGGTGGGCCCAAGGAAGCGTTCCCACTAGGGGACCTGCTCTGATAATATGTGAAGAATGAGGAATGAATGAACTGCACAAAGTTGGGTACAAGTAGGAAACCCTAGGAAACTGTACCCCATAGTGTCTACCCCACTATAGCCTACATAAGCTATTTAATATGAGTTTGACAGTTGTCAGAATATTATCTTATTGTTCTAGCATGTGGGGTGGCGGGTATGGGGGTGGTCGGTGTGCCTTCCTCCCTTTCTCCTCCTCCTCCTTCGTCTCCCACTGCTGTAGCTGTCGCTGAGGGGGGTGGTTGTGTGGGAGACTGGGTTTCGGGTTTAAGGGGGGTGTGTGGGAGTAGAGCTAGTGGTGTAGCAGTGGGTGTGTATCAGGGGGGTGGGACTGTGTGCGGGAGGATGAGCGGAGGTTGCCAGTTTGTCGTCAGCAGCACCTGTAGTCCGGGGCGCTGTCCCGGTAGCCCAGTCGTAGCCAGCTGTGCCAGCCGCCCGTGGGTCCGTTGCCCGTCCGCCGCTATTTGAGCCGCGGGGCCTGTTACTCCTGTAGTCCGGGCGCTGTCCGGTAGCCGCTGTGCCAGTCTGCCTCCTGTTGCCCGTGTGTCTGCAGCTTCAGCCGTCGCCTCCTGTCTCCTCTCCCCTCACTCTCCCTCCTCCTCCTCACTTGCCCGTTGTGACTACCACTAGCTTTGCTTATAATTGTGAACTCTAAACTATTTCTTCTTGAACTTGTGCTCAGAATGTGTGGTGACATTGTGATCCACCCTGAGCTTGTTTTGCTTTGCCTGCTCTGCTGATTACACCCCACTTTGGCTATGGGGGTGTGTCAGAATATTATCTTATTGTTCTAGCCTGTAGTGGGGTGCTCTATAGCGAGTACAACTCTTCTAGGGTTTGCTATTTGTATCCTCATTCTTGCTAGTTCAATCCTCTTTCTTCCTTCAAACTTTGACAACAGTATCTCTTGTAATAGAATCATTATGTTAGAAACATTAATATAGAGTAAATACATTATAATTATACTTTGCTTATAGAAGCAATTCATTAAGCTCTTCATTTTTACTTAAAACAGGTCAAGGTCGATAGTTCCCTATTATGAAGCGAAATTTTCTATAGATGTTGCTTCCCTCAAATTTGTTAATTAATTGTGGAACAACGTGGACATGTATGCTATTTTTGTGATTTTTATAGACATTAATTGTTTTAACCAACAACTTAACTCCATTGTTCTTTCAGGTTGTTATAGCGGGTTGGGCGTTTGGCATCACTGAATGCCCTCCTTCTGTGCTGGCATTAGGGCGTGCTACATTTTTTTAAGTCGCTGATAGTCCTGACGGCTGTCCGGATACGTGCGAAAATCGCGACGTCGTATGGTCGCGTTGCGACCAATTCAATGTCATAAGGAGGCAATACGAAGAATGGGACGTCGTTTGGACCCTGACGAACTCTATGCTGAGATTTAACGAGTCCAGTAACCGTCAGGACGAAAAAATGAAAAATGTAACATGCCCAAAATTTTCTCGCTCTGCTGGCAGAATTTTTCTCGTTCTGCGCTGGCAACCGTCTCTTTCACAGCTCGAATTCGGCGCTGTCTTTTCTTGGTTCTTGTTCTTGAATCTTCTCGACAATAACCTGCTCTGCTCCTACTCCTTTCTCGCCAGTTCTTCTCGCCAGTTCTTCTCCCACCTAGCCGTCGCTCTCGCTCCATCCAGCCGTATCCTCTCCCTCACTACCCGCTTACACCTCTCCAACCCACCTCACAATCACTCCGTCCCATCCACCCCGCCACCTCCTCTCCCTTACCTCCCTGCCGTCGCCTCCCTCCTCCTCGCCGACGCCTCCCTCCTCCCCGCCGTCGCCTATCCTCCTCCCCATCGTCGCATCTCCCCCCGCCGACGCCTCTCCCTCCTCCCCGCCGTCGCCTCCCTCCTTCCCGCCGTCGCCTCTCCTCCTCCCCGCCGTCGCCTCTCCTCCTCCCCGCCGTCGCATCTCCTCCTTCCCTGCCGTCGCCTCTCCTCCTCCCCGCCGTCGCCTTTCCCTCCTCCCCACGGTCGCCTCTCCCTCCTCCCCGCCGTCGCCTCTCGCTCCTCCCCGCGGTCGCCTCTCCCGACTCCCCGCCGTCGCCTCTCCTTCCCTCCCCGGCGTCTCGTCCGGCGAGAGGTGCACGAGCGCAAGCGCGAATCGGTGTGCGAGCGCGGGTTATTTTCTCAGGCACCGTGGTTATCAGGTGCGTTCCTGGTCCTTCCGTCCTCCCTTCCCCCTTCTGAAATTTCTGTCCTGTTCTGTTTTGTTTTGATTTGATTTTTTTTGTTTCTCTCCAATGTGTCGATTGATCTCCACTTGCATTGCACTTTCATTTGAAGAAGAAAGAGATGGAGCGCGAGGGAGAGCGTGTGCGCATATGAGAGCGTGTGAGAGAGCGCGTGAGAGAGCGCGTGAGAGAGCGCGTGAGAGAGCGCATGAGGGTGGGCGTGAGAGAGCGCGTGAGAGAGAGAGAACGCGGTGAGAATGCGAGAGAGAGAGCGCGAGAGAGAGAGAGTGCGTGAGAGTGTGCCTAAGAGTGCGCCTTGAGAGAGCGCATGAGAGAGTGCGTGAGAGAGCACGACAGGGCGCATGAGAGCGCGTGAGAGAGCGCGTGAGAGAGCACATGAGAGAGTGCGTGAAAGTGCGCGTGAGAGTGAGCATGAGAGAGCGCGTGAGGGAGCGTGTGTGAGTGCGGGTGAGAGCGCGAGAGAGAGAATGCGTGTGATAGTCCGCGAGAGAGAGAATGTGGTGAGACTGCGCGAGAGAGAGCGCGAGAGGGAGTGCGTGAGAGTGTGCCTGAGAGTGCGCGAGGGAGCGCGTGAGGGAGCATGAGAGAGCGCGTGAGAGTGCGCATGAGAGAGCGGGTGAGAGAACGCGTGTCAGAGCGCGTGAGAGAGCGCGTGTGAGAGCACGTGAGAGAGCGTGTGAGGGAGCGTGTGAGGATGCGCGTGAGAGAGCGTTTGAGAGAGAGAATGTGCGTGAGAGTGCGCGAGAGAAAGGACGTAAGAGAGAGAATGCCCGTGAGAGAGCGTTTGAGAGAGAGAATGTGTGTGAGAGTGCGCGAGAGAAAGGACGTAAGAGAGAGAATGCACGTGTGCGTGCGGGAAAAAGAGCACGAAAGAGAGCGCTTGAGAGTGCCCCTAAGAGTGCGCCTTGATAGAGCGCGTGAGAGAGCGCGTGAGAGAGCGCATGAGAGAGCGCGTGAGAGAGAGCGTGAGAGAGCGCGTGAGAGAGCGCGTGAGAGAGCGCGTGAGAGAGCGCAAGAGAGCACGTGCGTGAGAGCGCGTGAGAGAGCACATGAGAGAGTGCGTGAAAGTGCGCGTGAGGGTGAGCATGAGAGAGCGCATGAGGGAGCGTGTGTGAATGCGCGTGAGAGCGCGAGAGAGAGAATGCGTGTGATAGTCCGCGAGAGAGAGAATCTGGTGAGAGTGCGCGAGAGAGAGCGCGAGAGGGAGTGCGTGAGAGTGTGCCTGAGAGTGCGCGAGGGAGCGCGTGAGGGAGCGTGAGAGAGCGCGTGAGAGTGCGCATGAGAGAGCGGGTGAGAGAACGCGTGTGAGAGCGCGTGAGAGAGTGCGTGTGAGAGCGTGTGAGAGAGCGTGTGAGGGAGCGTATGAGGGTGCGCGTGAGAGGGCGTTTGAGAGAGAGAATGTGCGTGAGAGTGCGCGAGAGAAAGGACGTAAGAGAGAGAATGCGCATGAGCGTGCGGGAAAAAGAGCGCGAAAGAGAGCACTTGAGAGTGCCCCTAAGAGTGCGCCTTGATAGAGCGCGTGAGAGAGCGCGTGAGAGACTGCGCGTGAGAGAGTGCATGAGAGAGCACGTGTGTTGCGGTATCCTATTTTTGCTTTCTTGTAGACAGTGTAGGAACATGCACTGATTTTTGTGCAAGGTATGTTTTGCTTCCTTGTGCAGGGCGTGTGTGTGTTGACTTCCCTGTTTTAACTTTGTGCAGGGCGTGTGTGTGTTGACTTTCCTGTTTTTTCCTGGGCGTGTGTGTGTTGACTTCACTGATTTTGCTTTGTGCAGGGCGCGTGTCAGAACATCATAGCTTACATATTTGTGTAGGCTATAGTGGGGTATCCCATAGGGGGTACAACCCAGCTAGGGTTTCCTATTTGTACTCACTTCGTTCATAGTTCACACATTCTCGTTCAATTCTTCTCATGGAATCAGAGCAGGTCCCCTCCTAGGGACTGTTCCTAGGGCCCACCGAAGCGCGCCCCGAGGCGCGCGTTCTTTTTTTTTTTTAGCGACCCTGCGTGTCGCCCCTACCGTCGCGCTCCCGCTGCTCCCTCCTCTTACGGCCGCCCGCCCTTGCGCCCTGACGGCCGCCCGCCCTAGCGCCCTGACGGCCGCCCGCCCTAGCGCCCTGACGGCCGCCCGCCCCAGCGCCCGAGCGCCGCCCGCCCTAGCGCCCGAGCGCCGCCCGCCCTAGCGCCCAAGCGCCGCCCGCCCTATAGCCCTGACGGCCGCCCGCCCTAGCGCCCGAGCGCCGCTCGCCCTAGCGCCCTGACGGCCGCCCGCCCTAGCGCCCGTCCGCCACTCGCCCGAGCGCCCTGACGGCCGGCCGCCCGCCCTTGCGCCCGAGCGCCGCCCGCCCTTTCACCCTTACGGCCGCCCGCCCGAACGCCTGAGCGCCGCCCGCCGTCGCCCCAACGCCCTCGCGCCCAACGCCCGCGAGCCGCCCGTCCCAGCCGCCCGTGAGCTCCCTGAGCCGCCCGCGCCGCCGTCCATGAGCCGCCCGCGCCGCCGTCCCTGAGCCGCCTGTGCAGCCGCCCGCGAGCCGCCAGTGAGCCGCCCGTCGCGACACCAGCGCCGCACGAGCCGCCCGTACAGCCCAGCAGCCCGAGCCGCCCGAGCCGCCCGCGTCGCCCCAGCAACCCGAGCCGCCCGAGCCGCCCGAGCCGCCCGAGCCGCGCGAGCCGCCCGAGCCGCCCCAGCCGCCCGAGCCGCCCGAGCCGCCCGAGCCGCCCGCGCCGCCCCAGCAACCCGAGCCGCCCGAGCCGTGCCGCTGTTCCTGAGCTGTGTTCTTCTGCTGCTGCACTACCCGACTCTCCCAGCCCGGTGAGACTTTCGGCTGCTGCCATGGCCACCCCCAATGTCCTTACTTTTGACACTGAGGGGAGGGCCATTGACTTTGCCGTCTGGATTGAAGACCTGCAGCTGTACTTACTATGTGATGCGATAGATGAGGTCTCTCTCTTTGACTTTGTCTCTGGCGCTGTCCCTGCCCCACCTGCTGATGCTGACTCTGCCGTTCGCTCCAAGTGGGCGACCCGCGATGCTGCTGCACGTCTTGCTGTGCGTCGCCACCTCCCTTCCTCTGAGCGTGCCCACTTTAGTCAGTGCAAGACCGCTCAGGCCTTGTACGACGCTGTAGTTGCACGCTACTCCTCCCCTTCCTCCGCTACCCTTAGCCGCCTCATGCTACCGTTTCTCTTCCCTGACCTCGCCTCCTTTCCCACTGTTGCTGACCTCGTTACCCACCTCCGTGCTAATGACACCCGCTACCGCGCTGCCCTTCCTGCTGAGTTCCGCGCTGCGAACCCTCCTCCCATGTACATCACTCTCTACTTTCTCGTCACCCGTCTCCCTGAGTCCCTTCGTGCCGTTAGGGACCAGTTTCTCTCTGTCTGTCCCACCACTCTCACTGTCGATCTCCTTGAGGAGTCCCTGCTAGCGGCTGAGAAGAGTATTGTCGCTGTAGGGGCCTCTCGGGGTGACCCTCGCACCCCCATCTTTGAGGGGTGTGGTCCTTCCCCCCTGCTGCCCTCTGTCGCCTCTGCCGCTGCGGCCGACCTCACTGGTTTTGAGTCGGTCGGTGCGGCGTCTGCCCCCAGCGGCAGACGCCGCTCTGGCAAGGGCAAGGGGGGCAAGGGAGCGGGTGGAGCTAGAGGAGGCGGTGGAGGAGGCGGTGGGGGTGGCGGGGGGAGTGGGGGTGGCGGTGGGGGTGGTGGCGGGAGTGGAGGTACTGGTGGCGGCGGTGGAGGCGGAGGTGGCGGCGGAGGTGGTAGCGGAGGAGGAGGTGGGAGCGGTGGGAGCGACGGTCCTGGTGGGGGAGGTGGCGGTGGAGACGGGGGTGGCGGTGGAGGCGGGGGTGGCGGTGGAGGCGGGGGTCGGAGTGGCTCGTCCCAGCGGAGCAGCGCTGGGGGTGGTCAGCGCCAGCAGCAGCAGCAGCGCTCTCGCACCGTCCCCGGCCCTCAGCAGCTCCGTGAGTGGTACTTGCAGCGTCAGCGTGGTGGTGCGCTTGGTCCCTGCCCCTACGTTCTTCGCACAGGTGACCGTGCAGGGGAGAGGTGTGGAGGCGCCCACACAGCCCGCCGCTGCTTTGGCCGCCTGACCGACGCCTGGCGTCAGCAGTTTCCGGAGGCCGCTGAGATCCCCCGCTGGGGAGAGCTGTCTAGGGCTGGTGTAGCTATTTATGATCTTGATTTTGATGCTATTCTCTCTGCTATGTATGCTGTGACTGGTAGTGATGAGGATGACTGTTACCGGTGTTTCCCGCCCGACCCGGGCATTGGTACTGCCGCGTCAGGTACTAGTGAGGCTGCTGCTCTAGGTGCCAGTGCGTCTGTGCTCTCAGGTACTGGTGAGTCTGCCCTCTCAGGTACTGTGTCGGCTTCGGCCTCTCACACCTTCACCCTTGACTCTGGAGCTTCTCGCTCCTTCTTTAGGGACCGCACCACTCTCACGCCGCTGAGTCGGCCGGTTGCGGTGTCCCTGGCTGACCCCTCTGGGGGGCCTGTCCTGTCTCGCTTCTCCACTGTCCTCCCGTGTCCGGCGGCCCCCTCTGGCACCCTGACTGGTCTCTACCTCCCCTCGTTCTCGACGAACTTGGTGAGTGGTGCTGACCTCCAGGATGCGGGTGTCCACCAGTTCACCCCTGCTCGTCAGCGGGTGACCCACTGCACGGAGGCGGATACAGGTCGCCACCTGGCTACGTTTACACGTCGGCCAGGGTCGAGCCTCTACACACTGACCACTGCTTCTCCTCCAGGTGCTGAGTCTGGTAGGGTCCCTTCGTCTGGTCAGGTGTTTGCTGCAGCGTCCAGGTCTGGTCCTGAGTCTGCCCCCTGCTCGTGTCGTCGTCTGTCTCACGAGACCCTCCTCTGGCACCACCGCCTTGGCCACCCCTCTCTGCTTCGGCTCAGAGGCATGGTCTCGCGAGTCCTTGTGTCTGGTCTTCCCAGGTCTCTCCCTCCCCTTCCTCCGGGCCCTGGCCCCACCTGTGTCCCCTGTGTCGAGGGGCGCCAGAGTGCTGCCCCTCACTCCTCCCCGTTTCCTCCGACAGAGGCCCCGCTGCAGACGCTTCACATGGACGTGTGGGGCCCAGCCCGCGTCCGTGGACAGGGTCAGGAGCGCTACTTCCTGCTGGTGGTTGACGACTACTCGCGTTACACCACAGTCTTCCCCTTGCGCAGCAAGGGTGAGGTCACTGAGGTGTTGATCGACTGGATCCGCGCAGCTCGTCTCCAGCTTCGGAGGAGCTTTGGCTCTGACTTCCCTGTTTTACGTCTGCACTCGGACAGAGGCGGAGAGTTCTCCTCTGGCCTCCTGAGTGCCTACTGTCGTTCGCGAGGCATCCGTCAGACCTTCACGCTTCCGGACTCACCACAGCAGAATAGGATTGCTGAGCGCCGCATTGGCATGGTCATGGATGTCGCTCGTACGTCCATGATGCATGCGGCTGCTCCCCATTTTCTGTGGCCGTTTGCGGTCAGTTACGCTGCGCACCAGATCAACCTCCACCCCAGGGTCTCTCGACCGGAGACCTCCCCAGCCCTGCTGTGGACCGGGAAAGTTGGCGATGCGTCGGCGTTCCGGGTCTGGGGATCTCGGGCGTTTGTTCGCGACCTGTCTGCGGACAAGCTGTCCCCTCGTGCTTCTCCCTGCGTCTTCCTGGGGTTCCCCCCCGACGCCCCTGGGTGGCAGTTTTACCACCCCACCTCTCGACGTGTTCTGTCCTCCCAGGACGTTACGTTCGACGAGTCGGTACCCTACTACCGCCTCTTCCCCTACCGCACTCCGTCCCTCCCCCCACCCCCGCTCTTCTTGGTACCAGGTCCCCCCCCGGTAGTCCCCCTCCCCCCTCAGGGTCCTGCCCCTTCAGGTGTGTCCCAGGTAGACGCGGTCGACCCTGTCGAGGTCACTGGTGACTCTGGTGCTGCTGCGGGAGCTGAGCCTAGGGGTGCGGAGTCTGGGGGTGCTGAGCCTGGAGGTGCCGAGTCTGGGGGTGCTGAGCCTAGGGGTGCTGGGCCTGGGGGTGCTGAGCCTGGAGGTGCCGAGTCTGGGGGTGCTGTGCCTGGGGGTGCTGAGCCTGGGGGTGCCGAGTCTGGGGGTGCTATGCCTGGGGGTGCTGAGCCTGGAGGTGATGCGCCTGGGGGTGCTGTGCCTGGGGTTGCTGAGCCTGGGGGTGCTAGGCCTGGGGGTGCTGTGTCTAGGGGTGCTGAGCCTGGAGGTGCTGTGCCTGGGGGTGCTTCGTCTCGCCGGGAGCCACTCTCCCCACAGGAGCTGCGTGAGTGGTTTGCCAGACGCTGGAGGCGTGCTGCTGGTGCTGGTGGTTCTTCGGCTGCAGAGGGTACTGCTACCGCGCGTCCCGCCGGTGCTCGTACTGTGGGTGCTGGAGCTGCTGGGTCTGAGAGTTCTCCTGGAGCTGGTCCTGCTGAGGGTGTTGGCGCAGAGCCTGCCGTTGGCGGTCCGACTAACAGTGCTCCGGGTGCTGCGGCTGGAGGTTCTGGAGCTTCTGGTGGTGCTGCTGGAGGTGCTGCTGGAGTGGGTGCTCCTGCCGGGGCTGCTGGTGCTGTTCCTGCTGTTTCTAGCGTCGCCGCGCGGCCCCGACCGTACTTCGTTCCGCTCCTGCAGCAGGTTCTTGGTCTTACACCTCCTCCTCCTCCCTTAGAGGGTCCGCAGCCTGTCCGGTCACAGCCACAGCTACAGCCTGCCTCCCCTTTGCCTGCTCCTTCTCCCTACGCTGGTCCGACTGGAGGTCTTACTGAGCGTCGTGAGCCTGCGTCTCGTCCTGTGTCGCCTGTTCGTACTGAGCGCGCTAGTGGTCGCGGGTCGCGTCAGCGTCCTCCTCCTGTCCCTGGCACGCACCGGATGTCACTGCGTCCGTCCACTGCTCCTCTGCGTGCCCCTTTGCCTTCTCCTCCTGCTTCCTCTCTTCCTGCTCTTGCCGACCCGGAGTCGGACTCTCTTCGTGCTGCCAGTCCTACTGTCACGCGTCTCCTGGCTACTGCTGTCACTGACCCCTCCTTCGAGTCGTCTGCTGCGTCTGCCCTTGTCACTGAGCTTGTCGACTTTGCTGCGCGCTGTCATCTAGACTACGCTGCTCGTCTTGTCACTGAGTCTGAGTCCGCCTGTCCTCCGTCCGTCGGGGGTGAGTGTGCCCTTGGCACGGACGTCCTTGAGGACAGGCAGGAGGAGTTCCAGTGTCTGGCCGCCGCTTCACCTCGTCTCGCGTCTGTACTGCTAGCCCCTGAGGGAGACCCGGATGCACCAGACATCCCGACTCCGCGCTCTTACGCGGAGGCGATAGAGGGTCCCTACTCCTCTCAGTGGCAGGCAGCTATGGATGCAGAGATGGCTTCCTGGAAGTCCACAGGCACCTACGTTGACGCTGTTCCCCCTCCTGGGGCGAACATCGTCAGTGGCATGTGGATTTTCAGGGTGAAGCGGCCGCCGGGTTCTCCGCCTGTCTTCAAGGCGCGTTACGTGGCTCGAGGCTTCAGTCAGCGGCAGGGGGTTGACTACTTTCAGACCTTCTCCCCCACCCCGAAGATGACCACTCTTCGGGTTCTGCTGCACGTTGCTGCTCACCGTGACTACGAGCTGCACTCTCTCGACTTCAGCACAGCTTTCTTGCAGGGCAGCCTGCACGAGGAGATCTGGCTGCGTCGCCCACCTGGCTTCACTGGGTCTTTCCCTCCTGGTACCCAGTGGAGTCTCCGGCGTCCAGTCTACGGTCTCCGCCAGGCGCCACGTGAGTGGCACGACACACTGAGGACTACGCTCGCGGCACTTGGGTTTGCTCCTTCCACTGCCGACCCGTCGCTGTTTCTGCGCACCGACACCTCTCTGCCGCCGTTCTACATCCTCGTGTACGTCGACGACTTGGTCTTTGCCACAGCTGACACTGCTGGACTCGCCTACGTGAAGTCCGAGCTGCAGAAGAGACACACGTGCACTGACCTGGGTGAACTGCGCAGCTACCTTGGCTTGCAGATCACCCGGGACAGAGCACGCCGCACCATTACCCTGACTCAGTCACACATGGTGCAGCAGGTCCTTCAGCGCTTCGGCTTCACGTACTCCTCGCCTCAGGCCACTCCTCTGCCTACTCGCCACTCGCTCTCAGCTCTGCCTTCGGATGAGTCCGTAGAGTCGAGTGGCCCGTTTGCAGAGCTTGTTGGCTGCCTCATGTACCTGATGACCTGCACACGACCTGACCTCGCATACCCTCTTAGCATTCTCGCACGCTTTGTTGCTCCTGGGAGACACCGACCAGAGCACATGGCTGCAGCGAAGAGGGTGTTGCGCTACTTGTGGAGTACGTCGGGCATGGGGCTAGTGCTTGGAGGGCGCAGTCCAGTGGTCCTCACTGGGCACGCAGACGCTTCTTGGGCTGACGACCAGGCTACGCAGCGGTCGTCACAGGGTTACACCTTCAGCCTTGGTTCCGGCTCTGTCTCGTGGCGGGCTACCCGCTCGTCTTCTGTTCTCGGCTCCAGTTGTGAGGCTGAGATCTACGCTGGGGCTATGGCTGCACAGGAGTTACGCTGGCTCACCTACCTGCTGACCGACCTTGGAGAGCAGCCTCGTTCTCCTCCAGTCCTGTACGTAGACAACAAGGCCATGCTGGCCTTGTGTCGAGAGCAGCGACTGGAGCACAGAACGAAGCACATTGCTCTTCGCTACTTTCTTGCTCGTGAGCTACAGCAGCGTGGACAGCTGCGACTTGCGTACGTGGCCTCTGAGGCCAACACTGCTGATGTCTTCACCAAGGCACTTGCACCTTGTGATCATCAGCGTTGCTGCACGCAGTTGGGTCTTGTGCCTGTCTTGCCTCACTTGCTCTTCTCTTGACCTTGCTTGTACCTTCGCATATATATACTCTTGCTCTTGCTTGCTTGACTCTTGTATATCTCTATATATGATCTTGCATGTGAACTGGCCTTGTGGCCTTTGAACTTGTGCTCGGAATGCGTGGTGACTTTGTGATCCACCCTGAGCTTTGCTTTGCTTTGCTTGACTGGTCTTGTGACCCCTTGTTCTCCCCCACTTTGCCTATGGGGGTGTGTCAGAACATCATAGCTTACATATTTGTGTAGGCTATAGTGGGGTATCCCATAGGGGGTACAACCCAGCTAGGGTTTCCTATTTGTACTCACTTCGTTCATAGTTCACACATTCTCGTTCAATTCTTCTCGGCGCGTGCGTGAGCTGAGAAGGGAGATGAGGGAGTGGGATGGAGATGAGGGAAGGAGGGAGGGAGGGTTGTAGGGAGGGTAAGGTGGGATAGGTTAGGAATTATTGATTCTGAATTTTATTTATGACGGTTGTATGTTTATTACGGTATCTGTATTTCTCTGTGCTTGTTTGCGCGTGTGTGCATGTCTGTTCGTTGTGTTTGTTTCACTGTGGGGTTGCTCTTCGATCCGTTCATAACCGTTACGCGGTGTTGTAGACTTTTTACGTGCGTTTGCATTCGTGTTTGTGGGATGTGTGTTTCAAAGTGTGGTGTTATTGTATGTCATGTATGCAATTAGAGGTTGTTAATTGTCTTTGGGGCAGCGGGTTTCCGCTGTTTCAACGACCCCATCAACCTCTGTTGCTGCATCATGCATTTTAACATTCATTTTGAAGCATCCATTCCACCTCATACCTTGTTGTTCATTCGTTCATGTTAATGCCAGAATTTTATGCTCAGCCGTACGATCCGCCGTATTTATCGACGAGGTTGGGACGCTCGAGCAAGTTCATGGTTTCAACATGATTCGTATGTGCGTTCCGGTATTTGGTTTTACATATGGGGATGTCATTCAAAGGTGTTTGTTATCCATTATTTGAGGCATTTGTTTGAACACAGTTTCAAAACATTCAAATCGGGTGCTCCAAAAAGTGTGTAAATACACTCTTCAAATGATATCCCCAAAATTTGAAACCAAATATAAAGGGTTGCTACCAAAAATTCATTACACATGCAGCCATTTTTCCCTAGATGAGTAAGGAATTCATAACGTTTTGGTTTCGGAGCCGAGTCGCTTGCTGCTTGCTGGTCACATCGATTGGGAGTGCTTGCTGCCCGCTGTTGATTCGACGGCATGCCTGAAAACGAACGGGCGATGGTAGTGGAGCGTCGGTTTGTCCGTCACCCGTCGCCTGTCAGCACGCACTTTTCCGACATGCACTGCTGCTAGTCACCGAGACAACAGTCCTTGAATATCAAAATCGGAAAGCGACGTCTATCTTTGCCTGTCATGTCGACTCTTGCACCGCCTCAGACTAGCACACCAAGGGTTTCCTCCCTCTACCTGCCTGAAAACATCACATACCGGAGCATGCCGTCCCTGCCTGTCCTTCCGCCTCGAGACGACGAAACAGTTAACCTTGTACTTTCGGTGCGCTGTGCGGAGCACTGTACCAGCGTCGCGACCACAAACAAGGTTCCAGAATCATCCAGTTGGTCAAATCTTACCGTTGGTTTGTGCTCTTGAAAGTGACGTGCGGTGCAGATGATGTCATTCGTCTCTCGGATGACCAGTGAGGTTGGAATCACCGCCTCTCCGGATCAATTTCCTCTAGCGTGCCCCACCCACATGGCGATGTTCGCCAATCGCTTTCGCCAAGTGCATTTGCACGGAAATATCGAACCGCGTCGCTCTGCATGGAAGAGAGGCGATACGCGAGACGGAGCGATGCGTCCACCGGAGCATGCGAGAGGCGATAAGAGGGGGAGAGAACCGACCCATTCGTTTCATGCATTGACTTGCTTCCGTAAATTCGTGAATTGAGCCGCAGAACAGCACGGCCTCGTTTGCATTCCCATTGAACCTCTCGACGACGTGCTGCGTGCTGCGTGCTGCACTTGTCTACTCTCGTCAGCTTAAAGCCTGGCCGTCTTCGTCCGTCTCCCTCCGCCGCTGCTAGCCTCGATCTCCTCGATCAGAACGCCCAGATTACCACTGTCCACCCACCACGTCCCACCACACCCCACCGCACACCCAAGAGCATCCTCATCTTCCTGGTAGTACTTGTGCCGCTAGCCCGAGCACACATGGCTCCTAACGTCCCTGCTGCAAGCAGTTTTTCTCTCGGCGCCGTTTCCGCCGCCAGTACCGTCCCTCTCATGCCCTCCGCCAAGGCCGCAGCTTCGCCGTCTGTAGAGATGCGCGCGCCGCACGCAAGCCGGCTCAAGCTGGCCCCCGGCCCTGCTGACGTGGCGGGCCACCCCCGCAAGTGGTCCCCGCCGCCGCCGCAGGACGGCATCCCATTGGACGAGCGCCCCGAGTGGCTGCGCGACGAGGCGTTGCCGTTTCTGGAGCTGTTTGAGCGCAACGTGAGGAAGTTTCCGAGTAAGGCGGCGGTGACGTGGGTGGAGGAGAAGGGCGTGATCAAGCAGTCGTACACGTACGAGGAGGTGCGTTCGTGTATAGGAGGCGGTTTTGGGTGAGCGGCGAGTGTGCATGAGAATCGATTTACACTTAACGTGGATGCTATGCGTTGTGTTTGCAACCATGATATTTACACAGTTTCGCGTCACCCAGGTATTCCAAGTTTGGCAGAGACGAAGGTTGCAATCTTTTGTCCTGCCTCTGCCCACCCACACCCCCCTCCTCCGCGCTCTCCCTGCTATCCCCATCCCCACTCCTCCCCAGCTGGACGCGCTGTCCCGGGCCGTGAGCGCGTCACTGGTGGGCGAGTGGGGGGCAGGGAGGGGTGACCGCGTGGTGCTGCTGTACCCGCCCGGCCTTGACTTCCTCATCGCCTTCATCGCCTGCCTGCGCTCTGGTGGGTGCCGTGGCATGTGCCACGTGGCATGTGGTGGTGCAGCGCGCTACTGGGGCACGGGTCATGGGGCACAGGGCACAGAGCATGGGGCATGGGGCGTGGGGAAAAGCTCTTTCTCACTCACCCTCCCTCAACCCCCCTCCCTGCCTTTCCCCCCTCCCTCTGTCCACCCTCTATGCTCCCCCTCTGCAGGAGTGGTGGCGGTGCCAGTGTACCCGCCCAACCCCCGTGAGCTGAAGAAGGACGTCGAGAAGCTCACTCGCCTCGTCAACGACTGTGGGGCACGTATCGTGCTCTCCACGTCCGAGTGAGTGATTGTCAGAGTGAACGCACCTCTATGTCTGACAGGCAGTGCTGCTGCTGCTGTTGCTGCTGCTGCTGCTGCTGCTGCTGCTGCTGCTAGAACATGCCCACATCTAGGTCGCCAACATGCACTTCCCCAGGAACGTTTTTATCAGCAACTCTTGTCCAGGCACGTACAACTCCGTGACGGCTGATGCCATCCCTCGGTTCTCCCCACCCTCTTCCCTCCGTGCCCATTAGGTATCGGTCCAAGATCCGCCTGTCGCTGCTGAAGCTCGTGCGCTGGCCGGGTGAGCACTGGTACAACACCAATGGCATCAAGCCTCTCCCTCGCAGCGCGGCTGAGAATGGCAGCAGCAGCAGCGAGAATGGCACTCTTGGCGGTAGCAGTTACAGCAGTGACGAGATAGCATTTCTGCAGTACACGTCAGGGTCCACTGCGGATCCCAAGGGCGTCATGATCACCCACACCAACATTGCCCACAACGTCATGTTTATCCGCAGGTGCGTGCCCTGTGCTAGAGGATGCGTGCTGCAGTAGAGGAGGTGAGGGGAGACTCGTGGTAAGGAACAGGGCATTGTATTTTCTCGCTCGCACCGGTCTCACTCACAACACCCTGTGTTGATTCGAAAGTCTGAGAGCATTGACGGAACGACAAAACATACGCTCGTTTTCCCTTCCGCCTCGCCCCTCGCCCGTTGCAGGACCCTTCGCATGCATTCTGGCATTCGCTTCTTCAGCTGGCTGCCTCAGGTGAGCCCGTGCTGCCTCGGTTGACCTTGTAATGGCATGGCAGCACATGTGATGACAGATAGCATTGACCTGTGTATACAGGCAGTGCATCGCATCGCATTCATTGCATGTACACTCTCATAAATCACCCATATCCTTCCTCGCTCCTCCATCCTCCCTCCTTTCTCCTCCCACCCCCCCAACAGTACCACGATCTGGGGTTGATAGTGGCGTATCTGAGCACGCTCACAGCGGGCGGCAGTGGGGTGTACATGTCGCCCATCGACTTCATCCACCGCCCCGCCTCCTGGCTGCAGTGGATGAGCCGCCTCAAGGTGAGGAGAAGGGATGTGAGGTCTGGTGTGGGGCAGGTGATTGCTGGGGCAGCGGAGTGGGGTGGCAGGTGAAGTGGGTGCTGAAAATGACGTTGGGAGGATCAGCCTCTTGAGCTGGAACTCGCTTGACCACCTACCTCCACTGCCTTCTTCTTGCCCCATTCTTTGCCATGTTATTAGAAGTTCTCATGTCACCCTGCTTTTGAGCCGCCTATCCTTCAAATGCGTTCAAAACCTACTTCTCCCCTCCTCTTCCATCCTTTCCCCTTTCCGCCCCCAACCCCCAGATCACGCACACAGCAGCACCTAATTTCGCTCTCAACCTCGCCACGCGCAAGTTTGTCCCTTCCAGAGATGCCGCCCTGCCCGCCCACTTCCTCTCCGCCTCCCTCCCTCCCTCCTCCTTCCCCGCCCCTCTCAACCCCTCCTCCTCCCCCTCCACCGCTCTCAACGCATCTGCTGCGCTTCCCACCACTCTGGACCTCTCGTCGCTGGAGTGTTTCCTGAACGCTGCGGAGCCGGTGCGGCCGGAGGCGATAGAGCGGTGGAATGCGGTGCTGGGGCGGTATGGATGGGACCTCTGCGGTATGTGCCCGTGCTACGGGCTGGCAGAGCATGTGGTCGGCGTGTCTGGGTGGGGAAGCAAGGTACGTTGAATCTAGTCGTGGAGATGAGATGGCGTGTTGGGGTGGGGCAGCAAGGTACATTGAATCTATCTAGTCGTTGGATTGGGATGGTGTGCTAGGGTGGGAAAGCGAGGCACGTTCAGAGTTTCGGGTTCAATCTTTCGGTTTTGTGCCCCTGCTGCAATGGCTGGTAGAGTGTGTAATCTGTGTACCTCCCATGCCCCTGTCTCCATCTTATGACTCCCCTAACCCTGTCCTCCCATGCTTCCTCTACCCCCACCCCTTTCCCTAGTTTTGTGTGCCAGCATCCCGCACACACCAGGTAATGCTCCGCGACCTCACTCTGCACAGCAGCCCAACCTCAACCTAACCTGTCGGTAGCTTTCAAGAGAACTCATGCCTCTGCTTCTACCCCTCCCTGCCCTCTCCCCATGTGCTTCACTGCTTGCCTGCCCCCACCCACCAGCTGCTGCATCTCCCTGACATCACTCTACACAGCAGTGGTCACCTCGCCACATACCCTGTGGATGGCCGGGTAGTCATTGTCAACCCCGAGACGCATGAGGCGTGCGCTGAGGGTGAGGAGGGCGAGATCTGGGCGCGCAGCTGCCACGTGGCGCGTGGCTACTGGGGCAAGCCGGAGCTGTCAGAGGAGGTGAGCCGGCTCAACAGTCACACTTCTTAATGCTGAGAGGCCACACCTTTATTCTCCAGGTGGTGGTGTGCCTCGTATCTCAATTCACACTCGGTCTCCATTCATTTGCGAATGGATAACGCGGGGCTTCCTCCATCCCTCCTACCCCTTTTCCTCCATTTCCCCTCTCCCCCTGTCTTTCCCTGTTTGGAGTGTCCAGACCTTCCGAGCGCGCATGAAGGAAGGTGCGCCGGGCTCTGACAACGGAGCCTGTTTGTGAATGGGGGTTCTGGGGCTGGTGGTGGCGCAGCAGCTGTTGATCCACCCCTCTACCGCTTTCCTCTTTCCCCTTGCCTCTTACATCCTCCCTCCTCTTCCAGACCTTCCGGGCGCGCATGAAGGAGGGGGCGCCAGGCTCTGATGCTGGCTTGTACCTGCGCACGGGCGATCTGGGGCTGGTGGTGGCGCAGCAGCTGTTCATCACAGGGCGCATCAAGGACCTCATCATCGTGGGGGGCAAGAACTACTACCCGCAGGACATTGAGCTCACCGTAGAGGCCGTTTCAGACAGCATCCGCCCCGGCTGCTGCGCCGCCTTCAGCGTGAACAAGACGAGCCACGGGGTGGCAGCGGGCGGCAAGGGAGATACTGGGGAGAAGGGAGAGGAGGAGGAGGTGTTGGCAGTGGTGGTGGAGGTGAAAGCAGTTGCACAGGAAGGGTGGTGGCGGGGTGGGGGGGGGAGGGGGGAGTGGGGAGGGTGGGTTGACGAAGCAGCAGATGAATGAGCTGGCGGGGGAGATTCGCAGTGCTGTGGTGCGGGCGCATGGTGTCTTGCCTGCCATCGTGGCTATTATTCCCCCTCGCACGGTGAGTGCCATGGTGCGGATAAAGGGGGGATTCTGTGAGTCTGGCGAAGCAGCAGATGAATGGGCTTGGGAGGGGGATTTGAAGTGCGGTGGTGCACGTGCATGGGGTCATGCCTGCTATCGTGGCCATCATTCCACCCCGCACGGTGAGCGCTGTGGCACAGATTGGGGGGCAGTGGGTATTGCAGGGAATTGTGGAGGCCTGGTTGGGTTATGCTTGACTGGGGGCTTGCACGCATTCAGAAGTGCGGGGTGGCGGATGGCGTCATGCCTGCCTGCCATTGTGGCTCTCATGCCGTATGCTACTGACGGTTGGAAATGAGTTGCGTGTCTTGCATCCTCTTCTTCCCATGTCTCATGCATCTACCTTGCTCTCCTGTTTTCCCCCTCATCAGATCCCCAAGACCACGAGTGGCAAGATTCGGCGCAAGGAGACGAGCCATCGACTCACTACAGGCGCACTCACTGTGCTCAACAGTAACTCGCACACGGAGGGGGGCGCTGGAGAGACCATTGTAAGTTCAGGAGCCAAATTTTAGGTGCTCTGAAAATGGAGCGAATTTGTGACGCATCAAAGTAAAGTGGACACATGTAGTGAATTTGTCACTTGGGTTTTTCTTCTCCCCTTGATCCCTCTTTCCTGTCCCTCTACATTGTAACTGCTCAGGAGAGTCTGCACTCAATTCCTGAGTCTTCTGGGGCGAAGGGAGGAGGGGAGGACGTGGTGATTGTGGAGGAGAAACGTTCTGCTGAGGTGCCTCAAAAAGAGGTGCTAGTTGGCGAAGAGGCCAGGGAGAGTGAGGAAAGGGAGGAGGCAACCAGCGGGAAGGTGGAGGAGGAGGAGGGACAGGTGGAAGGAAAAGGGGCGAGTGAGAAAGAGAGTGTGGGGGTGGAGGAAGGGGAAGATCTAGATGAGGCTAGCGATATGGCAGCAGCTGGTGCAGGTGCAGGAGTGACTGTAGGAGCAGGAGTGCAGTCAGAGGGGGCAGATGATGCAGAGGAGGGAGAAGTTGTAGCAACACCAACGGCAGTGGCGTCAGACGAAACAGCAGCAGCTGCAGCAGAGGGTGACGTGGCAGGGGCACTTACAGAGGAGGATGGGCAGAGCAAAGCTCCTGTGGGAGATGGGGCTGTGGAGGCAGAGGAGGGAGCAGAGGAGGACATGGGTGCAGCCAAGTGGGATGGCATGGGCGTGGAGTCAGCTGTGAAGGCCATCATGGGCATCCACGTGAGTGCAGCTCTTGGTTCTTTCCTTTCACCATTTCTCTCTCGCTTTGGTGTACCGAGCCAATGTTGTAAACATTAACCAGCTCCATACCATGCAATGGTTGTGTTCTCCATACCATGCCTCTCCTCCCGTCTCCTTCCAGGACCTGGAGATAGCTGGAGAGCCACTGCTGATTGACATAGGCCTGACATCCATGAATGGCATGGAGGTGCTCGAGCTACTGGAGAGGCCCTATGGGCGTCTCAAGACTCAAAACACAACTGTCTCCGTGCCTTGCATCTCCTCCCAGGACCTGGAGATTGCTGGAGAGCCACTGCTGATCGACATTGGTCTAACGTCCATGAATGGCATGGAGGTGCTCGAGCTACTGGAGAGGCCCTCTGGGCGTCTCAAGACTCAAAACACAACTGTCTCCGTGCCTTGCATCTCCTCCCAGGACCTGGAGATTGCCGGAGAGTCACTGCTGATCGACATTGGTCTCACGTCCATGAATGGCATGGAGGTGCTCGAGCTACTGGAGAGGCGCTGCGACCGCAGACTTGTTGTCGATGACATGGAGGTGAGCTGATGGTGGGTGACGTGGAGGTGAGCTGATGGGGGTGACGTGGAGGTGAGCTGATAAGCATTTTATGTGGTGATGGTTTGCTCACTGGTGGCTAATTCGCATTGCTTGGACATCCCCACATTCCCCTACCCTCATCACAGCGACTCACCATTGGACATTTGCGCCAGCTGGATCAGGGCATCCCCCTCCCTGACACATTCGAGGTGATCTAACAGCTCATGATCCGAATACCAGTAACATGGCCTTGCTTGCTTCCATTGTTGGTGTGGTGCTCTCCCACTTGCGCCCACCCATATATCTGTAAGCTGCCTCCTGACTCTTGGTTCTTCTGTTGGGGTGTGACCTGTCTTTCTCACTGCAGAGTGACGACGAGGACGAGGATGAATGAACTCTGTATCTGGAAGCAATTGTTTAGTCTCTTATGTGTAGCAGTATGCCTATGTACATGTTCAACAGTATTATGAACGTAATTCATGCCAAATTGATATCCAATCCCAACACCAGTGTAGCGTTTATGGAATTCGTCACTATGCAGGAACACAACGGTCAGATTCCATCCCCGCGTCACAATGCGTGACGAACCAGCACCCCCTCGAAACGGGGCGAAACCGAACGAAACACGGTGAGGGCCAGTTTGGAAGGGGGGCGAAGAGGCGAAGCGAATCGCCAGGAAGGACCTTCCCTTCCCTTGAGGTGTACGTTTTCACGTTTTTCGCTTTCCGCTGCGGCTTGCAAATTGGAGTTTCCAACGGACGTCAGCCATGGCGGCGACGTATTCTCGCTAGGGAATGAATTTGATCTCCAATGTCGCGACTCTCCGTGCTTGGCTGAGCCATGCCTAAAGACTCGCAGTGCATGCATTTTGTCTCTTACCTTTCGCATGCGCATCGGAGCTTTTACTCAGCGGAGCTTATGTTTCAGAGCTCATATTTCAAACTATTTCCCCTTAGTGCGTTCAATTGAGTTGCGCCAGCATAGGCTTGTTCTAATCGAAGTCCGCAAATAAGTGTCGCGCTTCTAGGTTCGATCCCTCAACCCTAACAGTAGGATAATTTCAGAAGCACGAGGCAGATTGTCCGACGACGAGCTTCCGAGTCATGGCCGCAGCTATTCTTTCTCGATGTCCATTGATCCGGAACCATTTCCTTAGTTAAACCAATCGCTCAGTCGCACTACACGTCATCGCATCTTCGAGTAGAACCTCTCAGCTGACCCATCTTAAAATTTTCGCCTTCACTAACACGAGGCTCTTTTTTCTTCCAGCTCCTGTACTGAGCAAGGCCAGAAGTAGGGTTTGAGAATGGCGTTTCTCACGGTTCAAGAGTCGCTAACCTGGGCGATACTGTTCTGGATGGTGGCGTTTCTTGTCTCAGCAGCGTTAGTGGGCATCGTCATGTACATGGTGCGTTTGCTTGTGGTGGAATTCGGTTGTAGGTTTCAAGCACTGGAAGCTGCAGTTCATTCTAATCTTATATTTTCACAAGAATCCTGCGGCAGAGCTGTCACTAGCGCCCAGCTTGTTTACGCGCAACAGTTCTGTGTCTATCGGATACACCCGAACAGCCTGGTGCAGATCAAATCCATGCCGTGTTTTCTAAATTGTTTCCTTACTTTTGGCTGGTCTCCCGTGTTCCTTTACCTTCTCATCCAGCTCATCTGTATATCGGACCTTGAAAACGACTTCATTAACCCACATGACGCCGCCAGAAGAGTCAACGGCTTCGTTTTTCCAGAGATTTCCCTACATTCAGGCCTGACTGTTGTCTTCGCTCTCACTGGCCACTGGCTCATGTTCCTTATCAACCTCCCTCTCGCCCTCTACCACCTTCACCTGTAAGTGTCGCCATGTCTTCATGCATAATGGTGTTATTATCAACCCGCAAGTTGAGTTGCTCTTCTCTTTGGAGCACTGCCGTCAACAACACCTGGCCTCCTATTTTCCCATACAGATACTTCAGGAAAGAGCACATGGTGGATGTGACGGAAGTTTTCAACCAAATAAGCGTTCAAAGAAGACGGCAACTAATTAGATTCGTCATCTACCTGACTTTAATGATCGCCACGATATTCAGGTCAGTCAGAAAAGAGGAAAATTGCATATAACATGACCCCCTAGCCTGTCGCGAAAGATGTGCCCCAAATTCCTCCTTTGTCGTCTATGGCTGAGCAGTTTTTTTATCTTCTCCATTCCCGTTCCCTGTCCTTCTCTCCACCCAACAGGATGGTGGAGCGAGGGGTGACAGCAGTAATGGAGAGCCACGGGGGAGCAATCCATGCCAAAGTTTTAGGAAACGTGGCAGGCCTCTCCAACATGTCTTCTATGTAGATCACAGATAAGGTGGTGATCTGACATTCATCCAACTCTTGAAAAGACTGCCGTAGCTTCTCTCCCGCTTCAACTCTGTTCAGTGCTAGGGAAATTAGGCGTAGAGTCTTGCTAACTCGCTTGGTTAGCAATAAAGGACGTCATATAATGATGCTGGTGTTATGAAAGCAAACATTGGCCACATACAGCATCAACTTGGGAGCCCTAGGGCCTCTTGTTTAGCAAAAGCATCACATGTACTGATGGCACAGTGCCAAGTAAAGCATCAAATCCACTTGTGGGAGAAGTAAAGCATCAAATGAACTAGTGGACAAAATTGAATTTAGTTGTAACATACATGAAAAATAATAAAAACAATTTAGTCAAAACTGGATCGTGGGCCATAAACTTGGCGAATCTCTTCAATATGCACAAGAGCTTGGAAGACGGCTCCACATATGCAGCAGCTCCTGCTTCATCCTCTCTAAAACCTAATGCTGCAACTCCTTACACCTCCGTCGCAGACTCACAAGCTGCCGCTCTGTAAGCAACTGCAGCAGCATCTAGGTGGCCTGCCCCCCGCCTGGCATCCACGTGGCTAAGCGACATGCTGCTGCTGGCATCACTGGCATGACTCTGGGCTGCTGGATGCGGATGGAGCTTGAGATACAACTCGGTGAGCCTCTCCTTGGCCTCGCTGAGAATAAAGACGGCGAATGTCACCCGTTGAGCTCGCGGAATGAGGCCTCTGAACAGGGTCTTGCTGCCTCCTTCTATCCACATGCGTGCAAATGTGCCAGTCATGGACCTGAATAAAGAGAGGAGAATGTCAAGCAGAATCGAAACAGCTGTTCACCGTCGTTCAACCAGACAAGTGGATCAGGCGGATACGGCACAGATGTGCATATACGGCAACGAGACTAAGCCTCCCATACCTGAAATTAGGATCTGCGAGATTGGCCTGCATGCGTGTTTTGACAGTGTCGAAGGGCTGCGTGAGCACAGCCGCTCCAACCCCCGCCAGCACCGACGCCGTCGCCATTGCCGCGACGGGCCTCTCCGCGAAAACCGGCCATGCCTTTTCCATGTGCTCCGTCATCACAGGAATCACTCCCAGGTACGCCCCTGTGAAGATCGCTTCTCTCACCACTGCGGGATTCTGCAGGGACACATAAGAGGGTGATGAGAGTGAGGGGAAGAGGATGGTGAGCAGATCCGCCAAAAGATGGTGGAGAGTTCAAGACTTTGACCATATAGTGCGCCAATGAACAGTTGGCGGTACCCCATCATGTCATTCGCATCGACCTAGAACATCTATCCGAACGCTCCGGGCGGATTTCGCCCTATCACTCTGATTAAAGCGCAATTAGAGCGGCAACGCGGACGCACTCGAAGCGACAGTGAGAGTCGATTCGTAAGTGAGAATGTATTCTTACTTAAAAACTAGAAGGGATTAGACCCAGCATCCCACATGAACGTCCAATCTCCGAAAACAATGTCCAGCGTACCGTTCCTCTAGCGAGGGCGAGGACACCGTGCTCTCCGACAACATCCCGTAGTCTCGCACCAAGCGATCCTCCCCACTTCTGCTGCTGGATCATCAGCAGCTCCGCTGGACCCGTTATTATCCCCGACATAGCACCCGCCGCCGTCGCCGCTCCCGTCCGCGTCGTGTCATTCAACTGACCCCTCGCTGCTAACCACTCTTCTAGAAAGGTGTTGGCACCGAACTGGAATCCGTTAATCGGCGCAATGGACGCGGCGTTCACGGCCACCCCGCGATAGAGCAATCTGGGGTGCAGCGGGACGGGTCTCATGTCCTGGACGGCGTTCTTCCACGTGACCAGCGGTTGCTGCAGCAGCACCTCTATGACGCCTGCTAACCCGCCGATGGCGGTCGATACAGCCGGCGAAATCGCCAGATCCTCTTCCAGCCCCATCTGTGCTGATGCTTATTGTGAGTACAGTACTACTAATGGCTAAAGATGGGGACTAAGAATTGGCCCAGCGAACTCTGGAAATGTTTGATTTGAAGAACGATGTGTCGATGCGCAGACGGCGGAGAGCGAGCACGTGCAGTTCTACGAAATAAGACCAGAGAAGCTAGAGAGCGAGTAGGTGCAGTTCTACGAAATGAGATTAGAGAAGCTAGATGTTTATGTGGACTGCTGTCATGGACAGAGAAGTACCTCTGACAAAGCCAGGAGAAGGGCAAAGCCTGGTTGGTGGTCAACAACGTCCGTGCACCTGCTGCCTTGGAATTGTTTTTAGAAGTGGATGGTGAACGACACACTCTCCTTGGGCGAATGTGATTCTTGGTGATTTCACAACTCATTCTCGAAAGGCGTCGCGTGGACTCCAAGACCCGTGGTTCACTGAACCTTGGTGGGAATACAGGTATCCTCGAGATTAAAACTTATCCTTAAGGCCACGTGGGAGGACAAGGTAGGGAGATTTCTGCAACTGACATCGTAACAAAGCCATTGGAATCGCCCCAAACAATTTTCCCTCTTCTGGAAGCTCTCCCCAAGCTACTCCCACCACAAACTGTACTGGTTCGTATGGCTGGTTGTGATTTCTCAATATCGCGCGACTCCGCAAAAACTTCTTTCAAGCACCGTTGGCAGAGGACTGTCTTGCTTACGTGCACAGAAGTTTGGGTTATTGCCGTCATTGACCACTAAGAAAGAGGTGTCTCCACGTGGCGGCAGGCGACTGCTAGATATGTTCCCGTGAAAGTGGATGTACCCAACACCCCCATGAGGCATCTCGTTTGCGGCATGAGGTGTCGACAAGTCAGTTTGGCGGTTGCTTAGCTTGACCCTTCCAGCTTTCTGGGAGCCTTTTTTTATCCATCGCAGATGTGTTCCGCTCTTCGAGATCCTGGGCACCTGAAAAACTGGAGATGACATCCCATCTCAAACATACGCTTCACAAGCAATCTCGCTAATAGTTTTATGATCAGCTATCGGTGTTGCCGTGTTGCCTAATGGTGAAGTGTCTTAGAGATCTTTCGCTTGTTTCTTGGGAACAGCCGTCATTTGAATTTGTTTGTCTGCCACCCTTCAGATTCACCTGCTCCACCTGCGATCTGAGATCAGTTGAGAAGGTTGCAACCGCAGCTGTTTCTGACGGCGGGAAGGCGTTTTGGGCCGTCGATTTTGTCCTCACACAAGGATGAACGGACATCTAGTTCCCGTCAGCTTGGTTGACGGCGGGAGGGCGCCGTCAAGAACAGGGGATGTCGATCTCGTTGCGCGGCTGGCTGCTGAAGGTCAGAGGAGGGGTTCCATCACGCGGATGTACGCCGCAAGAGTAACGGATTACGACTTCAAACGAGGGAGAGGATAAGTACGTCCTTGGGAAACAAATGCAGTCACTGACTTCATCGCTGAGGGTGAACAGCTGATACCTAGACTGTTATGTATAATAATCTCATTGGTCGAATGGACCGCGAGGGATTACGGGACTACGATTTTGGCAGAATAGTTCGGGCGTCGCCGCGTGTCCTCGTTGCTTTAGTCGCGCTGCTCGCTCTCGCAAGCGTTGTCTGCGATGCCTTGGGTCCCCGTGATGAACTTTTCGCCCCTGCGACCGCCGCCAGCACTGTCGCAGAGCAGGCCCATCATGCGACAGCTAGGCGCGGGCGAATGCTCGCGAACGTGTCCAAAGAATGGAGCCGCGTGACGATCATCGACAGTCGGCGACGGTTAAAGCCGAGGAGTGAGGACGGGAACGAGCTGCAAAAGGTGGACTTTGCGCGGAAGATGAGATCGAAATCGAATAAGAACAAGAAGCAAAAAAACGGACGCCAGGAAGAGGAAGATGGGATTACGTTCACCGGATCAAGCAGCGAGAAGAAGCAGGAGAAGAATCAGAAGACGAAGGCGCCGAAGCAGAAAGGGCAACGGATGGAGGGTGAGGAGTCCAGGAACGAAAGCCCAGTGACGAAGAAGGAGAAGAATGGAAAGAAGGAAAAAACGGAGAAGATTAAGAATGTAAAGAAAGCGAAGAAGCAGGCGATGCAAGGGTCAACTGAGGAGGGATCCTCCTCAGCTAAAAAGGTCAAGAGGTCGAGCCGTTTTGCTGATCGACATCGTGATCACGAGAAAGACGACGACGACGACGACGACGATAATGACCATGAGGGCCCTGGCGACGACGATGATTGCGACGATGATCACCGTTTTCCCTCTACCCCGCCCCCTCCACCTCCTCCCCCCCCCGCACCTCCCTCCGCTCCTCCGCCTTCCACCCCGCCGCCTGGCCCTGGAGTCGCGACAAAGTTCAGCTGCCCGCCCACTCCCGAGATGTGCTCGTTTGTTTTCGAGGGGTACGAATCCGATCTCCCTACAATCATGCTCCCTGCTCTTAGTACCACGCCCGCTGCATCCAAGCAGGCGTTGCGCCCCAAGACAGCGTACGATGAGAACCTGGAGCCTGGTACACTTGTGGCCCTCTTACGCGGGTCAACTCTGGATTTATCCGACACCGTGGCTGACATGTCGCGAATCATGTGTCTGGGAGGGCAAAAGAAGAACGCGACACTCCCAAGGTTTGCGTTCAAGCTGACTCCAGACGGCCATCTGAGATACGATGACACGCGAGTGAGTGGTGACATGGCTTGGCTGGCAGCGGCCCAAACAACGGAAGGCGCGGTGGTGAGGTTGAGAATGAGGTCAGTCACTGTAGACGCGTTTGGCATGCCTATGCGTGTCAAGGGGAATAGCCAAAGGGCGAATTTCCACAGCAAGAGAAACTGTGTGCTGTTCAGAGTGAAGTTTGAGGGGGTTGGTACGATGAAGAAGCGGAAATGGCCATGAGGGAGTTTAAGAACCGGGAGATTCAGGAGGGGCTCCCTTCTAAGAGATGATCGGTGCTTTTTAAGTATGGAATGGAAGCTATAGGTTGTATGGAAGCTCTTATGGGTGTGTTTGCGTGCAGCATAGGGCTTTTAAAGGGTATGGAAATAAGAATGCATGATGTGCTGCTGTGGTTTTGCTGGAAGGGGATAGAATGGAAGCTGGCTCAGGCTGTGAGAAGCTAAGCATAGGCAAGTTGTATAGCATACCTTGTAGTTCATACCTTGTAGTTCATACCTTGTGTGGCTAAGGTGTGTAACTCATAATCCAAACCAGCCATGCTATGGTATTATAGAATTTGTCACAGAAACTTTGATTTATATGATCGATTGATTGATACATTTTAGGTGGGTAGGTAACGGTACGGTATTATCCGCAATAAATGGATCGGAAATCTCCCAGAAGCGAGGGTCACGTGGGTACGGCCACGTCACTAAAGTACCTTCTGATATGGCACGTAAGACGTGCGCCGTTGCGAACGAAAGATGTCGCCGACCGTGAGTGGTCGTCATTCAGATGAGCCAATCCTTAGCGCCACTATATCCACCATCTGTATATGCGCTTCGGTCCACAAACTGATCGAGCCGCGGGTATCGAAGCAGGCTAGGAACCAGACCGTACCAGAACCTCCACCTGGAGGTCTGAGCCAAGTCTGCGCTTCACACCAATCTGGCGGGAGTCTGGTATGGGAACTCGGCAAGGACCACAAAGGCATGAAAACCTTGCCAAGTACAAAATTCGGCCTGCACTGCGGCATGGTCCAAACAAGCCTTCCGGCCCAAAAGAATCTGAAGGTCTTGTCAGGCAGCCGAGCCAAAGACCAGCTTCGTTCTCAGCTTCGTCTTATTTCCCCGCGAGCCAGGGCCCCCAAACCGCCTCCCAACTTCCCCAGCGCTTCCAACCAACCAGCCAACTGCTCCACTTGCGACTTTCATCGCTGCTGGTCGTAGCTCGTCCATTCACGCTCGGAATATTCTGCCAGAGGAGCAGCAGCCAAACGGATGCACCAATCAACCACACTTCCCTCACTACTCTTCACTTTTCAACACTCCCTTGCCCATTCTCCATCTCCCTCTGACCCTGCCCCTACTTGTTGGTGCTGGAGGATAGTGCGCACAAGCAGCAGTAGCGGCTTATTCGAACCCGCTGGTAATCGTGTGTAGAAGTTTTCGTGGTCTGGCACTGACAGTGGCCTCGCACTACATAGGTGTTTGAGGATTTTCGTGGATATCCCTAAACACCCCGCAATCGCGTATTTCCGTGCGCACTCTCAGTCATGGCTGCCGACATAGCTGCTACGCAAACCTTTCTTCGCGGAACAACAATCTGCCAATTCTCCGCCGCCTCCCCGCGCACAACCTTCTTACGCCAGCCATGCAGTCAACGTGCAGACTCTCAATTATTCTCCCCCACCCTCCCGCTGCGAACACAACCCTCGCGAACCCTAAGATCCTCACTCGCTCGATCGCGCCTTTCTTCCAGCGGGGCCGCGTTCGGGCCGGCACGGCAAAAGTCGTTCCTTTCTGCGAGAGTGCCTGGAGGGGAGAACGGGGCAGCGGCGGCGGAAGGAGGCGGAGGTACTAGTAAGCGCGATCTCCGGGGCCCCGCTCCCGCCGCCGCCGGAAGCGCAATGTCGCCAGAACTCACGCCAGACGGCGCGGTATCGGCTCTCGGCACGGCGGCGTCGCAGGAGAACGCGGAGGAGTGCGCGGCAGTGCTGGCGCGGCTGGGCCGGTCCGCGGACAGCCTCCCCCCGGACCTGGCGGACGCGATTGCGCGCGGGCGCGTGCCCGGGGAGGTGGTGGAGCGGTACGCGGAGATGGAGAACACAGTGGTGCTGGGGTATTTGCTGCGGTTCGGCGGGTTTAAGGAGCGGTTGCTGGCAGACGATTTGTTCATGACCAAGGTTGCGATCGAGTGCGGCATTGGCATCTGCACCAAGGTGCGGCGGCGCTCTGATTTTTTTTTTTTGAGTGAATTGGATAATCTGAAGGGTGGGTCGTTTCGGCGTCAACGGATCGAGAGAGGTAGGATTCGCTTTGAGACGTCCCATGACAGACTTAAGGCTTGTGTTCTGCGGGACTGGGCCTTTCAGACCGGTTCCATTTAAGATTGCTCGTTGCTGCTCTGGTTGACTGCTTGAACTGTTTGGCTGATTCCCCTTTTTCCCCGTGCTGTCCCGCCTCTTCCTCCCTTCCCCTCCGCGGCAGACCTCGGCGGAGTTGGAGAGGCGGCGAGCGGCCTTCTTCCCCGAGTTCGACTTCGTCATTGCTGACGTGGTAAGCAGCTGCTGACGTGGTGAGCAACTGCTGACGTGGCGAGATATTATTTCGTAATAACCAGCGACTGATGCCCAAATGCTCCCATGAGGACGACCATGTCAGCGTTTCCGATCAGACATTTCCTTCCGCCCGCTGTGCCGGTCCACTCGTGATCCCCACCCTCCGATTCACTTCCTCTTGGCCCCATTCGTCCATTCCGTTAACATCGTCATTTGATTTCCCCTGTTCCCCTTCCACATTCCCCCCAACTCCCCCTCCCCTCCTCCCCTTCCCCACGTTGATTAGTGTCTCTGTGGCCCTTTTGTCCAATCCTCCCTTGACCACGACCCTCTCTGGAACCACTCGCCTCCCCCACCGCACTCAACCACACACCATTCCTCTCTATATTTGCAAACTGGATCATGGCACTCGTAGCTGACTTCAACCTCGCGTGGCTGCCCCCTCCCTCCACCATCCCACCGCACCCAGTGCCCTCAGGCTGAACACCCCATCCTGCTCCACCACTTCTTATCCCTCTCTACCGCCTGCACCCCGCCTTGCCAGCAAATCATTGCGCTGATAGCAGACTCACTGCTCGTGTGGCTGTTCGTGCTCACCATCCCACCGCACCCAGTGCTCTCAGGCTCACCACCCCTAGCCATCCTGACGACCCGAGCCCTGCTCCACCGCTCCTCAACCCTCTCCACTGCACTGCACCCCACTGTTCCGCTGCCGATAGTGGCCTTCATGCTAGTGGCTGCCCGTGCACACCATCCCTCTGCACCCAGTTTTCCCTGGCTAACTACCCCACATCATTCTGGCGATCCAGAACCTGCACCATCACTCCTCACTCCTCTCCACCGCACTGCACCATGTCCCACCACCAGATCATGGCGTAGATAACAGACTTTATGCTCGTGTGACTGCCCGCGCCCACCATCCCTCTGGACCCTATCATATATGCCAGCTATACCTCTCCTCATTATGGCGATCTAAAACCTACGCCATCACTCCTTACCCCTCTCCACCGCATTGCACCCCATCCGCCACCAGATCATGGCGCTGATAGCGGACTTCATGCTCGTGTGGCTGCCCGCCCCCACCATCCCTCTGCACCCCGCGCTCGCCAAGGAGGCCACCGCCCTGCAGAAGTTTCTCGACACCTGCCCTGATAACGCGTTCCAGGTGAGAGGCGTTTTGACAGCGTGGGGGGGGGGGGGGAAGGAGTATGGCTGATGCTTGAATGATAACATGTTTCAGGTGGGAGGCCTTTGCAAAGCGTAGTGTGGTGCCCGGATAACGCCGTACCAGGTGGGAAGCGCGTGGAGAGCGTAATGGGGTTATGGGTGAGCGATGGTGGGCTAGAATGGTTCCCGAGCTTGAGGGTAAATGGTGGGTGGGCACTTTCCTTGCAGGAGCAGTTGTTGGGTCAAACCTTGGGTCAAGGAAGGAACTCTCCTTATGTAATTTCCTGCTTTTGCTTCCATTGAATGGTCATATCCGTGAAGGAGCGCACTCACACGCCACTTCTTCCCTCCGTGTGTGTGTTGCATTGCACTGTCCCAGGTGCCTGTGCGTGGCACTGAGTACACTCTCCTGCAGCGATTCATGGCTGTGCTGGTGAGTCCGAGCCTGATTCCTCTCCCACTGCTCCCACTGCTGCTGCTGCTGCTTCCGCTGATGCTCTGGTGATCTTATCCCTCTTGTTGCTGTTTTTTTTTTTCACGTGAGACGTACCCCCTTTCCTGCCAAAGACTTCCCTCCTTCCATGCATCCACACAATGTGGGACCCCCTGTCCAGCCAACTTGCACCCCAATTAAAAAACCCCTTGCCTTCCTCTCCCCATCTGAACCCACTAACCCCAAATCACCTCACCAATCGCAATTGCACTACCTAGTCCTAGCTAGTCCCCGTCTGCACTACCTTTCCCCAGACTTACTTTCTTCCTATGCAGTGGCAATCGCTCTCAACCACCATCCACCTTTTCACTTACCTCCCGCTCCCAACCCATTTTCCTTGCTCGATCTCAGAGGAACGGAGCAAAGCTCATGGTTGTCGGGACAACTGCATCCCTGGTAAGCTGATGCTTCTCTCACTCTCTCGCCATCCCGATTTATACAAACGATGATTTCAGTTACATCGCTTCACCACACATGCCTCTCTTCACCACACATGCCTCACTTCACCACACATGCCTCACTTCACCACACATGCCTCTCTTCACCACACATGCCTCACTTCACCACACATGCCTCACTTCACCACACATGCCTCTCTTCACCACACATGCCTCACTTCACCACACATGCCTCACTTCACCACACATGCCTCACTTCACCACACATGCCTCTCTTCACCACACATGCCTCACTTCACCACACATGCCTCACCTACGAGAACTCTCAAAAGTAACTTCACTCTGCCTTCACCATGCCATGCTTGGTCTCCAGCATTCACTCAACCAACCTTTTACCTCTGCCACATCCTATCTTTACCCCATGTCACTACATCCCAGTTTGGCTGTGGCATGACCAACGCTCTCCAATGGGCACGCAGGGAACTTGATGCTCCCCATTTGGCTGGGGCATGATTCCATAGCATGTGTATTCCCGAACGCTCGCTCAACTAACCTATATCTCTCTGCCAACCCCATGTGCTTGCATGCCCTCCCAGTTTGGCTGTGGCATGACCAACGCGCTCCAATGGGTGCGCAGGGAGCTTGCTGCTCCCCCGCCCGCTGCTGCAGCCACAATCCCCTCCCTAGACCTCACCGCTGCTGCCTCTTTCCCTCTAGACTCTTCGACTGAATTGGCTGCTACCCTAAACCCTGCTGCTGCCATTGACGCCGCCACGACTGCTGCGTTGGTATTGGACCCGTCGGTCGCTGCTGATGTGGCAGCTGCTGTGTCAGCGTCAGCTGCTGATGTGGCGGCTGCGCTGGCCACAGCTGCTGAGGTGGCAACCGCAGCTGCGGGGACCATTCCACCGGATCTGGAGGTGCCTATTCTCGCTACAAGCTTGGCCTATGGGTCCTATGCAGCGATTTCTGCAAACCTAAGGTGGGTTGTGATGCAGGAAAAGGTTGCGCATCTTCAAGGTTGTTCACAGGTGGTGTGTTGTCCGTGGGTGTGTGTACCACAATTCTTCCCTCCTTTGTTTCATCTCATCTCATCTCACCTTGTCGTGTGCTTTCTGATTTATTACCTTCTTATATATATCAACTGCTTGTGAGTGCAGGTACCAGATATTGGCTGGTGTGATTGAGCAGCAATGGCTGGAGCCTAGATTCCATGGCAACAAGACTCTGCTTTCAGTGCTCTCCTTCATCTTCCGCACGTCCAACACGTTCATTGGCTCTCTCTTGTGAGTAACATCTTCTCCCAATGCTGGTGTCATGACAACGTATCTATGCCACGCCTTCCATCTTTTGTAAAGCGAAGAACCTGAAAAAAACAAAGTTGGGAGGCAAACTGGGAACTGTATGCCTCCCGTACCTGTGGTTTGCCTTCTTCCCGCCTCCTGCTAAGGTTCTTCCAAACCTAACATCTTTGTGTTCACCTGGTTAAGTAATACATGCTGTTGGCTTGGCACTAATTAGCATCTCGATTTGTTTTGCAGGTGGGTGGACTATGCAAGATGGATCGGGGTTCAGTGATCGTAGTGGACAAACTACTTCCATTTGCAGAGTCCATGTATTGGCATCAGTTTAATCTTATGTGAATCTTTATCTTCAGAGTTATGTTGGGGAACGCAACTAGGTCAGCAATGTGAATAAATTGATGTCCTAAATTAGTTTGCCACTTGAGATTAATGTGTGTTCCAATCTCTTACTAGTCAAATCATGACATAACGCGTACAAGACAGTGGTTCACTTGACCGCGTCGCTCAGAGTGACGTTCAGATCATCGTTTGAACTACGCTTTCAACCATGGCTGACAGCGAGTCGTTGCCAGGACAGGGGAAGAAAGTCTGTGTCACTGGGGCATCTGGTAATGTCGTCTGTGGCCTAGCTAGTTCACGTTCGAAACTATTTGAATCGATCGTCATGAATCATGACCTTCTTCGTGCGAAATTGCCCCAGGTTTCATCGGAAGCTACCTCGTCAAGCTTCTGCTGGATCGCGGGTATAATGTTCGCGGAACAGTTAGGGACGCGACCAATGAGGACAAGACGTCATGGATTCGCGATCTCGTAAGTTCGTATATCGTAAGAGAATGCTCAAACGATCCAGCACGAGCCTGAGTAACTAATGTGACCATCCTCTCCTTTTCTGACAGGCAGAGGGCACTCCAGGCAAACTTGAGCTCTTTTCAGCCGACCTGGGCAAGCCTGGGAGCTTCGACGAGGCCGTTGAAGGATGCGAGTTTGTGTGTCATGTTGCCTCTCTTGTTCGGCTTAGTGTGCCGAATCCGCAGACTGTTGTGGATGCAGCTTTGGAGGGCACGAAAAATGTGTTCTCTTCCATCCTCAAGCACAAAACTGCCAAGTAAGTGAGCTTAGCGATTTTGCGAACAGCTTTCAGTATCCCTTGTTTTGTCGTTTCCGTGTGCAGCATTCCATTCCCCTACCCTCTCACCGCCACATCCTCCTCCCCGCCCCCCGCCGCCTCTCTCGTACCGTACATCACTCTCTTGCGCTCTCATTCTCTTTCTCCCTCTTCTCCTCTCTCCTCTCTCCTCCGTTGTGAGTCTCCTCCCAAACCATTTTTTCCTCTTCCTGCCGATTGCTTTTGCCATTGTCGCAGAAAGGTGGTGGTCACCTCATCTGTAGGCGCAATTATTGACTATGTAAACAACAAGGACCATGTATTTACTGAAGAAGACTGGAACCGAGACCTTACTCTCAAAGATCCATACCCGATGGGTAAGACTCTTGCAGAGAAATATGCCTGGAAGACCGCAGAAGATCTCAAAGGTCAAGATTGGTCTTTTGAACTGGTCACCATCTGTCCAGCCATGGTTTATGGTAAAGCCATTCGAAAGGCGCATGTTCGAACAAGCCTCGATGTAAGATACTCTGTATTCGCATTATGCTTCAAATTGTTGTCTATGCGTTGTCTTGATTCTCTTTCCCGTTCAGGTAATTGACAATGCTTCCATGGGCTGTTCAGGTGATAAGGCAACTGATGGGTGGATGGCTCTTCATGGCCCCGGACCTGTATTTTGGCATTGTGCATGTTGATGATGTTGTGCTTGCTCATGCATTGGCACTGGAGAAGGATACTGCTACGGGAAGATATATTCTATGCAATGGCGACACTCTCAGCATGCTAGACATGGCAGGTGGGTTTATTTACCCCTCTGAACCCCCTACCTGTATCATTTGTTTTTATTTCGAACGTGTGCTCTCATTTAAAAGGGCCACCGCGTCCTATGCAGGCTAACTACCGTAGGTGTGTTGTTGAATGCAGCTGTCATCAAGAAGAACTACCCTAATGCCAAGACTCCAACGTACACCATGCCGAATGCATTAGCATATTTGGTCTCATTAACCATCCCTGGAGTGAGCTTTGCGGTTCTGCAGCGAAATCTGAGCAAAATCCCCAGATTTGATAAAAGCAAGTCGGAGAAGGAGCTGGGACTGCAGTACCGTTCGTCCGAAGAATGCCTTCTGGATACAGCTGCCAGCATCTTGAGCTTGGAAGGAAAATGAGTTAGGTTGCTTGTGCTGTCACTGCAAATCACAACTTGATTTTGGCTGCAAGAAGATTCTCTCTCCTGTTATAGGTTCTGTTCTGTAGCAATAGCACTGATTTTTTCAGGTGTTTCGAGTCTGAGTATCATGTGCAATGCCAAATAGAAGGCCTTTTGAGAGCGCAGCAGCAGGCACTTGAATCACCTCCACTGCACAGCACAGCAAATGCCTACTAAATACTGAACGGGAGCTTGTGGCATGCCTACAATAAAAATTGATAACTTATTGCAGACCAGGAACAAGGTTCCCATCCAACGTGATGACAAAAAAAAGCCAGCTTTGCATGCTCATTCCTTTTCCAGGAAATCATCCGCATCCAGCACAGCCCCATTGTTCTTCCACTGAAGCTTCTGCCGAATCCAGAGCGTGACATAAACGAGTCCAATGAGCACAGGCACCTCAATCAGCGGCCCGACAACCGCGGCTAATGCCTCATCCGAGCCAATGCCGTAGGACGCCACTGCGACGGCAATAGCAAGCTCAAAATTGTTGCTCCCTGCGGTAAATGACTGAGTGACGGCATCGCAGTAGGCGAACCCTAGGCGCCAGCAGAGGGCCAGAACACTGAAGAAGACGATTCCGAAGTAGATCAGGAGAGGCACAGCCACACGAGCGACCTGAAGGAAGGAAGCAATGGAGAGGGGTAAGAGAGAAGAAGAGCAAGGGACAAGTGGATGATAATCTATTGACAGGATAATTGCATGGGGTCCCAGAGTGCAAACATAATGTGTGAAACAATTCCAGAATCTGAAAACGAGCTGCATTGCTCAAGAAAGGCCTCCATGTCAATGGGAGCAGAGCAACAGAGAGCTCCGTACCTTGCCAATGTTGTTTCCGATGTTCTGGCCTTGCAGCGAGAACATGACAAAGATGGTGAAGAGCAGCCCGATGAGCGCCGTGGGACCGAACCACGGCAGGAACTTGTCATCGTACCACTTGGCTCCCAGCAATGCGCGCAGCGTGAAGCGCGTGATGACAGCTGCGACGAGCGGCACTCCGAGGAAGATGAGGACGCTCTTGGCGACGGTCCAGAAGGACACGTCCACTGAGCCGCCGTGAGACACCACGTCGATGTAGAATATGGCCAGCGGGGAGTAGAGGATCACCTGTGGTGGGGAATAAGGGAGGAAAAGCACTCCGAGGAATATGAGCAGATGAGGAAGATGAGCGCGCTCTTAGCGACGGTCCAGAAGGACACGCCCAATGTAGAATATGGCCAGTGGCGAGTATAGGATCACCTGTGGGGGAAATAAGAGTGGAGAAGATGAGCAGATGGTGTAAGGGATTGGGGGAGGAGAAGAGGCGAACGGGGGGCGAGAAGGGACCTGCAGGATGGAGTTGAGAGCTACAGAATGGGGTGCAACAGCAGGCAAGACAGAAAGCAACAGCAAAACAGAGCAGGAGCACAGGCACAGGACAGGAACAAACGAACCTGCAGAATGGAGTTGACGGCCACGAGGATGGCACAGAACTCGGCGTTGCCGCCCGCCAGGTGGTTCCAGATGAGCACCATGGCGATGCAGCGAGCAATGCCCACCAGAATGATGCCTGATCGCAGCCCTGCCTGGTCGGGGAGAGTGGCCCATGCCAGCCCTGGTGGTGGGGAAGGGAGCAATGGAAGGAGACAGAGTGGATAGACAAGGATGAGTTTGGTATGGATCATGGCTTGGAGCTGAGGGCTTGATGTAGGCATGGAAAGAGCAACCCATGCCGGAAGTACCACAATCAGTGAATAAACCTTGTCAAGTGCTTCAAGGCGCATAGAAGTGGTATGAATCGAAAGGGACGCACCTGTCATGAGCAGGGGAGCGAACACCCAGTTGACCGCCAGGGAGATGCCGATGTGGAACAGCAGGCCCCAGGATCGGGACAGCTTCGGCAGCAGCTCGAACCGAACCTGCGCAAACAGGGAAGGAGAGGACGGAAGTTGGGGTTTGGATCCTGGGTTCGGAAATCGGGTTTAGGGGTCAAGAAGGCACCTGAGTCGCAAGCAAAGAAGTGAACTTCGGGCTTAACCCGACTTCGCTTGCTCCATTGACCGTTTGCTAGCTCACAATAGTCTCCCGACAAGTAACACTGCCTTGCAGAGCACGGAGTAAATAACCCTACCGTGCAGAGCATGGGGTAACTAACCCTACCTTGCAGAGCACGGGGTACATCATCCACCAGAGGCCAATGGCGATGGGGAGCGACACGTTGGCGACAGACACGGTCTCCCAGGCGTCGCGGATGGCCGGCACATAGTAGCCGAGCAGCACGCCGATAATCATGGCGAGCAGGATCCACACGGCCAGGTAGCGATCGAGCAGCGACATGCTTTGAAACACGGCTGTACGTTTGACAGTGAGAGAGAGTGCAAAGCCCGGGAAGGGGGAAAGGGAGGGCAGAGATGGGCGAGAGAGTGAGCAGGGAAGCCCGGGTATGGCCGAGGCGTTGTAGCCGAGCAGCACACCGATAAATATAGCGAGGAGAATCCACAGGGCCAGGTAGCGGTCGAGCAGCGACATGCTTTGAAACACGGCTGCACATTGTCGCATGGGGAAATTGTTGAAACACGAGGAGGAAGAGGGGGTGGGTAAAGGGTGGGGGAGAGAGGGAGAAAGAGAAATTTGAAAAGACAAGGAATTATGCAGGGATGAGGGAGCAGCGCCGAGAAGGTGTGCGATACGATGTGACATGCTGTAACATGACACGCTGTAACATGACACGCTGCGACAAGCTGTGAGATGGAGCAACCCACCGGCGGCGGAGAGCTCCTTGACGGCGGGCGCATTCTTCTCCTCCAGCGCCTCCACCACGCGGCACGCCACCTCCTCCTCGCCCTCCGCGCCCCAAACCAGCATCGCGCGCGCCGAGTCCGTCCGCGGAACGGCCTTTCGTGGGAAACGGAGACGGGAGAGGGGAGAGAGGAGAGGGTACGGGGAGAGAGAAAATGGGGGTAAAGAAAAGGTATGTGGTGCGAGGGGGGTTCAACCCAAGTCTGGGGAGACGGAACATGTAAGTGGGGAAATGCGGAATTGAGTGGAGACGGGGAGCACGTGACCCATATCAGTGGTAGAACCGGAAACTCGTGCCCTCGGCTTTGCTGCCCGATGGACTTGGTTCCGAATGACGTTCCTCCGTATGACGTACCTCGGACGGGCAGCAGCAGCTGAAATGCGTCGCGCCACTTCCCGCTTTCTTCATGGTAGCCGGGTACTCCTCCGTCTCGCCGGTGCTGCTCTTGAAGCGGCACCGCAAGCCCAGCTGCTGCTCGTTCACGCCAGGCTCCGACGACGCCAGCAGCGACGGAAGCGTCTTATTTTCCGGCACGCATCGCACTTCCACTCCATGAACTACAGCCTCCGCCATTGCAGCGTGATGAGAAGAAAATCGCGAGCGGATCGCGTAGGCACACGCCGCGGGGTGACTGAGACTCGATGGCAGCAAGTTGAGGATGTGTGAGGCAAAGCAACTGAAAGCTGAACGGCGAGTGAGAAGACGAGCGACTACTGAATCGAGCCACGATGAGCTGGATCAAGCAGAAGTGTCCCGAGCGATTTTATAGAGGTGGTGGTGGTGGAGGTTGGTTTCATCAGCTTTTGGCGGCGCTGTCGCAGAGGCGGGAAGTCAGGGATGTACCGTAACGTAATCTCGGTAATCTCGACAATCTCGGGTAGTCCTGGTGCTTGGCAGAAAACATTTTTAGCGTAGACGAGAAATTTCTCACGTCAAGTATATGGAAGCTGATCCCCTCTCTAAAACCGGATGATTATTCCGCTATTATGTTTTAGAGCTTCTGGTCAAGCGGAGTGTTTCCAGTTTCAGTTTTTGCCATCGCTCAGATTTACCCGGAAATATGGGGTCGTACATGTGCACAGAAACGCGCTTTCTGGTGTACTTCAAAAACTTGAATTCACAGTGGGGCTGTTTCGCATCCTTCAGACAGGTCCAGAGCATTATGAGTTTCCTGGAAATTCCAAGAAAAAGAATATTCCTTTTCTGGGGGAAAGTTGGAGGGGAGGGCAAGGTGGAATGCGGGGAGGGGGAAGGGGGTTGGGGGCAGGATACGAGGAAAGGGGGAACATTGCGGAAATATTCTCTTTCATCTCTGCTGGGGGAAAGATTCCGGAAACGGAACAAGAGAGGTATTTTCAAGTGGGTTTCTAGGAAATTATGGCTGGTCTGGGACAAAAGCTACTTAGAGCCACGCTGGCGCTGCCTAAGAGAGATTAAATCAAGCGGAGCTAATCAAGCTGAAAGCATTTGCGAGCACCATTTCCCGCACGTCTTCAGCTGTCTCCTTGGGTGAGTCCTGATGGTTGCTGCCGCTTTTCTGTCGCCGACAGTTGCTTTCTAATAGCGCGTTAATCGTTTGTTAATCGACGGCTTCGTGACATGCGGCCGCAGCCTTCGTCGTCATCATTCAGGTGTCTCTGGAATTTGTTATGTCGGCTGGAGTTACTGAAGTCAAACACCACGCCACCTCCCCTCCCATTACTCTTTGCCCCGCTTATCCCCATATACGCAGTAATCAATCAGCATGACGAAGCGCGTTCTTTTCGTTTGCAGCCACAATGCTAATCGCTCGATCGCCGCCGAAGCGATCGCCCGCCATCTGCGGCCAGAGCTCCAAGTCGAAAGCGCAGGTACGGGCCAAATCCGAGCGGTATCAACGCGGTTGAGTGAGGCAGCATTGGGAATTTTGAGAAGTAAAACGAGAGCATTTTTTTTTTCAAGGTGTCATAATGGTTAACCGTACGAAGAAAGAGACTGTTTATCAGCGATGAGAGGGAAAGTGAATGGTATGTGTGAGCATGAAGGAACGAGAAACAGGGTTGAATTATTCTAAGAACGGTTATGGCTTCATACCTGAGCATTGAGTTCCAATGTTAAAAGTGAGGCGAGGGTTACCAGCGTGTTTTTGAAGTTTTGACCCCTGATCTCTCTGACACAAACTTTTTGACACTGGATTCCAGTTGTACAGCTCTCTGTAGCACAGGGTTTAGGTAGCTTTAAGTCCAGAGTAGGTATGTCCAATTCACGTTTCCAATCATTTCGTCAAGCTTAAACTGGATCCATGGGGTACAGACACGAGCATGCTCGGTTCTGGTGATACGTCTTCGTACAAACGAATGATGTTTATGTGCTCGTTGCTGTGCCTTTCGTCCAGGCGTGGATGCCGCAGGGAAGCTGAATCCTGTCATGATCGAGGCTCTCAAGACACGTGGCTATCCCACTGACCATGCACGCTCCAAGGTAGATAGCAGAAATGACTCACCATATGGAGCTCATGGGTTTCCATGCTTCACGGCCATCATTAGCATCCACGAAGTGCGTCTTGAAATACGTTGACTGATTCTTTGCTGCTCTTTCACTGGTTGCAATCCACAGGGTATTGCAGATGAGACGATTGGGGGTCTGGAGAACAATTGGGATCTTATCGTCATGATGGGCTGTCTGGTGAGTTGGTGTCATGATGGTCTGTCTGGCCAGGCTCATGATGTGGTACGTTGGTTTGAGGTTTCAGGAAATATCGAAACTCGCATTTTCCAGTTGCATTCTCTGGGACCTTGCACTTTTATTCTGTTTTGCTAAATCATTCTTGCCACAGGATGGTTGTTCCATCATGCCATGATTCTAACCTTAGTCATGTTGCCCATATTCTGCTCTTTTCCTCACTATATAGTATGTTACTTATATCTTAAGCCTTTCCTCGTTTGTTTTCCTACCTGCAGCCGAACCTACCCAAGGTGGACCTGCCTGAGACTACTACTGTAGAGGATTGGGGTCTACCTGACCCCGCTGCACACCCTGAGTTGATGGATTCTGTGATTGAAAGGATTGTGGAAAAGGTGAAAGCTATCTAAGCTCGCATACATGTATTTCTCAATGGGCTGAGGCATTGCCAAGTAAATGAAAAGCTTCTATGAAGTATGAATCAGCTACTCCGAGAACATCAAGGCTTCATGCGAATATGCTGCAGGTAGAACGAATGGTATGGTAATGAATAAATAGGGTACCATGAATTGATTTATAACCATTGGAGTCTAGACTTTAGGGCAGATACAATGATAAGGACAAACAATGGATTCATTACCTCTAAAAGTGTGGATTTTTTACGTAAACCTAAGAAACACTGGACTACGTGCAGTTGGCAAGTATGAAGCTCCCAGACATGCACCAGCCGGCAAGCAGATTGGAGTTGAAATCCTGCTTATGGAAGAGGGGAGAGAAGGGAGGGAGGGGAGGACAACAGAGAGCAGAAAGATTACAAAAGTGTAGAAGCAAAGGGTAGTGACCAATGTTGAAATGAAAGGGTTCTTGCGTCCGAGCCCTCGCAAAAGAAAGCGGCCGAGCTGAGGTGGCAAAGGCTTCAGCCCAGCAGAGAGCAATGATGACCCGCGTCTTTCTTAAAGAGATTTTCCTCGTTTGAAGGATGAATCGTACGCAATCCCACCCCCTTCCCTCATGTGCTGCTAGGTGAGCTCTGAGCACCCCTGTCATTCACCAGGGCAGTAACCATTTCATCCGTTATCACTTGATCACCACTACGACTCACCCTTGCATTCACCACTGCGACTCACCCTTGCATTCACAACTGCGACTCACCCTTGCATTCACCACTGCAACTCACCCTTGCATTCACCACTGCAACTCACCCTTGCATTCCCCACTGCGACTCACCCTTGCATTCCCCACTCTGATCACTCAACCTCACAATGCCACACTACGCACTGTCCCATCGGAACAACTAGTGCACTCGTGATGCCCCATTGCCCCTTTGCCCCCCTCCCCTGCTGTTGACCTTCGAGTCAACTCAGAGGCCACTCATTCTCACAACGCCACACCAGGCATTGACCCATTGGAACAACTGGTGCACTCGCGACGCCCCGTTGCCCGCTTGATCCCCTCCCCTGCTGCTGACCTTTAAGTCGACTCAGAGTCACTCACCCTCACAATGCCACACCAAGCGCTGTCTCCTTGGAACGACTGGTGCAAAAAAACACAATTGCAATTTCCCTTGTGTAGCCCTCCCGCACTCACCCTTGCAATGCCACACAAGGCGCTGTCTCCTTGGAACGACTGGTGCAAAAAAACACCATTGCAATTTCCCTTGTGTAGCCCTCCCGCACTCACCCTTGCAATGCCACACCAGGCGCTGTCTCCTTGGAACGACTGGTGCAAAAAAACACCATTGCAATCTCCCTTGTGTAGCCCTCCCGCACTCACCCTTGCAATGCCACACCAGGCGCTGTCTCCTTGGAACGACTGGTGCAAAAAAACACAATTGCAATTTCCCTTGTGTAGCCCTCCCGCACTCACCCTTGCAATGCCACACCAGGCGCTGTCTCCTCGGAACGACTGATGCACTCGCGATGCCCCTTTGCTCCCCTCCCCTGCTGCTTCCGCTTCTGCTGCTGCTTCTCCATCGGCTACCCTGGCCCCTCTGCCTCCCCCTCCTCTCTCTCCCAATCCTCCTCCTCTGTCCAACTCCATCTCCTCCTCCCGGTGTGCACACCCCACATCCTCTTTACACACGCCCCCTCTACAATTCTGTTCCTCTCTGTTCCGCTGCTCCCTGTTCTGATGCTCCCTGTACTGTTGATTCACTTTCTCTCTACTTGGCTGCGCCCTTCCCCTCCCCCCGGCCTCAATCCCTCCCCATTCCCCCCCCTTGCCCCCCCTTCCACTCCCCCCTTTACCCCTCCCTTTCTCTGCTCTTCGCACCCCTCCCGCCCTCCCCTCGCCTTCAGTCCACCTCCCACATACCACCTCATTATCACCGCTCCACACAAACACAGATTCATCCGATTGAAATGAAAGACCCTCCAGTCCCTCTTGTCTCGCTTCCTCTCTCCCGCCACCAGCCACAGGGAAAGCTATTCCCATCACGTCCTGCCGAACGCAGCCGACCCATCGGCCTCTCGCCGCCCATTTGCGCACGTCGTACACAGCTACAGTGCGCTCGGCCCCTCCTACTGCCACTAAGCCTGTTACCAAGCCTGTTCCCGAGCCTATTGTCGAGGCTAGGGCGTAGAGAGGCTCGGCAGCGGGAGAGACGGTGATTCGCTGGATGCAGCCACCGTTTTCAGCGGCCCTCTCGTCCCAGATGCTGAGCTGGCATGATGACATGGCATGGTGACATGGCATGGTGACGTCAGACGTTGGTGCTAGGAAAATTTCAGACAGAGGCTGCCGGCATGAGTTGCTAATTCAGCGTTCAATGTGGTGATGCAGGCTTGCTTACATGCATCTGTATGTGAGCTGTGCTGAGCCATGTACATGCCCCCCCCACCACCCCACACGCACGTGAGTCCCCACAAACACACAATTGAATAATCGAACCACACCTCACCGCACAAAAGAGACAAAAGAGACCCCAACCCACACACACCTGAGGCCCTTCGCACACTGCCAGCAGCCTCACCCCTTCAACCGCATTCCCCTCCCCCTCCCCTTCCATCTCCCCTCCCCTCCGCTTCCCTCCCCTTCTGCCCCGCTCAGTTCCCCCCAGGAAGCCCACAGCAGCGGGGGGGAAGGGCAGGTGGAATGTGCGCAGGGGGGAAGCGGGGGAGGGGAAAGCAGGGTCGTGCAGGTCTACTAATCGGGGGAAGAAACAGGACGTAGCCACCTGGTGCGGGGAGAGAGAGGGGGGGGGAAGAGGAGGTGATGTGGAAGAGGGAGGGGAAACACTTTGAAGCTGGGGAAGTGGAGTCTGCGTCGTGCAGGTCTAGAGAGAGGGGGAATAAGACGGAAGTAAAAGCTGGTGCAGGGGGGAGGCTAGTTTTGAGGCGCCTCAAAACTAAGACGGAAGTAAAAACTGGTGCAGGGGGGAGGCTAGTTTTGAGGCGCCTCAAAACTAAGACGGAAGTAAAAACTGGTGCAGGGGGGAGGCTAGCTTTGAGGCGCCTCAAAACTAAGACGGAAGTAAAAACTGGTGCAGGGGGGAGGCTAGTTTTGAGGCGCCTCAAAACTAAGACGGAAGTAAAAACTGGTGCAGGGGGGAGGCTAGTTTTGAGGCGCCTCAAAACTAAGACGGAAGTAAAAACTGGTGCAGGGGGAAGGCTAGTTTTGAGGCGCCTCAAAACTAAGACGGAAGTAAAAACTGGTGCAGGGGGGAGGCTAGTTTTGAGGCGCCTCAAAACTAAGACGGAAGTAAAAACTGGTGCAGGGGGGAGGCTAGTTTTGAGGCGCCTCAAAACTAAGACGGAAGTAAAAACTGGTGCAGGGGGGAGGCTAGCTTTGAGGCGCCTCAAAACTAAGACGGAAGTAAAAACTGGTGCAGGGGGGAGGGGGGCAGGAAGGCGGGGAGAGGGTGAGTCAAGTGGAGTCAACCGAGTCAATCAAAGTCAAGTCAGAGATGTTGCAGGGGTACATAAACACTGTACTTTACACAAACACAGTGTATGTAAATATTCATGGCGCGCATACACTGTACACATACCATGAAGAATTACACATCACTGTACACTGTACGTTTACACTGTACACTGTACGTTTACACTGTGCACTGTACGTTCACACTGTACACTGTACGTTCACACTGAACCACTGAATATTTTTTTGCTGTACCACTGTATTCTTCTGGGTCGAGAGCCCTGTGACAGAGATGGCAGCAGAGTCCCCTCCCCGGCTCAGTGACGCCGCAAGGGGCAAACAAACACCTACACGATACATTTTGATTAAAGTACACTCAGTCTCAGACAGTACAATGGTACGTGAGCCATACTCAAAGGGTGAGGGTCCTGTGACTGAGATGGCAGTGCAGCACGGGCCCCGCTCAGTGATGCCGCAGGGGGAAACGGACACTTGCACGGTACAATCAAAACATACACTGACACACACAGAGCACAATGAGCACTTGGTACGTGAGCCATACCCGGATGGTGGAGGGTCCTGTGACAGAGATGGCAGTGCAGCATGGGCCTGGCTCAGTGATGCCGCAGGGGGAGGGGGCGAGGTGGCAGAGGGAGTCAGGAGTCACTGCCATGTGCGGGGCGATGGGGGAGATGGGGGGAAAGGGAAGGGTGGGAGGAAGATGGCAGAAGCATATGAGCAGCATGGTCCCAGTTGGGAACCTTAACGTCCCGCAGTGGAAGGGGAGAGGTGGCCGAGGGAGTCGAGAGGCACTGCGATGTGTGAGGCTATCGATGGGAGAGATGAGGAGGAGTCGCAGAGACGAGGAAGAGTGGGAGAGTGGGAGATGGAACCAATAGTTGCTGCTGCTGAAACGCGGGGGGGGGAGAGGGGAAGGGAGGGGAGGGGAGGGGAGGGGAGGGGGGGAGGGGTGGAGAGCAGCAGCATGGTGGCGTGCACTTGTCTTGGCCAACCAAGGAGAAAATGCAAGTGACAATGAGAGCTTGAAAAGGAAAACGAGAGCTGAATTGGTTGACTCGGTTGACTCGGTTGACGTTGCTGACTTACCAGATGAAGAGGAGAAGGTGGAGACGATGGCTCGACCAAGTGAGTCCACAGAGGAAAGGAGAGTGGCGGCTGGAGGCAAGATTGGATAGGGGGAGGAGAGAAGGGTGTATGAGGGAAGGGGAAGGGAAGTTGCCAAGAGAATAGGGAAAGCAAGGTCATGCAAAGAGAAGTCAAAAGGGGGGGAGAGATGAAGCCATGGCAGAGAAGAGCAAAGGTGGGGGCTCTTGATCGAACGAGTTTGCATAGATATTTTGTTTGTGCTGTGGCTACTAAAATACAGGTGAGCCATATGCTCGTGCGAGAGAGAGTCAGATGTAAATGAGCAGATGCGCTCTTCCAGTTCTGCCTCTCTGATCCTCTTGAGCCTGACACATGTAAGCCACGTGTTGCTCATCAGCACCACTCCTGCTCACCTGCTCGCCCTCCGGTGCCTCCCAGGGCCGCAGATGCGAGGCTCTGCACGGGCAGTGCGTGCAGGAGAGAGGGGACAGGCACTGGTGTGACGTCCTGAAGGGGAGGAAGGGGGGGAGGGGGGGACACGGGGAGGGGGATGGGGAGGGGGATGGGAGGGGAGAGGAGAGGTGGGGAGAATTGGACAAGCAGCATGATGTGATTTTCGAGACGTCTCCAGAAAAGGTGACAAGTAGCATGGTGTGGACACGTGGCATGGAGAGGTGGTATGATGATGAGGCGGCATTCATATGATGGAAGCAGAAACTTCCGGAATCCCACCTGAATGGCTTAAACCAACTTGAAAAAAGATCAATGTGAATAAACAAGGTCAAGTGAACAGGGTAAATCAACTTACCCGAACAATGTGCATAACAGATCCCACATGAACAGTGTCAATCAACAGAACCCACCTCGACACGGTGCGGCAGAAGCACCTGCGCCTTGCCCTGTTGCAACAAATTCTCCTGGCCTACTGGCATTTGACAGTGATACACCTGACGTCCAGATGCAATGTACGCGTCACACACGCCATCCCTAGGAAGGAATTGGAGGAGGGGGAGGAGGGGAGGGTTGAAGAGTGCGAGAAATACGCGGGTGGGCAAAGGGCACTAGCGAGGATCATGAGAGACGCAGTCAGAGTGGAAAGAGTTGTATCGCAAATCACGGGCCCGCACGGTAAGCGATTTCTCGCCTCAAATCAACGTTGCCATGTAGTAGCTAAGAAAGGAGATTCCCGGGGACATGTTCAACGAGCCGGGAATGCGACGCGGCAGGCTGCTTTGAGTGCGACTAGGAACGAACGTACCGACGCGAATGTGCCTGGAATGCGACGCGGCAGGTGTACTCGGCGTAACTCGCGGAGGGGTTAGACTGCAGGAGCAAGCGAGCTCTGATGACGGAGCGCGCTGATGGCGCCATGGAGGCTGGTGCTGCTCAATGGTGCTGAGGTGATCAACAGAAAGGTGTCGGGGCTGTTGATCAAGCTATCCCCGTATGTGGCTAGGAGCAGTGCACTTTTCAACTAAATGTAAAAATGTAAGATGTGCACTGCAAAGCATGAGGGGAGTTGTTGAGGCATTTTAACGAAACCATATATTATTGACGCTAACTAGATACTGCGATCCCCTAACCAGCCACACAATAAAGATCTAGGTTAGTCTCTTGGAACTGCCTTGATAATCTTCACATCATGGATGGGCCTGCACAGCACAGCACCAAGCGAAGAATCGGAGTGAGGTGAGGCGAGACGGCGCAAACCGGCGGAGACGGGAAAAGTAAGACTGACACAAAAGGACAAAATCACGAAGGTCAGAAAGAGCTCTGCATCACCCACTAGCGGGGAAGAGTACTGGGTTACTGTGCATGCATGCAAGAACGCATCCCATTCCTGCTGCATCACCTGTCAGTCCTGTCGGCCTGCACGTTGCCCAGCCGTTTCAGCACGTCCATTCCATGCGACACACGACCGAATATTGTGTGCTTGCCTGCAGTGCAACAAGAGAGTTGAGTGAGACAGGACAGGATATAGCCAATCTAGCAACTTCTCAAATCTTCTGTGTAGTGCATTTGAGGCGTTTAGTGTTGAATCTATAATTGTTGAGGCAGTTCTGAAGTGGTGCGAGGGTGATCAGTGAATGCACCATCAAGCCAGAGAGTAAGGATGACATAATTCAATCCACTCGCCATCGAGCCAGGGAGTAAGGACGAAGGAATTCAAGCCACGCACCATCGAGCCAGGGAGTGGGGGCGAGAGTGAGGAAGAACTGGCTGCCGTTGGTGTTGGGCCCGGCATTGGCCATGGACAGCACACCGGCACCCGTGTGCTTCAACTCACGTGTTATCTCGTCCTCAAACTTGGCTCTGGGCCGTGGGGGGACACAACAGAAGGGTTGGGAGTCAGGAGGAGAAGAGATGACTGGGGTCAGTGATATCGACTTCAGAGGTGGCTCAGGAACGAGAGTTATGTGATTGGGATGATGAGAGGAGCAGTGGAGAGTAAGGTGACTCTGATCTGAGACCTAAGGACTTCGGAAGTGCAACGGAGAGGTTGAACACATATCCATGGACAGTGGGATGCATGTCACTCCACCCAACACTTTCCTGGCTTCCTTACACCCAGCGAACCTTAAGGTGCCTAAAGAATCACTCACCCATAGATGGACTCGCCTCCTCGTCCAGTCCCTGTGGGATCACCGCCTTGAGCCATAAAATCCTGCCAATGCACAATGCAGAAGTGACGGGTGAATCGGAGAAGTTAATGTTTCAAATGGCAAATATGAGCTTCTGCTGAAGCAGCAGTATTGGTCACAGCAGCAGTGACTGGAAACCGACGGAAACAATAAGATAATTGCCACCAAAACCTTGTCTAGGGTCCAACGCTAATCTCGGCCCCTGCAATAGTCTACAGGATTTAAGCATTGCTTAGTCACCAGCCGGAATGGTGCCAGATGGACTTGATCACTCAATTTGCAGTTCCAATAGATCGCTGGGTTCAACAGCTCACCGTATCTCGCGCTGCCAGCTCACCTTAATCACTCGGTGGAACTTGGTCCCATTGTAGTACCCTCTCCGTGAGAGCTCTAAGAAGTTTCTGCACGTCTTGGGAGCGTGCTTGTGGTACAACTGCACAGTGCTTCGCAAGGTGATTTGGAAAGGGTGCGGACGAGGAAGGAGAACCGATGCATTATTGGTAAAAGCACATGTTTAGGGAATGTATGAAATCGGATTCGGATTCCTCAAGTTTGGCGCAAATCGCCAAACGATAGTTATATCAATACCGGCGGCCGCTACGTGAAAAATAAATATTGTGACCGACAAAGATGTACTCTTTGCAACCCTCAACGGAAACTACGCTCAACCTATAACCTACCTCGACTGTTATTTGTCCCATTGTTGTATCCAGCACCACTTCTGGTGCTGCATCGTCGGCCATATCTCCTTCCGCAGTCTACGATATATTGCGACGAGCGGCTAAGGCAATCCAAGCCAGTAAACGAGCTGTATTGATGGAGGGCTGAAGACAGCCAAGGCACGGAGCTTGGAGCAGGATCTGGTCACACATGAGTTGTACGAATGGGTGGAGCGAAGGACTGTACCTTGGCATTTCCAGTTTCATGCTAGGCAACACTGTTGACCCCAGGCTCGTACAGGTCGTCCAGGTTTCATCAGGTTACCATCACAGACATGTACTGTACTGTTTGAGAGCAGCTGTGTTACAAATTCTGGCACTCAACCCTGAGTACTGTACTCGTGCTCGAAGTGCATTCTGGCTCGGCTTGTACAGATCATCTGTCAGCGATTTCGACTCCAGTTCGCAGAGCAAATATCCTCCCTCCTCGTCACGCCCAAAAATTCAATTCCCCATCTAGCCTCGAATATTCCGCCTTGATATCACTTGGCACGAGATACTAGCTGGCAGTGCCTGCACCGAACCACTCGTCGATGTTGATCTCTCCGAATCTATCAGTTTCGATTGTTCATACCTCAAAAGCTTCGTTCTTTGCGTTTCCGTGTGCTATAGGTTCTCATAGTTTCACGACGAGACTATTACAATTTAGAGATTGCCGTTTTCCCACGAAGGTATTCTCTCGACATCTTGAACCCGGTTTTTGCTTACAGTCTTGGACCCGTGATTCGACCCACGCCTTCTCCACGCCCACAGTCGGAACTTGCCAGCTTCCCTCCTCCCTTATTTTTTAGGAGCATCTTATTACGCATCGATAATTTCCAAGGTTCACGATTTGCAAACTAATTAGCATGGCGAATCACATGCACCACATTCCGCCTCGAACGGGTTCACCCTCTCCTGCATTGATTAAGCCGACCGAATGCACCTTGCCAGGATCGTGAGTACTGCTGCCAGTGCGCGACATGACAGGGGTGGGCTCACTGATTGTTCTTGGCTGCTACTCTGGACCCGCTTCTGGCGAATATGAAAAGCTAGCTCAAGGAAGTGTCATTGTTGCGAAGCATGCTACGTTCTCTAGCCTCTCTTTTTACTCCTATTCCCAGTCCTCCACAGTTGAACCCTCCTCGCCTCACCATGGCTCCTCTCATCTCTTCCTTCAATGAGAATGTCCGTCCGATGCTGGATGCGATCGACAAGCTCCGGCTTCTAGGTCTCAAGGAAGAGGGGATCGAGCTCCCAACGATCGTTGTGGTCGGTGATCAGTCCAGCGGCAAGTCCTCCGTTTTGGAAAACCTGTCTGGAATCAGCCTGCCGAGAGGCAAGGGAATTGTCACTCGAGTGCCACTGATCTTGAGGCTCCAGTCATGTGTGAAAGGACAGGAAATGATAACGATCGAATACACCCCCCTTACCGGTAAGGTGTCCAAAGTCTTGCCTGATGAAGAACTGATTGAGCAGGAGATTTCCGAGGCGACTGTGGCCTTGGCTGGGAACCGGAAAGGCGTGATGAATTGCCCAATTACCCTGCAAGTGCAGCGCCCCGACTTACCTGATCTGACGCTGGTGGATCTGCCTGGAATTACACGTGTTCCTATTGAGGACCAGCCGAAGGACATCTACGACCAGGTTAAGGCAATGATCATGCATTACATTACTCCGGAAGAGAGTGTAATTCTTAACGTTCTTGCAGCTGAGGTGGATTTCACGACATGCGAGTCCATTGTGATGTCGCAAGAGGTTGACGAGGATGGAGATCGCACCCTGGCTGTCGTCACCAAGGTTGATCGGGCTCCTGATGGCCTTTATGAGAAAATTCAAGGAAATTCGGTGCGGATTGGGCTTGGCTATGTGTGTGTCCGGAACAAGACAGACGCTGATGCATCTCATGACGATGCAAGAAGGGCGGAAGCTGCTTTCTTCAACAACCATCCTGAATTGTCCCAGATTGAGCCCCATTGCCTCGGAATTCCAGCCCTTGCTCAAAGGCTGACGGAGATTCAGGCCAAGAGGGTTGCAGACAGCATCCCAAGGATCAGACAGGCCATTCAAAAGGCTCTTGTTGGTAAGGAGTCTGAACTTGAGATTATCCCGTTTGCTGCCACCTCTAACGCTTCAGCATTGGGGATTGTTTCTTCAACGATCCAGAAGAGACGGGACATGATGAGTGGTGTCATCGGTGGGAAGTATGGCCCGTTTCAGAGTGATGATGCGATGCACTATGCTGCCAGGCTGCATGAGAAGTTCAACAAATTCGAGGTGCAGATGAGGGGTGTCCTTCCGGACTTCCTTGGAACCGACTACTCTGAAAGGTGTAAAGAAGCTTTGAAAGAGGTGGCTGGGATTTCGCTCCCAAACATGTTTGACCAGGCTGTGGTGAAGCAGCTTGTCCAGGAGGTGGTGGACAGTGTTGAAGGGCCGTGCTTGCTCCTAGTGAACGACTGTTTCGCCTATGCAACCGAGGTGCAGCAGGCTGTGGCATCACACATCTGTGGGATTTACCCTGGGCTGAACAACGTGGCTCACCTTCAAGGCCTCAATGCCCTGAGGAAGGCTAAGGAGTCAGCAAGCCGTTTCATTCAAGACATGCTGACTAAGGAGAAGAAGGTGATCTTTACGCTCAACCATTACTACATGGACACGGTGTCTCAAATCCATGTGAAAATGGCCGAATACAAGAAAGGGCAGCCTGGTAGCTCGGAGCAAGGTCCCCCTCCTATTCCTTCTATTGGAGACTTCGCCTCCAGCACTGCTTCACTCGCCAATCTGATAAGCAACGACGACCAGGCTGCGAGGGATCTTCAGATCAACATGTTTTCTTATGCCAAGGTGATGCACAAGAGGTTGTGTGATGTGATCCCCATGGAGATTCGGATGTGCCTTGAGAATGCTCTCCTGGATGGCATTGATGGTGCTGTGTGGCGGGAGATTCATGCTGGAGACATATCTAAGATAGCAGCCCTGAAGGCTGTTGATCAGCAGCGTAGGGTTCGACTGGAGGAGAGCATAAAACGGCTGAAGGCATCTGAAGCCACGCTGCTGTCACTCGCATTTGATGTTCCTGGTTTGCTAGCCTAGTCTGGAAATGCACGTCTGTCTGCTTCACAAATTAGTGTTGTGTGCTTAGTCGGACGCGAATGGGTGGGCAATGGTCAATTTGTTGCTCTCCGTAAACATATCCGTAAAGAAAATGGCGGAGTTAGTCATAGCGAGGAACCCTCCACCAACAGCCGCCACGCGAGATCATTTGCCACGTGTTGAAGTGTGACTCAGCAACAAGCCCATCGCTGCGCTTCTTTCTCCGCATGGATGTCCAGCTCCAGCGAATGCATACATGCCCGCTTAGGAGTCACACCCAAAATCGAGGACTAGTCATAACAACTCCGCGAAATTCTGGGTGTACTAACTTCGTGACTTTGCTTTTCTGACGTGTTTTTCTCAACCACTTGTGCATCCCTTTCTTTATTTGCTAATCTGTATTGCAAAAAAATCACTCAGTTGTACCTACCAACCTAGTCGGGTTTTGCATACACTTTCACTCTATTTCCAGAGCAAAGACAGAAAACTCCTTGCCACCGTTCGAATGTTGTTGGAACTTGCAGCTAGCAAGCACAGCTGTGAAGAACACAGGAGGACCGCTTCATAGTTGAGACGACGGTCGTGATCACAACTATCAGACCGCATCCTTATCGTTCGTATTCGTCCACTGTCGTCGTCGTCGGTTTTTCTTCTTTCATCTCGCGTTACCTCCATCTCTCTTTCCCGCTTTACTCTCCGGCGTCGTCCGCATTCTTACGACCTGCGAACTGTAACGCGTTGCCTCGCGTCGATCCAGATTCGATCCTTCCAAACACCTCGAGAAGCGCTTCCCCTTGCCGTCTCGGTCCAGTTGCTTGCTTTTCCTGGCGGAGCGATCCATTCTCCCCCTGTCGCCTTGCGTTCGGCGAGATCTATTCGACCTCGATCACCTTCCATTCGGTGGGATCCATTTGATCTGCGTCGCCGTGGGTGGTTGTGCGATCCAGTTCATTCGACCTCCGTCGCCTCGTCGCGCGTTGCGGTGCGATTCAGTCGCGGGAATGCAGTCAGCGGTCGGGGCGAGCAGCATGTCCAGCCCCGCCAGCCAGACCGCCAGAATGCATCCGCCGATCCGACTGGGATCTGCTAACAGGTGAGTCTATAACGTGGACGCAAATCAACTTCGAGTCTTTCCGCAGTACAACCGACAGACAACGGGGAGAGAAGAGGGAGGGGGCGTGGGAAGGGAGGGAAGGGAGGGAAGGGAGGGAAGGTAGGGAAGGGAGGGAAGGGAGGGAAAGAGGAAGGGGGAAGAGGGGAGGAGGGAGGGGGAGGAAACAACATAACTGATCCAGAGGAAACAACATAACTGATCGAGAGGAAACAACTTGCGGCGGGTGCTGAAGACAAAACGGCGTCTGTTTGTCGCGAGCTTGCGAAGGATCCTCATAAGAGAGGAGCCGAGTTTTGGGTTGAGAGAAAGAGATAGATAACCACAAGAAAGAGGTGGCGTGCATGTTTTTTTTTATTACCCGGACATCATAAACAAAGCAGAGGAAAGCCATGTATGTGCGACGACAGGAGGTTTACGAAAGCAGGGAGTTATAGCTACCTAGTTCAAGCTTCCTTACTGAAGCAAGCAAGCGAGTCTTAACACTTGCTTTTTCTCTCCTCGCCCGCCTCCCCACAACGTGTGTGTGGAGTCATGTAGCATTTGTGCAGCATTCCTCCGCGTATTGCGTTACGTGTCCCCTTAAACCTCGCCATTGCATTTTCAAACCCTTTCTCCTCGGTTCATAAACCCTCGGTACTACGCCCCCCCCCCCCCCCCCTCCAACCATTCCTCTTTCGTCACTTTCCTCCCTCCCCGCTCTTTCTGACTAGTTGCCGCTTAAACCCTCCGCCAATGTAAAGTTCCATTCTCCTCCCCCCTGTCCCCTTTTTCATCCCCTCCACCCCTCCACCCCTCTCCTCTCGCTCGCCCCCTCTCCCCACGCCCCCTCCCTCTTCCGCGCAGTGCTCCCTTCCAGTTGCGCCCATCCCAGTTCCCACCACCCCCAGCCATCAACCTCCAACCGCCGCCTTGTTGCGCTACGAGCAGAAGCTGCCACGTGTCCAACTTCTGCCCCGTCCCTCCGCCCATAGCGCGCCAACACCTATCCAGATCCGCCCGCGCATCCGCTCATTCTTCCCCCGCGCGCCCGCTTCCCCCGCTCGTTGGCTGTAGCGCCGCTGTAGCGGACAGAGCGGGCAGGAGAGGGCGGAGAGGGCGGGTCAGGGCTGGGAGTGGGTGGGCGGGCGTGGGGAATGGGGAGAGACAGCAAGAAATTGGTTCGGAAGAAGGGTGGGGTGAAGAAGAGCAGAGGGATGGAGGGGATAGGGGTGGCGAGGAAAGGGAGGAAGGAGAGGAGTGGGAAGGAGAGGAGGGGGAGGATGATCTGGTGGAGGGTGGATCTATTTCGCTTGATAACGGGGTGAGTTAACATTCCCTTGCCCTCTCCTTTTCTTGCTCTCTCACTTTTGCCCCTTTCTTATTCCTACCAATCCAGCCCCCACCCCATCCACCTTCTACTCTGTTTCACTCTGTTGCCCCTCCCTCCTCGCACATCCCTCCTTTCTCGAAAGGTCCATGTTTTTGGATAAATCTGGAATTACAAGTAAGCAGGGTCAGATGTTTACTTGGAATTATTAGTAAGCAGATATGCAAGAAAACACTCGCACACACTCTCCCGCGCTTTCTCGCCACCCCTGTCAGTTTCAGTTCTACTCATCGGACCAAGGCCCTTCAAACCCGGAGAACCGAGCAGCAGAATACGCAGCAGCAGCAGCAGCAGCAGCAGGAGCAGCTTCAGGGGTAATCTCAGGAAGTAACAGCAGCAGCAGCAGCAGCAGCAGCAGCAGCAGCAGCAGCGCCAGCAGCAGCAGTGACAGCAGCAGCAGCAGTGGCAGCAGTGGGGGAGCCAGCGGGGGGGCGGGGCTGTACCGAGTGCCGGTGTCGGGGGGCGTGCAGAGCGCCACTGCCTCCCACGGGCTGCCCTCGCCTGCTGTTGCCGTGCGCAACCTCGTGGAGCAGGTGAGACGGTGGTGTGTGTGGGGCCAGGTGGTGTGTGTGAGGAAGGTGGTATGTGGGGCAGGTGGTATGTGGGGCAGGTGGTATGTGGGGCAGGTGATATGTGGGGCAGGTGGTATGTGGGGCTGGTGGTATGTGTCTCGCAACCTGGTGGAGCAGGTGAGATGGCCGGTGTGTGTGTGGGGCAGGTGGTGTGTGGGGCAGGTGCTTTGTGGAGCAAGCAGTATGTGCCACGGGCAGGCTGTCCGCGGCCAGTGTGTGCATGCGGGACAGGTGCTACTCCAAGATTGTATGTGCTTGCCACGACGAGATAGAAGTGTAGTTTTGAGACGTCTCAAGACGTCTCAGGACGTCTCAAGACGTCTCAGGACGTCTCAAAACGTCTCAGGACGTCTCAAAACGTCTCAAAACTACACTGTCCGCGTCCAGTGTGTGCATGCGGGACAGGTGCCACTCCAAAAATGCAGGTGCTTGCCACGATTCAACCGTATGTCAAGGCACCTCCCCCCCATGTCCTCTTCTTTTTTGTCCCCCCTGTGCACCACACAGGCGCGCTTCGCCCATCTGTGCAGCATCATGTCGCGCATGCACCACCGCCGCAAGGGCTACCCGTTTGGCTCGCTCGTCGACTTTGCCACCGACGACGAGGGCCGTAAGTGGGGAGGTTCAAACTCAAGGGCCATAAGTTGTTCGTTGGGTGAAGCCTCCTCGTGCATACCTACGGAGGCTCTGCTCTGGGCTCTAGTTCGTTGGGCTTCCTTGCAGTGAAGAAATTTGATCTGATTCTCGAGAACTTTTTTTTTTTTGGGGGGTGGGGGGGTTCCAAAATAAAGTGAACCAGTTTGTAGCTCATCCATTTCCCTTTATCAAGTAACCTGAAACTGGAATTTTCCCTTAATGATTTGGTTTGTTCGTCCACCATTTCTTTTTTTAAAACAGAAAAAAATTCATGTATGTGTATTGTCTGCTTCTGCTTCTCTGTGTGCAGATCCCATATTCCTCCTCTCGCCTCTCTCCATACACACGCGCAACATGCTTGCAGACCCTCGCTGCACTCTTGTTGTTCAGGTAACCACTCGTGCATGCCATCGCTCACCATTCTCATTCTTTGTATTCCACTCTCCATCTCTTTGCTTTCGCAGACACGTGTTTTTTTCCTGTGATTTTTTTCTTTCACTCAGTTTTGCTGCTGATTGACCCCCTTTTGAGACGTATCAAAACTTGTGACATTTGAGACCACTCAGTTTTGCTGCTGATTGAGCCACAAATCTCAGGGTGGAGCGGGCTGGCCAATGCACGTGCCACCAAGTTTTTCTCCTGTGCTGCCCTCCCAGCAGCAGTGGTCTCAGGCTACTAGACAGCTTCCACTTGCTCAGCTTGCTCGACGCTCAATCTACTCTTGGGTGCATCCCCCCTTCCTACACTCGTGCCCTCCACTCCCCCTCCCTCTCCCAGATCCCAGGGTGGAGTGGGCTGGCCAACGCACGGGCCACCATATTTGGAGACGTGTATCCGGTGCCGCCGTCCCAGCAGCAGTGGGCACAGCGCTTCTGTGAGGAGGCCCAGCCTTTCAGCCGCCCCAGTCAGCCGATACACACGTCTCAGCAACCATGCTCTTTCCCACCTTCCCCTCTCCATCCTTTCCCTCATGCTACCCTCCACTCCCCTCCCCACTGTACCAGATCCCAGGGTGGAGTGGGCTGGCCAACGCACGGGCCACCATATTTGGAGACGTGTATCCGGTGCCGCCGTCCCAGCAGCAGTGGGCGCAGCGCTTCTTTGCCCGCCGTCACCACCACGGCGCCGCCCAGATGTGGGGCAACTTCAGCTACTACCGCATGCAGCAGATCTGGTAGGGTTACTAGCCCCTCTTGGGTAAGTCAGGGTTTTAGCTATGCAGATGTGGGGTAACTTCAGCTATTACCGCATGCAGCAGATCTGGTTGGGTTACCAGCCCCCTATGGGTTAGATAGGGTTTTAGCCATGCAGGTGTGGGGCAACGTCAGCTACTACCGCATGCAGCAGATCTGGTTGGGTTGTCGCACAGGTGTGGAGGAGCTACGACTACCCTTGTGTTTTCTTTAATTTTGCAGACGTTTCAAACCCACTTCCTCTCTTTTTATTTAAATGTGCAGTGACATCTATTTCGTGGGCGGCTTTGGCACGGTGGCGTGGATTGATGTGAAGGACTACCTTGCTGCCACACCGGATGCCATCGTGCTGCATGACTCTGAGGCCATTCTGCATGTGAGTTGGGGATGGGGGGTGGAGGGAGGCTGTTGGGTGGTGGGTGGGTGGATGGATGGGTGGGTTGGTGGGTGGGTGGGTGGGTGTGTGGGTGGGTCGGTCCGTCGCACACACTTTGCTGCCACACCGGATGCCATCGTGCTGCATGACTCCGAGGCCATACTGCATGTGAGTGGGGGCGTGGGTGGGCGGGGGTGTGACATGACACACTACCATGATGCCACACCGGATGCGATTGCGCTGCACAACACCAAGGGCACATCGTGCGTGAAAGAGGGATGGGGTGGAAGGCACAAGGGACTGCCAGTGGGCTGCATGTGGGTTGTGAGGCAGGAGCAGAGCAGAATGTACAGCTGGGTTGGGGTTTGATCTTGGGGTTCGGATCTTTATGGGCTTCGAAAATAAAAAATAAAAAAAAATCAAACAAACAAACAAACAATCCTGTGCCTCCCGTTGAGCAGGAGTTGAACGTACGGCTGGGATCGGATCTGAAGCGCCAGCTGGTGTCGATCCTGCCGCAGCCTGTGGACGATGCACTGTTCATCAGCATCGACGGCAAGGGTGTTGACATCCGTGTCCGGCATGGCGCTAAGGTGAGTGGCTGCTGTTGGCACGGCGCTAAGATATGGGGCGGAGCTATGATTGTGTAGTGCTGTTGGTGCTTCCTGTGGGGCCAAGGTATGGCGTTGCTGTGGGTTTCTTGTGTGTTGTCTGTGCTTCAAACAAACCCCTCTCCCCAACCCTTCCCCCCATCTTTCCCCAACCAGTTCAATGTGCAGCGGCTGTCATTCAGTGCATCATCGGAGGTGCGGGACACAGAGGAGGCCGTGGCAGCGCTGCACCAGGTGCTTAGCCAAGGCGTCACCCCTCTCTCCAACGGCATGCTGCAATAACCACCCATCGCATCCATCCACACGCCCTTTTTGAGGCGCGTAAAAAAAACCGCGCCAAGGCGTCACGCCTTCATCCAATAGGGTACCCTGATGATAAATCCACACCCCACCTTGCACGCACATACAGGCACATGCTAACACCATGGATGGCAGCAGGTTTGGGTGGCCCTTCCAATCTGCCATTCGGGGTAGTTGCTTTGCTGCTCGATTAGAAATCCGTGCCATGGTTGGCAAATTTTGTTGCATTCAATCAAGCGATGGGGATGAATTTGGAAGAACCGCTCTCTATCATTGCTTACGTATTGGTGTAACTTATTAATGCTGTTACGCATGGGTCACCAACTTTCTTTCACGCATGGCAGTTCTTGGACAGGTGAAATATTGTGAAGTGTCATGGAGGGTGAACTGATGCTGGGATTACGGGTATCTTGAAAAGCCGCTTGGTCCATTCTTGCTTTATTTATATGGTAGTGCTACGATTGATGACCTGGGAAAGGATTGCAATTTTCAGCAGAATAAAGCTTTTGCTGTGGCACACACACACGCAAGCACCAGCCAATACATGGCTGCAGGAACTTTTCAGACGAGGCAAGGCTGGCTCACACTGGAGGTCAACCCACTTGACTAGCGAGTGCCAGCCGGAGGTGTCACGACGATCATGCAATGCTGCTCGCGAGAGCCTGCGCTGTGCAGCGCTGCATGTGCGGTGGGGTGGGTTGAGGAGGCAAGGGGGTGAGGAGGAAAAGGGGTAGTGAGGGAGGCGTGGGGGAGGTTGGTTTTGTCATGGCCCATGCAGGCAAGAGGGGAACAGTGTGTGTGTGTGTGTGTGTGTGTGTGTGTGTGTGAGAGAGAGAGAGAGAGAGAGAGAGAGAGAGAGAGAGTGTATGTGTGAGTGTGTGTGTGTGTGAATGTGTGTATGTGAGTGTGTGTGAGTGTGTGTGTGTGTGTGTGTGTGTGTGTGTGCGTGCTTGCGTGCGTGTGTGAGTGCGTGTGCGCACGTGCACGTGAGACAAGCCAGAAGAGCAGGGCAAGAGCGAGCAGCGTGGGCCATGCAGGCCACGCCATCATGGTAGCGCCACCAGGTGCTCAGGGCACCCATGTCGCACACGGGGTACCCCCGTCACCCGTGCCAAGAGCCCCCTGTATTGCCTCGGACTACGCCTCCCCTCAGGTCGCGTGCGTTCATGGCTGAGAACACGTCTCACCTCAGGGACCGGAGCAACAGGTGCGAGCAGCCTGGGCCATCTTTGCTGCCCCGTCGTGGTAGCGCCACCAGAGGCTTGGCGCCCCCAGTTCGCACATGGGGTACCCCCATGCCCTCTAGGTGCCACCACCACCCCCTCATGAAACACTGTCACATGCACGCCTCAAGCACGCCTCACCTCAGGAACGGCTGTGACAAGAGCAGGGCAGGAGCGGGCAGCCTGGGCCATGCGTGCCACCCCATCGTGGTAGCGCCACCAGCGGCTGGGAGCACCCAGGTCGCACATGGGGTACCCGCGTGTTGTCAGCCCCCTGTAGTGCGCGAATCTCGCCACGTCCGTCGGCAGATCCAGGCCGTCCATATCGCCGCCGATGATCACGTGGATCTGTGCGAGGGAGGCGCGGCAGACAGGGGGGCGAGGGGAGCATGTCGGGCGAGGTGATAAAAGTTGACTTTTGAGACGTCTAAACAAAAAAGCCAACTTTTATCACATGTCACGGCCCATGATGACATGTCACGGCCCATGATGACATGTCACGGCCCATGATGACATGTCACGGCCCATGATGACATGTCACGGCCCATGATGACATGTCACGGTCAATGCTCACATGGATCTGTGAGAGGGAGGCGCGGCAGACGGGGGGACGAGGGGGGCATGGGGCGAGGAGGGCATGGGACGAGGGGGGCATGGGGCGAGCGGGAGTAGGGGTGGGAAATGAACTTGGCCTGTGATGGACTCACAAGGAAACCCGGCGTGCGGTTGAGGGGGAATGCATGGCAAAGATACGGACGACTTTGAGTCAACTCAAAAGCCGTATCATCTCGTGAGGTTCAGCGGGAACGCACGAAGGGGGGGGGGGGGAGGGAGGAGTAAGGTGGACTGCACTGACTGACCTGAGCGAGGGAGACGCGGCGCGGGTTGAGGATGTACTTGCGGTGGCCGAACTGGTCGAGGCACAGGTGGTCCGGGTAGAGGGATGTGTTCATGCAGTAGGCGTGCGGCCACTGGGACCGCACCCCCTCCACTATGAACGGCCTTGATGGAGCCACGTCACCACCAGAGCCCCAATCCCCCCCTCCTCCTCCACCTCCCCCTTCCCCTCCCTGTTCCCCCTCCCCCTGCAGCAACCTCCTCTTCATTCTTCTCCTTGCCGTGCCGCCATTCTCCTCCACCTCCCCCTTCCCCTCCTCTGGGTGACTTTTGAAGCGCCTCAAAAGCCCGCCTTGTTGTTCCCTCTCTCCCTGTTGCCCCTCCCCTTGTAGCAACATCCTCTTCATTCTTCGCCTTGTCGTGCCGCCATTCCACGGCTCCTCTGGGTGCCTTCTGAAGCGCCTCAAAAGCCCACCTTCTTGTTCCCCCTCCCCCTGTTGCCCCTCTCCCTGTTGCCCCTCCCCCTGTAGCAACATCCTCCTTCTTCTCCTAGTGGCGCCGCCGTTCCACGGCTCCTGCGGGCGGCAGAACGAGCTGTTGAACACCGTGCACCCAAACGTGATCCACGGGCGGCCGGCGTTGTCCTGTAGCAGCTGCTGGAGCGTGGCAGGCGGCAGCACCTCGACAAACTCGTCCAGGTCAGCAAAGAGCAGCCACCGCGCCCTGTGACGATTCCCGTACAGGCAGTCGTGCGTTGATAGAGCCTGAGGGGTGGGTCGGGGTGAAGGGCGGTGAAGAGGGGTGTGGTGTGCTTTAAGCACCACGAGGAACTCGTACAGGTCAGCAAAGAGCAGCCACCACGCCCCGTGGCGATTCCCGTACAGTCAGTCGTGCGTTGAGAGGGCCTGAGTTGTTGGTGCGGGTGGGGAGTTGGTAGGGGTGCGGAGGGATAGAGAGGGGTGTGCTTGAAGCACGTCGACAACCTCTTCCAGGTTGGCAAAGAGCAGCCACCACGCCTCGTGTCGGTTGCCGTACAGACAGTCGTGCGTGGAGAGGACCCAAGGAGGAGTCGGTGGGGGAGAGGGAGGGAGGGGGTGAAATGTCAGTGGGGGTGGTGTGGGTCAACTAGGCAACAGCAGCCAGTGCGCCTTGTAGTGGTGGCGGTTTCAGGCAGTCATGCGTGGAGTGACCCTAAGAAGATGGTGGGAAAAGAGTGGGGGGTTCAGAGCGGTAGAGAGGGGTGTGTGTGTGTGTCAACTGGGCGAAGAGCAGCCACTGCGCCTCGGGGCGTTTCACGTACAGGCAGTCGTGTGTTGAGGGGGCCTGATGCATGGAGTTGGGGGTGGTGGGTGGGGAAGGCGGGAAAATAGAGCGTCAACCAGGCAAGAAGCAGCCACCTCGCCTCGTGGTGGTTCCCATACAGACAATCATGGGCTGAGACGGCCTGGGAGATGGTGATGAGCATGCGGTGGGGCGGGGTAGAGAGGGGTGTGTGTGTGAGTCACTTAGGCAATAGCGCAGCCACTGCGCATCGTGGCGGTGGCGTACAGAACAGACAGTCATGCGTGGAGAGGGCCTGCGGAGTTGGTTGGCGGGGAAACGCCGGCAAACTGAGGCAGGCAGGCAGGCGGTTGAGAATGGAAGAATGCCTGAAGCATCAAACTACGCCAGTAGCAGCACATAAGGGCTGGTGCGAGATGAAATGACTAATGAAACACCAGCCCGGAACACTAGAAGCATATTTGAAGCTCCTTACCTGAGCGTAGGACCACACGTCATACTGCGTTGACTCCTCAAACCCCACCACCTCCACCACCCCCGCCCGCACCCACGGCTGCACTGCGCTGCTGACGTCAGCATGGTCCACCACGCCGCCCGCGTCATACAGGACAAAACGGTCCACCGGCAGCAGCAGGCGGTGGAAGTGCAGCCACTCGGTGAGCGCCCGCGGGCTGATAGCGCCGAACATGGGCGGCCCGCACAGGACGATATTGTTGGGGAAGGTTGATGGGTCCTCCATGGGCTGTGAGAGGGCACATGGGAAAGGGAGAGAGCGTGGAAGCACAGCCACTCGGTGAGCGCCCGCGGGCTGATGGCACCGAACATGGGCGGACTGCACAGGAAGATATTGTTGGGGAAGGTTGAGGGGTCTTCCATGGGCTGTGGAATGGGGGAAGGAAGACGGAACAGGTGGGGGAACATGGGGGAGAGGCAGTGGAAGCGCGGGCACTAGGTGAGCCAGGGGCAGAGGCGGTGGGGGAGCAGCAGCAGGCGGTGCAAGTGCAGCCATTTGGTGAGCGCCCTGGCTCTGATGGCTCGGAACATGGGTGGCCCCCAGAGAAGGATGTTGGCAGGGAAGGTTAGAGGGTCTCCCATTGGCTGTGGCGAGGGGGGGGGGAGCATGAAGCACGGGAATGGCAGTGGGGAAACACGGGGGAGTGCTAGGGATAGAGAGGGTGGAGGTGCAGCCACTCGGTGAGCGCCCTGCGGCTGATGGCGCGGAACATGGGCGGACTGTAGAGAAGGGAAGGAGAGAAAGGGAACGGAAGAAAGGGAAGGGAAGAAAGGGAAGGAGAGAAAGGGAAGGGAAGAAAGGGAAGGGAAGAAAGGGAAGGAGAGAAAGGGTAGGAGAGAAAGGGAACGAGAGAAAGGGAAGGATAGAAAGGGAAGGGAAGAAAGGGAAGGGAAGAAAGGCAAGGGAAGAAAGGGAAGGAGAGAAAGGGAAGGAGAGAAAGGGAAGGAGAGAAAGGGAAGGGAAGAAAGGGAAGGGAAGAATGGGAGGGAGAGAAAGGGAAGGAGAGAAAGGGAAGGAGAGAAAGGGAAGGAGAGAAAGGGAAGGGAAGAAAGGCAAGGGAAGAAAGGCAAGGGAAGAAAGGGAAGGGAAGAAAGGGAAGGGAAGAAAGGGAAGGAGAGAAAGGGAAGGAGAGAAAGGGAAGGAGAGAAAGGGAAGGGAAGAAAGGGAAGGGAAGAAAGGGAAGGAGAGAAAGGGAAGGAGAGAAAGGGAAGGAGAGAAAGGGAAGGAGAGAAAGGGAAGGGAAGAAAGGGAAGGGAAGAAAGGCAAGGAAAGAAAGGGAAGGGAAGAAAGGGAAGGGAAGAAAGGGAAGGAGAGAAAGGGAAGGAGAAAGGGAAGGAGAGAAAGGGAAGGAGAGAAAGGGAAGGGAAGAAAGGGAAGGGAAGAAAGGGAAGGGAAGAAAGGGAAGGAGAGAAAGGGAAGGAGAGAAAGGGAAGGAGAGAAAGGGAAGGAGAGAAAGGGAAGGGAAGAAGAAGGAAGGGAAGAAAGGGAAGGGAAGAAAGGGAAGGGAAGAAAGGGAAGGAGAGAAAGGGAAGGAGAGAAAGGGAAGAAGAGAAAGGGAAGGAGAGAAAGGGAAGGGAAGAAAGGGAAGGGAAGAAAGGGAAGGAGAAAAAGGGAAGGAGAGAAAGGGAAGGGAAGAAAGGGAAGGGAAGAAAGGGAAGGAGAGAAAGGGAAGGAGAGAAAGGGAAGGAGAGAAAGGGAAGGGAAGAAAGGCAAGGGAAGAAAGGCAAGGAGAGAAAAGGAAGGACAGAAAGGGAAGGAGAGAAAGGGAAGGAGAGAAAGGCAAGGGAAGAAAGGCAAGGGAAGAAAGGGAAGGGAAGAAAGGGAAGGGAAGAAAGGGAAGGGAAGAAAGGGAAGGGAAGAAAGGGAAGGAGAGAAAGGGAAGGAGAGAAAGGGAAGGAGAGAAAGGGAAGGAGAGAAAGGGAAGGGAAGAAAGGGAAGGGAAGAAAGGCAAGGGAAGAAAGGGAAGGGAAGAAAGGGAAGGGAAGAAAGGGAAGGAGAGAAAGGGAAGGAGAGAAAGGGAAGGAGAGAAAGGGAAGGAGAGAAAGGGAAGGGAAGAAAGGGAAGGGAAGAAAGGGAAGGGAAGAAAGGGAAGGGAAGAAAGGGAAGGAGAGAAAGGGAAGGAGAGAAAGGGAAGGAGAGAAAGGGAAGGAGAGAAAGGGAAGGGAAGAAAGGGAAGGGAAGAAAGGGAAGGAGAGAAAGGGAAGGAGAGAAAGGGAAGGAGAGAAAGGGAAGGAGAGAAAGGGAAGGGAAGAAAGGGAAGGGAAGAAAGGGAAGGGAAGAAAGGCAAGGGAAGAAAGGGAAGGGAAGAAAGGGAAGGGAAGAAAGGGAAGGAGAGAAAGGGAAGGAGAGAAAGGGAAAGAGAGAAAGGGAAGGAGAGAAAGGGAAGGGAAGAAAGGGAAGGGAAGAAAGGGAAGGGAAGAAAGGGAAGGAGAGAAAGGGAAGGAGAGAAAGGGAAGGGAAGAAAGGGAAGGGAAGAAAGGGAAGGAGAGAAAGGGAAGGAGAGAAAGGGAAGGAGCGAAAGGGAAGGAGAGAAAGGGAAGGGAAGAAAGGGAAGGGAAGAAAGGGAAGGGAAGAAAGGGAAGGAGAGAAAGGGAAGGAGAGAAAGGGAAGGAGAGAAAGGGAAGGAGAGAAAGGGAAGGAGAGAAAGGGAAGGAGAGAAAGGGAAGGAGAGAAAGGGAAGGGAAGAAAGGGAAGGGAAGAAAGGGAAGGGAAGAAAGGGAAGGGAAGAAAGGAAAGGGAAGAAAGGGAAGGAGAGAAAGGGAAGGGAAGAAAGGGAAGGGAAGAAAGGGAAGGGAAGAAAGGGAAGGAGAGAAAGGGAAGGAGAGAAAGGGAAGGAGAGAAAGGGAAGGAGAGAAAGGGAAGGGAAGAAAGGGAAGGGAAGAAAGGCAAGGGAAGAAAGGGAAGGGAAGAAAGGGAAGGGAAGAAAGGGAAGGAGAGAAAGGGAAGGAGAGAAAGGGAAGGAGAGAAAGGGAAGGAGAGAAAGGGAAGGGAAGAAAGGGAAGGGAAGAAAGGGAAGGAGAGAAAGGGAAGGAGAGAAAGGGAAGGGAAGAAAGGGAAGGGAAGAAAGGCAAGGGAAGAAAGGGAAGGGAAGAAAGGGAAGGAGAGAAAGGGAAGGAGAGAAAGGGAAGGAGAGAAAGGGAAGGAGAGAAAGGGAAGGAGAGAAAGGGAAGGGAAGAAAGGGAAGGGAAGAAAGGGAAGGGAAGAAAGGGAAGGGAAGAAAGGGAAGGAGAGAAAGGGAAGGAGAGAAAGGGAAGGAGAGAAAGGGAAGGGAAGAAAGGGAAGGGAAGGGAAGAAAGGCAAGGGAAGAAAGGGAAGGGAAGAAAGGGAAGGGAAGAAAGGGAAGGGCAGAAAGGGAAGGGAAGAGAACTATGTTGGCAGAAAAGGTTGATGGGTCTTCCATTGGGAGTGGATCGGGGAAGAAAGGGAGGGAGGGTTGGGAGACGTGGGGAGGGGGTGCTTGAAAGGAAGGCAGAGAGAAGCGGGAGAGTATGCCCCACCTCCACACACAAGTCAACCCAAGCATGGGCGCGCCTAACAGCACCTGCCAGCGCTCACCAGCACCTACCCCAACCTACCCCAACCTACCCTCACCTGCCCTGGTTGCTCCACCAAGGGGAATGCACCTCCCCATCGACCTCTGCCTCCAACACTCCCCTTGATGCTGGTGAAGGCGCGCCTACTCTCAATCGCATCACATGTCAGCACATACCCCAACCTACCCCAACCTACCCCAACCTACCCCAATCCTCACCTGCCCCGGCTGCTCCACAAAGGGGAAGAGCACCTCCCCATCGACCTCTGCCTCCAACACTCCTCCTGACGATGCTGAAGGCGCGTCCAGCACACACAGCAGCACCACTGCCTCGTACTGCTGGGGGGAGGGAGGGGGAGAGGTCGTTAGTCGAGGTCCGGTCTGAAATGCTTGTGGGGGTCAAGCATTTAGGGCGGGAAAGAGGGAGTTGGTTAGTAGAGCTGGACGTGATACAAACACTCTTTGAAACCTACACGCTTGTATCGCGTCCAGAGAAGACAGGTAGGCTGCGAAGGCCTCCTTTCCATCGACTCTTGTTGTAATAGGATAGGACAACGAGACAAACTCCATTCACTCTCTGGAACCTACATGCCTGTGTCACGTCCAACAAACCACCCCCCCCATTTCCTTGAGCTCAGATTGTGTGTTGCTGCTCCTTTCTGGGCCTACATGCCTGTGCCACACGCTCTAAATGCCTTTTTTGTCTCGTACTGCCAGGGGTAGGGGGGAGAAGAGGGAGTTAGTTAGTAGAGCTGGACGTGATACAAACACTCTTTGAAACCTACACGCTTGTGTCACGTCCAACAAACGCCCCCCCCCCTCTTTTCTTGAGCTCAGATTGTGTGCTGCTGCTCCTTTCTGGGCCTACATGCCCGTGTTACATGTTCGGTCCAGCACACACCGCTGCCTCGATCTGCCAACGGAGGACAGGGAGGGAGAGTGCTGGAGAAAAAAACCCTCTGTTGAGCTACTTTCTGGAGCCTAAGTCAAAAAGCTTGCTTCTCGTCCAGCACACACGGCAACAGAATTCTCACAATCTAATGGAGAGGGCAGGGGAGGGAGTGGGGGAAGAGGGCAGCAAACGAAGAGAAAGTTTTGAGAATGCCATGAGTGTGGGTGAAGCAGGTGGTGCTGAGTGTGGGTGAAGCAGGTGGTGCTGAGTGTGGGTGAAGCAGGTGGTGCTTTGAGTCGACTCAAAACACGTGAGTGTGGGTGAAGCAGAAAAAGGCACGTGAAGCAGAAAAGGGGACGTGATAATAGAAAAGGGGCACGTGTCTTCTTTCGCAGACACATTTCTACGTCTTTGGCAGACACATGCTTGACTAGAAAAGTTAAGGAAGAGAGGATGGGTAAGAAGAGGGAACATAAAAAAAACCAGAAAGCATGAGCGAGAGAGCAAGAGAGGGTTACCAGGTAGTCGTGATGCTCCTCCACATACAGTGAGACCAGCTTGCCTTCAGTCACACCCCCACCAGCAGTGCTAACTCCCCCCCCACCACTGCTACCTCCCGCATTGCCAACCCGAGCAGCAGCACCAGCGGAAAGCATGAGAGGTTTACTTTACCAGGTAGTCGTGGGTAAAAGCGGCAGAAAGGTGACCTTTGAGTCGGCTTGACTTTTGAGTCGGCTTGACTTTTGAGTCGGCTTGACTTTTGAGTTGACTCAAAAGTCACCTAGAAAGCATGAGAGGGTTACCAGGTAGTCATGAATAAAAGCGGCAGAAAGCAGAACGCAGAATGGAGAGAGCAAGGAGAGGGTTACCAGGTAGTCGTGATGCTCCTCCACATAAAGTGGCACCAGCTTGCCTTGAGTCACGCCCCCACCAGCAGTGGCACCCCCACCCCCACCACTGCTACCCCCCTCATTGTCAACCCCAGCAGCAGCAGCAGCACCGACAGAGAGCAAGAGAGTGTTACCAGGTAGTCGTGATGCTCCTCCACATAAAGCGGCACCAGCTTGCCTTCAGTCATGCCCCCACCAGCAGTGCCAACTCCCCCATTGTCAGCAGTAGCCGGGGCGGAAGCATGCCAGCGGCAGGAGGAGAAGCGATGGCCATGGTGCATGGGGAGAGACGCCAGCCCCAGCACTGCCACCGTGGACGCATTCACTCGGTAGGCGCTGGAGGGGACGGATTGGTGTGGATGGGGGCACGGGAAGGACGCAGGAGAGGAGAAGCAACAGCATCAGCGTGCCAGCGGCAGGAGGAGAAGCGGCGACCGTGGTGCATGGGGAGAGATGCTAGCCCTTGCACTGCCACCGTGGACGCATTCACTCGGTAGGCGCTGGGTGGTGGGGGAGGAGGGAGGGCACGGGAAGGAGGGGTGTGGATGGGGGCACGGGAAGGACACAGGAGGAGAAGCAGCAGCCGTGGTGCATGGGGAGTGACTCTAGCCCCAGCAGCCGTGGTGCATGGGGAGTGACTCTAGCCCCAGCAGCCGTGGTGCATGGGGACTGACTCTAGCCCCAGCAGCCGTGGTGCATGGGGACTGACTCTAGCCCCAGCAGCCGTGGTGCATGGGGACTGACTCTAGCCCCAGCAGCCGTGGTGCATGGGGACTGACTCTAGCCCCAGCAGCCGTGGTGCATGGGGACTGACTCTAGCCCCAGCAGCCGTGGTGCATGGGGACTGACTCTAGCCCCAGCAGCCGTGGTGCATGGGGACTGACTCTAGCCCCAGCAGCCGTGGTGCATGGGGACTGACTCTAGCCCCAGCAGCCGTGGTGCATGGGGACTGACTCTAGCCCCAGCAGCCGTGGTGCATGGGGACTGACTCTAGCCCCAGCACTGCCACCCTGACTTAAGCGTCCTCTCTGCTACTGCAGCCCTTGGAAACATGAGTCAGGGTGACCCCTGGGATACCGGGACTGACTCTAGCCCCAGCACTGCCACCCTGGACACATTCACTCGGTAGGCGCTTGGGAGGGGGGAGGACGGAGGAGGGGATGTGGGTTGGCACTGGAGGATTTAGTGAGAATTCTAAAAGACCGCTGAAGCCAGCCCCGGTAGGCGCTGGGGAGGGGGGAGGACGGGTGTGGGTGGGGTGAGGGGAAAGAACGGGGAGACGTGCCAACGGCAGTAGGTGAAGCGGCGGCCGTGGTGCATTGGGAGGGATGCTAGCCCCAGCACTGCCGATGTGGACGCTAGCCCCAGCACTGCCGATGTGGACGCATTCACCCGGTTAGGCGCTGGGGTGGGGAAGGGCAGAATTGAGAACTACTACATATCCGAGAATCTATTTTTGAGACGCCTCAAAAGAAATGAGAAGTACTACATATGCGAAAAAAATTGAGGAGTCGACTGAAAAATGATCGACTCAGTACACGCGGTTCTGAGTCGACCCAGGAGTTTAAGACGCACAACATATCCCAACTCTCTGGCATTGCTTGCATTGACATACTTGAAATCCCTCTGAAGTTAACAGAGTACAACTGTTACAACATGTCAGGGGTTCATCCATTCTTGTCCCCAAACGCTTTCAGGGTTTGTCACTACTTCCAGATCTGCACGCCCATTCCCTCCCCTCGCACCTGAACTTGATGAAGCCGAACGACCCGTGGCGCTGGAAGGACCGTTGCTTCCACTGTGAGGGCTGATCGTCCGCCACCCAGAAGTGCATCAACGCCTCATGCCGCCCCTTCTGCCACTGCTCTGGTCGTGCCACCTCTCCATCCTCGTCGCCCCCTTTATCCCCCTCCTCACTTGTAGAAAACCCATTTCTGCCACCCCCCTGCTGCTCCTCGTTGTTTCCAGAAGCTTCCTGGGTTCTTGCAAGGGAAGGAAGGAAACAAGTCAGAAGATGCTGTATTAGGCGCCTCAGAGAGATGAAGGGATGCAAGGGGCCAAGGCTTGAACATTCTGAGGTTTACAAAGACTTGAGACGTCTCAAAACACTGTTGTTATCAAGGGAAGTCACTTTTGAGAAATCTCAAAACTGAGGTCTACAAAGGCTTGAGACGTCTCAAAGCACTGGTATTATCACACTGAGGGCACTGGCTTGAACTTTCTGCGGTTTACAAAGTCTCTTAAAGAGGGGCGGATGGAACTCCCACAACTCTTCCCAGCCCCTTCCAACCCACCTGCACCGCTCGCACTTGCGCCTCCAGCTTCCTTGCGTGCTGCCCGACAATCTCTTTCAGCTGCCCGACGTCCTGGCTCATGGCTTTCAGCCTGCCCTGCTCGTGCTGCCACCAGTCCGCCACATCAGCAGCTGCCCGTGCGCTGTCCTGCTTCGTCTGCAGCATCTCCAACCCCATCTTCTCCAAATTCTCTGCCACCTGCCCCTTCAGCTCTTTCCTGCTCTGCTCCAACAACTCTAGGAGAGGGATGATTTGGGGATTGACAGCAGAAAAAGGGGGAGCACGGGGAAAGGATGGTTGCTGCTTCGTCTGCCCCATCTCCAGCCCCATCTTTTCTAGATTCTGTGTCATCTGCCCCTTGAGCTCTCTCCTGCTCTGCTCCAGCAACTCTAGAATGGAGAATGGTATGGGATGGGGGTTGGCAGCAGAAAGGGGGTAAAGTGGGGAACGGATCGTTGCTGCAGCTGCTGCTTCGTCTGCAGCATCTCCAGCCTCACCTGTAGAAAGAAGAGTGTTTTGAGACGTCTCAAAACACTCTTCTTTCTACACGTGCTGCTTCGTCTGCAGCATCTCCGGCCCCATCGTCTACAGCGCCTCACCTTCCTCGTCTACACAAGGTGACTTCTAAGTCGACTCAAAAGTCATCTCCAGCCCCACCTTCTCCAGCCCCACCTTCTCCAGCCCCACCTTCTCCAGCCCCACCTTCTCCAGAGCTTCAGCACAAGGACCTGTTTTCTGAGAATTCTCAAACAACAGATTGTGCTTCTGTGTCTGCACTGCAGATCTCCAGCCTCATCATCTCCAGCAAGGTTCAAAAATACGATAAATGTAAATTACGGCTCGTAAATTACGGGCGTAATTTACGGTGGTTTTGGCAAAAATACGGTCCTTTTTTTTAATGGACTTTTTTGCGGAATTTTTTGTTTTTTTTTTTTTCCAGAAACTCCAAGAATGCTTACAACGATGACTACGAAGGCGACAGCCAACTACACTACAGAGAAACAAGCCTATAATGGACCGCTACACCACTACCATTGGTAAGCCTACCCAGTAGAACCTACCTTTAGGCTAGATCTGCTCCTACTCCCTCCCCACACTACGCGAAAAAAACACACTTGCGTGGATTTGGGCGCATGAAATTTCTCACAAGCAGGGTGACAGTCGGGAAATGTTGAAATTCGCTAGGCACAAACTCGGTTTCAAAATTTTGGTCGTAATTTACGACCGTATTTTTTAACCAACCTAATTTTGCAAGGTCGAACAGCTTTTTACAGTAATTTACGACTGTAAATTACGATACCGTAATTTACGGTAAAATTTCAAAAATACGGTCGTATTTTTTAGCCTTCATCTCCAGCCTCATCTTCTCCAGCCTCATCTTCTCCAGCCTCATCTTCTCCAGCGCCTCAGCACAGGGATACACAAGCATGCACCGCACCGCAAGAAGATTCTAGCATTTCCAGAATCACTCAGAAGTAGACTCACTGTGCAATGAGAGGACGTCACTGGCAGTGTGGGCCAACAGTGTTCGGTAGTTGAACTGGTGGGCCCTGCGCTGATGGGTGGTTCCATGCATGCATACATACATGCATGCATGCATTAATATTTGCACATCCACATGCACATGCACATGCATATGCATATGCACACGCACATCCACACACACACACACAGATGCACATGCACATGCACATGCACATGCAACAGTGAGGGGCAGGGCACATGTGGCAGGCGAGGCAGTTGCAAAATGCTGGTGAGGGAAAGGAAACAACAAGGAACTCCCCACTCTTCTCGCTCCACTCACTCCCCTTCCCCCACTCCCCTCACTCACCACTTACTTATCACTCGAAACACCTGAAAATCTGAAGCCACCTAAAACACCTGAAGCCACCTGAAACACCTGAAGCCACCTAAAACACCTGAAGCCACCTGAAACACCTGAAGCCACCTAAAACACCTGAAGCCACCCGAAACACCTGAAGCCACCTAAAACACCTGAAGCCACCTAAAACACCTGAAGCCACCTGAAACACCTGAAGCCACCTGAAACACCTGAAGCCACCTGGAACACCTGAAGCCACCTGAAACACCTGAAGCCACCTGAAACACCTGAAGCCACCTGAAACACCTGAAGCCACCTGAAACACCTGAAGCCACCTGAAACACCTGAAGCCACCTTAATCTCCTGCTGCAGTCTGACTAGTCGGTCTCACCTTGGTCGATTTGCTGCCCACAAAGTCGTCCTGTGGTAACCGCATGGGCCCCAGCTCCGGTAACCACATCAGGTACAGCTGGCGCAGCGGGAGCGGCGGAAGGGGGAGGAGGAGGGATGGGAAGAGAGGAGGAGGTGAATGGAAAGTTTGGAGGGGAGATGGAAGGGATGGGAGGAGGGGAGGGATGGAAAGGATAAGAGGGGAGGGATGGGAGCGGATGGAGAAGGAGGAGAGGGAGGGAAGCATGTGCATTGAGTTGCTGACGCATATGTTCAGTTGCAAGAGACGACGTGCGGCAGCAGAGATGACACGCGGCAGCAGAGATGAGATGCGGCAGCAGAGATGACATGCGGCAGCAGGGATGACATGCGGCAGCAGAGATGACATGCGGCAGCAGAGATGACATGCGGCAGCAGAGATGACATGCGGCAGCAGAGATGACATGCGGCAGCAGGGATGACATGCGGCAGCAGAGATGACATGTAGGCAGGCCAATGGCGTATGGAGGGCGATGAGGCAGGGCAGGGCACGGGGTTGGGCAATGGGACCGAAGGCATGGAAGGGAAGGGAAGGGGGGCGTACCTGGAGAGTGGGAGGGCGTACCTGGAGAGTGGAGAGGGCGCACCTGGAGAGTGGAGAGGGCGAGGAAGGGCAGCATGAGGCACAGGTAGTTCACTGCCTGCATGGGGGCAAGGCAACACGGAGAGGGGACGGCAGTGGGGACGGCAGTGGGGAGGGCGGAGGAAGGATGTGCGGGGTGAAGGGAGCAAGTGAGGAGTGAAGAGAACCAACCTTCCTTCCTGCGATGCAATCTTTCCGCACGCGTTTATCTCTCCCTTGCCTTCCTCGTCACCCTTCCCTCCAACCTCTTCAGCCCCTTTCCCCCTTCTAACACACCACCCGCCCTTCCCCCCCTTCCTCTCTTTTTGTCTTCCCCCCAACCTCTCTTCCCTACCTTCCCCCTAACCCCTCCCCCTTTTCCCCACCCCGTTTCCCCCTCCCCACCGCATGTCGGGGAAACAGTCCGCCAGACGCGCGCGGACTGCCAGCGCCGCGGAAGGCGCCTTTGGGGCTCGACGCCTGCCCCCCGGCTCCTCCCCCCCTTTCCGACGCCCCCGGTTCCGCCGATCCCCCCGCGCGGCTACCAGCGCCAACGACGGCGGAAATTCCGCCGTTTATTGCGGCGCCTGCTGCGTCCAGCGCTAGCGCCGCGATCTTGACGCTCCCTGACAACGTCCGCGCGCCTGCGGCGTGGCGGGGCACGGCGGACGACGCCATGCGCGCATCCGCAGCGGGAACCGCCGCGGGATGGTGATTGTCGCCGCCACCGGCGACAATAGCGGCTGCCTGGTGACTTAGTAGTACAAACGGATCGCGGCTCGGTTGCTACTAGCGATCCTACTTCCACTAGCAGTAACAGTTTTGCTCGTATTAGTCGGATTGTTGTACAGCGAGACGTGCAGCGAGGCGTTGTCTAAAATCAGGGAGGCCTTTTGGCAAATTTCTAAACGTCAGGGCGGCTCGGAAGGTGGGAAGGGGGCGGGGGGGTGAGGGGGAGCAATGCGATGACGGGTGGTAACTGTTGAGAGTGAGCGAGGCGTTGGGTGATAGGCCAGTACTACGGCTCGAAGCGGGTGTTGAATTGTACACTACGGGACAACATCTGCGCCGTTCGAGCAATGTGACCAGGCTTCAAGGAAAAAGGACACGCCGGGCGCGGTGCGACTCCTAGTGCGCTCCTCGTGTGACTCTTTGTGCGACCCCAGACCTAAGGAGCCTATGGAGCTGGATGGAAGCGGAATGCCACCAGTTGAGTGCTTTGAGCCGTTGCGCTGGACACGGGCGTTGGCGGCGATCATCCATCCTTTGGTCCTACCGCCTTTGTCGTTTCTGGCGCTGAGTCCCTCGACATTTGGTCCTTGTGTGATGAGTCATACCCGATATCAACCTCTCACCTGACTAGTTATCAGCCAGGACACATACCGAAGATGTATTGGCTCCCAGAGTTGAAATCTAATCACACCTTTGAACCGAAGAAAATGTCCACTTGTGATTATGCTGTGCTGCATTTGCGTCTCTGTACTGTACCTACCGTACACTCGGGAATCTCTACTGAAGCTTTGCCGCCGTTATATTTCCCGTTGACCTGAACATTACCGCATCTAATGCCACGTCGCAATCACTGATTTGCAGGAAAGCTGCATATCAGGCTGACGAACCTGACGTGCTTCACGGCAGAGAAGTAAACCGTCAAAAGTTTTCAAATACCCATAACGCACTAAAATCGTCTCCCGCTAAGTTCTAGGTGTTCGGTCAGAGCTGACAAGAAAGCATTGGGCTAGGAATCGTTTCAAGACCAGACACACCAATCTCATCAAGTCAAGCAAACGTCGAGAGAAACAAACGTCAGGTCGGTCGGTGAATTCCGATGTCGCGCCGCGCATTGTGTGAGATCGCACGACCGAGTCTTGTCAACTGTCGCATGTGTGGGCACTTCCCACAGTTGCTGGAATTGGCGTGTGTGTGATTGACAGAAAGCGACTGGTAGCAAACACGCCAGGCCAAATGTGACTGCAGTGTTTTGTGATTCGTTCGTACGTCTCACGGTCATCGTCAAATCACGGAAGAAACAATCCAACGCGACATGCTTCACCTCACCCCCATGACCAACACATCTCCAAGCGTCCATTTTCTCTAAGCATTCCATTCAACCGTTCATCATAACAAACAAACAGGTTCGAAATTCTTAATAACCTCTCTTGACCTCTGTGAAGTCAAATCCCCCAGGGAAACATTTATGTATTCTCTTCTGTTGAGCCTTCTATGGTGTCCATAAAAACTCCCTTCCCTCCCCCCCACCACACTCATTCCCTGCATCAGCCTCCCCAGGGATCGTTAGACGCAACAGGGACCACATGAAGCCATCAGTACGCTGTGCAGCTGTAGAACTAAGTGAATGTGCAATGAGTTTTCCTTATCTGGTAAGGTCCTTTCGATTTCATGGCTAAGTGACGTTCCGCCCAGTAAGGTAGTAAATGTAGAAACAGATCACCGTCAAGCTAAATGCCTGCAAGACCACCCGCATCCCTGGCTCACCCCGATTGGTAGTGGGTTCAAAATACTTATCAGAACCAGACGTCCAATGCCTTCGCGGTCATATGCGTTCTTCCTCTCCTGGTAGACTCGCGGTGATTACCGCGGTATCGGATAGTTCTCCTATGCACGCCCACTTTTGACGCGCTTCGAGAGGCTCGCGGCGATGGCGGCATCGGGCAGAACTCCCGCGGGAGTCCAGCGAAGCGTTACCGAAAGCTCTCTGGCGGAGCGTCGTCGCAATCGCGTCGGTCGCATTACTCCGCTCGCCGTCCCCAAGCCGTGCAGCTTTGACGAGATTAGTAGTACTACTTCAGACAATGGCCCGCCGGATTACGCGGCCGAGTTAGCATCATCTTTATCATCGTCAGCCTCCCACGGCTTTCCGCCGTACCGATTTGGCGATCCTTCCGTCACGCGGCGAAGATCGCAAGTTTGTCTTGAATCACCCGCCTCCCGCGCTCGACAAGATTTTCCACCACTGCACGAAACCCCCGATTATTGCCACCCGAGTAGCGACAACAGCAGTTATTTGCCGTCTTTCACTGACTCGATCGACTCCTATGCGCCTCCGCCTCCGCTCCCATGGAATCTCTCCGCGCTCGTCAGTCCGCGCATGCCTCCCCCCCCCGCCTGGCGCAGCTCCCGCGCATTCTCATCCAGCCCGCTCACGCTGCCAGAAACTTCCGGGGGCGGCGCAGGAGGAGCAGGCGTTGCGGCGCACGTTCTCCCGATGTGGCCCCCCGCATACCCGCAAGGGGTCCACCCGCGCCCGCAACTGCACCCGCCGCGCGCGCAAGAGCACGCGCACGCGCATTCGCAACCGCAGCAGCGCCCGGCTCCGCCGCGCACCCGACCTCCGCCGCTCACGGTGGAAGAGCTGGTGGCGCAGCGCTTCTTGGCGGGGCTGGGGGGAGCGGAAGCCGCCGTAGCGGAGTCTCTCGCGCAACACCGCCATCCGCGGAGTACCCGCCCAAGTCCCAGTGGTGGGAAGCCAGCGGGGATGCCGGCCAGCCGGCATGGTAACGGCGAATCGAGGAGCTGCGGGTTTCAAGAAGCGGAAACACATGGTGGTATGCGGGGGGATCGTATGGTTCCATGCAACGCGTACTCTCCAATAGGCCTCATTGGGGACTCGATGAGGGAGGAGTCGAAGAGGGACTCGCCAGTAGGTCGGGGGACGCTTGGACGGTCCGACGAGTGCGCCGACTCGAGTCAAGCCCATGAGGGTCCCCGTAATCCAGATCCTCGCTACTCAGATCCCCGCTACTTTGATTCCCGCTGTAGTGATCCTTGCCGGAGGTTGCAGCGGCACCAGACATGGAATTGCGCAGACGACCGTCGCGCGCGGAGGAGCGGATGGCGGGACGAGGCCGCGGAGCCCAGGGGGGGGATCGGGCACGCGGCGACGCCCCACGGGAGGAGCGGACACGCGGCGGAGCCGCGGGTACGACACGTGGGAAACACGCGCGAGTGGGCGGCGCGCAGCGGATTGAAACTGGACACGTCGGTGACAATTTTCGAGGCGGCTCGAGAATCGACTGGGACGGGGGACCGGGTGACGGCGCTGCGCGGCAGTATTGAGACGAGCAGCTGGGAAGGTACGCGCGAGGGCGGAGTCGGAACGGAACGGAAGGCGCACTGCGCTTGGCCTATGAGAATTCTTAGAAGTCGGAACACGTACTGTGCTTGGCTTTTGAGAGTTCTCAAAGGTCGGAACACGCACTGCGCTTGGCTGTTTTTCGATATAGACATATTCCGCGTCGTTTCAATGGCAGTGGGTGCTGGTGACTGACGTGGTTAGCAGGACGGGGTAGTGCTGAGGCTGGGGTGGGGAGGCGCAGGTGCAGCGAGCGTGTCTCGAGACCAATTCTTCCGCTCACACTCCTTTCTCTCCCCTCTCCGCCTGCCCCTTTCTCTCGCTCCCAATCCCATCCTCTCCTTCCTCTCTCCCCTTCGTCCTCTCCTCGCAGAGGTAGAAGCGCGGTGCCGCCAGCTGTCGCACGCCAACGTGGACATCTTTTAGACGTCTCAAAAATCCTCTCCTTCCTCTCTCCCCTTCGTCCCATCCTCTCCTTCCTCTCTCCCCTTCTTCCCCTACTCGCAGAGATAGAAGCGCGGTGTCGCCAGCTGTCCCACGCCAACGTGGACATAACCGCCATGGACCTCACGCACCTGCCGCCCTCTCCCGCTCCCTCTCCCACCCGCTCCTTCCTCTCTCCCCTACTTCCCCTCCCCGCAGAGGTAGAAGCGCGGTGCAGGCAACTCTCCCACGCCAACGTGGACATAATCGCCATGGACCTCGCATGCTCACATGCCTCCCTCCCCCACCTCCGATCCCATTCGCTCCTTTCCTTCTTTCCGCTCCCCGCTCGCCCCTTCCCCCCTCACCCCCACAGAGGTAGAAGCGCGGTGTCGCCAGCTGTCGCACGCCAACGTGGACATAACCGCCATGGACCTCACGCACCTGCCGCCCTCTCCCGCGCCCACTCCCACAACCGCTACTCGCTTCTCTCGCCCTCTCCCGCTCCTCTCCCCGTCCGCCGCCTCCGCTGCCGCCTCTGCCGCGGCCTCTGCGTTCAAATCCGTGTCACGCGCTGCCCTCGCCATCACGTCCCCTCGCTCTGACCCCCGTCCAGGCCTGCCCCTGCCTAGTCCGAGAAGCCTTCTGAGTCTGCCTAGTCCGGGTGGTTTTTTGGGTCTGCCTAGTCCCAGGGGCGTGCTCAGTCTCGCCTCCCCTGGATCTACCCGGAGTAAGCAGCGCCAGCAGTGGGCGCAGCGGGAGGAACGGGAGGAGGAGAGGTGGGCGGTTGGGGAGGGGCAGGTGATTGATGAGGGGGAAGCATTTGGGGAGGGGGAGGCGAGTGAGGAGGCCGAGGTGGTTGGGGAGGTTGAGGCGATTGAGGAAGGGTGGGAGCAGGATGAGGAGCAGATCGGCAGAACGCAGCAACAGATGCAACAATGTGTGGGAGTAGAGGAGTGGCAGCAGCAGGAGCAGCAGCAGCAGCATCAGCATTCACGGGACCAGCAGAGACGCGAGGAGAAGCAGCAGCAGAGTGCAGAAGAATCGAGCAGGGCAGTTGACAAGCAGATGACAGACGCGAACACTCAGCAGCAGTCAGAGAGGGAGGAGCATGGCAGTTCAAGTCCTCGCATGCAATCTCTGTGCCCCTCCTGCCTTCCCGCCCTGCCCTCCTCCTCCTGCTCCCTGCTCTCCCTTCCTCCCCGCCGCCGACACTCCACTGGACGCAGGGCGGAGGCACAGGCAGGCGTATCAGCGTCACAGGCACAGGCAAGGGCCAGGGTAGAAGTGGGTACAGAGGCAAGGACAGAGACAAGGATAGAGGCGCAGGAGGCTGCTACGATGGGGCAGGTGGGAAACAGAAATGCTGGTGAATGCTTTTGCAATGACTGCTACTACCACCACAGCGGCAGCTCTGAGCGTGGTGCGGAGAGTGGTGAACTGATGGGTGCGAGGATGAGTGGGAGGAGGAGTAGGACCGAGGTGACGAGCTGGAGTGGGGAGGTTGGCGTGTGGGGCAGGATCAAGGGCACCGCTTTAAGGTCTGGTAACCTGGACCTCGCTATAAGCAGACTCAGGGAGTTCGCTTTTGCGCACGGGTACTGCCACGAGGGAGTGCAGGAGGGCGATGGTGGTTATATGGCAGCATCATGTGCGGGCTCTGGTGTTGCAGCGTGCATGAGCAACTGTAGCAGCAAGAGCAAAGGTGGGAGAATGAGCAGCAGTAAGAACAAGAGCAGTGGTGGGAACTTGAGCAGCAGTGGGAATAAGGCTAGCAGTGGTGGTAGAATGAAGGAGGGGTTGCAGCAGCGAGGGTGGGGGAGAGTCGAGGGAGGGTCTGTGGAATCACTAGACTCGCTGGGGTCTCCGTCTGTGCGCGTGGCCGACTGTGCAACCCCGCACGGGCTCTCAGTTTCCATGCTGAAGCAGGATGCGAGGGATGGGCAGGATGGGCTGAAGGGAGTGAGAGGAGGGGATAAGGAGGGTGGCAGGGATAGTAGTGGAGGCAGAGCAATGCGACGAGACAAGCTGGTGGAAAAGAGAGAGGAGGAAGTGAGGCGTGTGCTGTCTTTTACCGAGGGCACTGCTCAAGAGAAGAGGATGAGTGGCGCTGCTTCTCTTCATCCTACTGCTGCTGCTGCTGCTGCTGCTGACGGTCCTCCCACACGTCTCCCCTCCTCCGTCTCCTCCTCTGGTCAAGTCACCACTGCTAAATCGTCATCCCTCTCATCCCGCCAGCTCAGCATCACAACCTTCTCACTCTCCTCACCAGCTAGTTCCATCCCCACAGGCTCTCACAACCTCGTACACTCCACCCACCTCACCTACCCCGACTGTTTTGACTGCCCCGAGTATCTTGACAATTCCGTCTGCCCTGACTGCCCGGATTGCCTTGACTACCCCGAACCCCCTCTCTCTGTGTGCTCCACTCACTCGCTGCCCTCCACACACTCTGTAACCACTGCTGCCGGCTTCTCTCGCTCCAGGACTATCAGGGCTGCGGGTCTTCCCCCTGTAGAGTTAAGCAGGCCAGCTCTGCAGCCCAGAGAAGGTGCAGCAGCAGTAGTTGCTGCAACTAGAAGCGGCCCTTTGTTCTGAGACCTTATAGTGGATTAGGAGGCATATCATTAGTTGGATTGTTGAGACCAGTTGCAGCAACTAGAAGCAGCGCTATATGCGGAGACCTTACAGTGGATTCGGAGGCACATCATAGACGTATGCCTTGGCATAAGATAGTTGGAGAGCTGAAGGGTTGATGTGAAAAAACATATTTCCATGCTATTGTAATATGAAACGAAAGGCATGTGTTGGCTAGGTCATTACTGGTCACCTGAGTCCCTTGAAGCTTATGCTAATAACGAATTTCCTCTAAGTCCAACCTTCGACTAGTAGTAGGCTAGAAGCCCCGAAATGTGAGAGGATGTGAGTGACGGTGGACGGAAATTCGTGGAGTATTGCGGGTATCTGTTTCATTCCCGTCTTGCTCTCGCTCTACCATTTCAATCCAACTTCGTCCAGCGATGCATTACAGCTCAACTTCACTACATTCACATCACCTCGATGCAGCGTCTCTCACTGAGCGCCCTCCACCTCTTCACCCTCTTCATTACTGTTCCCGTGTTTTCCGTTAGCGTTAGTGTCGGCACCGCTTCTGCCACCGACAATTCTGACGGCCAACAAGACGGCTGCACGTGCTTCTATGTGCGAAACGATTTCTGCTGCCAGGCCGGCCAGGTCCTCTGCTCCTGCCGGTCCGTCTGTTTTAACGGCGACGCGTTTACAGGCGTCAGCTATGCACCGTGCCGGCAGCCACCGGACGGCTCAGATTCTCTCTTCCCTGATCAGACGACCCGAGCCGTCGATCCACTCATTCCTATTGGCTGCATGGACGGACGCGGTAGGTCGTACAAGGCCGCGCTGCGGCTTATAACGAAGGATAACATGCAGCTACGTACGGAGCGGGGGAGAACCAGGCGGAGGAAGCGGCGGAGGGGAAGGGGGAAGGGGAAGGGTGACGATGAACAGGAAGATGACTCGTGGCAGGAGGGAACTTCGGCGTTTTTGTTTTTAGACGACTCGGAGGGAAACATCGCGCATTTCGTGCGAAAGTCACATAATCTCCTGCTGCTTCTAAATCAATCTTCTTCCTCCTCGTCCTCCTCTTCCTCCTCTGCCTCTTCCTCCCCATCTCTCAACCGCTCCCATCTGCCTCTCCCCGCCCAAAGACTAGTTCTGATTAGATCTGCCGCGTTCAAACGGGTGGCAGGGGCGTATGGAGAACATGGGGTGCATGCGCGGCTGTTGGATGGCATTGTTCGTCTGCTAGTGGATTCAGGGAGCGTCAGTAGTGCTGGGAACAGTGGGGTTTTGGCAAAAGGGAGAATGGACGGTGGGATGAAGCCAGCGGATTTTCTCGATGCGAGATCAACGGTGGCGATGGGAGGAGTGGTGAAGTTTGAAGGGTCTCTTGGAAATGCCACAAGGAATCGTCCAGTTTGCTTCGCCAATGCACTGTTCAGTGGCAATCTCAAGGTGCACTGTTCACCATCAATCCCAAAATGCACTGTTCACCGTCAATCCCAAGGTGCACTGTTCACCGTCAATCCAAAGGTGCACTGTCTTCTGCAATTCCTCTATGTCAACACACAGTTGCAATCTCAGTTGGAATTCTTGGGAAGCAAGAACGAGTTTGGAGCCACTTGAAGCATCCCGTAGCAACTGCTTGCATGACCTGTGGGGAAATGTTTTGAGACGTCTCAAGCTTCACATGAACTGCTTGCATGACCTGTGGGGAAATGTTTTGAGACAAAACACATGACCTGTGGGGAAATGCAACAATCACAAGCTTCACTGCTGTTTCCTCTCTTGCTCCTTTCTCCCAACCAGCGCTCACATACAGCACTCTCCTTCCTCCATCCCTCCCCTTCCCACTCGGTGACATTTGAGTCGACTCAAACGTCACCACTCTCCTTCCTCCGTCCCTCCCTTTCCCACCCCCGTAACACTCTCCCGCCCCCTTGTCTCTCGGCCAGGCATCAGCTTATCCAGGCACTCTCCCCCTGCTGCCCGCCCGCCTGCACTCCCACCTGCGCCACACCCTGTCACCACCTAACCACCTCACCCCAACCCTCAATTTCACCCCCACCACCAATCCCTCTTCGACCTCCTCCACCTCCCCCTCCACCTCTCTCCCGCGTCTACTCTACATTCGTCGCACCGTCGGCACCAACAACAGCGCCAGCAGCCACGCCGCCCGGAGAGCGTTCGACCAATCAAGCGAGGCGGCCTTCCAGTCCCTTCTCGCCTCGCTGCCAGGTGTCGCCGTGCAAGTGGCGGACTTCGCCAGGCTGTCATTCGCGGAGCAGTTTTCTCTGGTACAGGGGGCGGACATCATTGTAGGGTTACACGGGGCTGGTCTCACTCTAGCTTCGGCTTTCAATCACGCACCCTCCACTGCCACCGCCGCCGCCGCCGCCGCCGCTACTGCTGCAATTGCAACTGCGGCCCAAAGTGACCCCTCTCCCCTGCGCCCCACGATACCAGTCGTGGTGGAAATCCAGCCCTACAAGGTACAGCACATCATATTCGAGGGCATGGCCACGTCAGCAGGCGCACTCTACCTGCTGCACCAGTGCCACCGCGGCCCTACCGACCAACCAGGCGACGCCACGTTTGCACACGTCAGCCGGGAGGCCTGCCGGCGGCGGCTCGAGTGCCGGGACCACTTTGTGCAGTCGCGATTCGTGGAGCTGACTCAGCGCGACGTGGCATCGCTTCGGCGGTTGTTGGAAATGGCTCGGGATTTCGTTACCGAGGGTGTGAGAGCGGCTGAAGCAGTTGAAGGGCTGGGAGCGGCAGATGCAGTTGCAGGAGGGAATGCAGGCACGGGGAAAGGAGTCAGTGGTAAAGCCGTTGGCAATGAGAGAAGGGCTCTGCACTCGATGAAAGCTCTCCACGCCCCTGCAGATACAGCAAGCGCCGAGGATTCTCCCAGACGAGGTGAGAGCAAGGCACGGTCATGGGGCCTCTGGGGTTTCCTGATGGGTGGAAGAGACCGGGGAGAGGGGACAGCAGCACAGGGCACACAGCAGGGGGCAGAGCAGGCCGCAGGTGCAGGTGAAGGGGTAATGGCAGATGCAGTGGGTGACAGTGAGAGGCGTGCGCAACAAGTAGGTGGGAAAACAGCAGGGCACACGGCAGATGCGCTGTGGGCTGGCATTCGGCACGGCATGCAGGCAGGCGGGGAGGGAGGAGGAAGGGAGAGTGGAGGAAATGAGGGAGGTAGAAGGGAGGGAGGGGTAGCACAAGTACCAGTAGCAGCACAAGAAGCGGCGCTGCTTGTGCTATCAGCACAAACACCAGCGGCAGCAGCACAAACACCAGTGGCAGCAGCACAAACACCAGTGGCAGCAGCACAAACAGCACGAGCAGCAGAAGCAGCGCAGGCAGCACAAGGAGCACAGGTGGCATGGGTGAGGGGATGGATGGAGAGGCAGTGTGGCGAGTGGATGAGTGAGACAGACAACAACTGCCGTGTGGAGGCCGTACGATCACCCCATGTGCGCCCGGGGGAGAGGTGTGTTCTTGCTGCTGACGACTGCTGACCACTGCTGCTGGTTGGTGGAGATAGCTGGCTGCTGTAGCTGATGGTATGTGCTCATATCATGGCAAGAGCTTCATCATTGAATCATTCCACAATGCATAGCGGTTTTAAATGCATCGGCCCTTGTGTAGACAATGATGTATCAATGACATGCAAATTGCACTGCATAAAGCTTCCATGTAGGCGACACTTTCATACCAGTATAAAATCTATAGAGCATAAAACTTTGACCCACATTCCTTGAGCAAAATAGCTTCTCTTTGTGGTACTAGGTAGTACCACCAAGGCACAGACAGCAACAGCAACAGAAGAAAAGCAAATGCATGCCGAGGTACAAAGAGGGAAAGAGCTAGAGGATCGATAGCCACAGCTGCCACAGGCCGATTGCATCCCATAATCCCCGTCCTCTTTCTCCCTCTCTCTCTACCGCCGATCGGTCTTCCCAATGCCTCTCTTCCCCGCGAACAGATGCTTGGGTCGCACGTTCACAATCGTGCGGTCCGCCTCGCCCTTCTTGCTCTGCACGTTCCGCTTCTTCGCATGCTTCCGTGCCAGCTGAATCGCGCCCACCTTCTGCTCCGTATCTCTGAACCCCTCCCCAGGCACCGCCTCTGCAGCCAGCGCCGACGCCGTCCCGCCTATCCTCCCCAGCGACTGCGACCGGGACCGTGACATGTGCCGGATTCTCTTCCTCAGCCTCTCCTCGTTCCCTTCATCCAACTCCATCCCCTCCTCCCCTTCCTCCCTCCCTTCCCTCCCGTCCCGCTTCCCTTCCCGGCCCCGCGAAACCCCCCGTCTCCCCCTCCCCTCCTCCCCATCCACCTCCATCCCATCTCGTGCCATTGACCTGCTCCTCTTCCTCCCCTTGGCCACCGTGCCACCACCACTAACGTCCCCGCCCTCCCCGGTCTTGCCGGCCTTGATGCGCGCGAGGGCAGCGGAGGGGTCGAGGCCGATGGAGGAGAGCTCCTGCCGCATGCGCTCTGCTGTGAACTGCCGGCCCGTGTCCGCGTGGCGCGGCAGGATTGGTCGGGAATCCGTCACGCTGCGCTGGCGATGGCGATGTGTGATTAGGCGCTTCTTCTTCAACCTGGTGTATGGGAGGGGGGGGGGGGAAGGGAGTGGGGGAGCGGAGGGGGGGAGGGGGGGGGGGGGAAGGGAGTGGGGGAGCGGAGGGGGGGAGGGGGGGGGGGGGGGGGGAGGGAGTGGGGGAGCGGAGAAGAGAGGGGGGGGGGGGGGGGGGGGGAACAGACGACACGCTTTGAGACCTCTTACAACGTGATAAGCCGAGGGGGAGGGGGAGGGACGGGGAACATGTTGAAATGGTTGGGGCACAAGGGCCACGGGGCGGACGGTGACACGCAGATGGGGGCACAAAAGCTTCGTGAACCTTTGCCCCACCTGATAGCCGCCAGAGCCTCCGCCTCCTCGGGCGCCAAGTCCTCCTCCTCATCGTCCCTGGCCTCGCCCCACTCGCCCTCGCCCATGCCCTCGCCCCACTCGCCCTCGCCCACGCCCTCCGCCTGTCCCCACCAGCCCATACCAGCCCATACCAGCCCATACCAGCCCATACCAGCCCATACCAGCCCATACCAGCCCATACCAGTCCATACCAGCCCATACCAGCCCCCAGCCCTCTCAGTCCCACACCCACCTGATAGCAGCCAGTGCTTCAGCCTCTTCCGGTGCCAGGTCCTCCTCTTCATCGTCCATAGCTTCGCCCCACTCGCCCTCGCCCACGCCCTCCGCCTGCTGCTCCATCTCCCACTCCTCCCGCTCCAGCTCCTCCAGCCGCGCCAGAATATCCGCATCCACGAAATCAGCAATGTTCTTCCCGTCCATGATCTCCGGCACCACGTCGTGCCGCCACGTGTCGTCGCCCAATAGGTACGGCCGCGTGTGGTCCGCCACGTAGGCGCCCGCGCCGCCCATCTCCTCTTGGTAATCCTTCTCCAGCTTGCGGCCTTCGGACGGCTTGATGCCCTTGGCCTGCCGGTCGAGAACTGCTTGCGGGATGACTGGCGGCCGGGGTTTGTTGTCTCGCGGGCGCGGCATGGCTACGTGGATCCGGTTTGCCACATCTTCGACCCTCTTGCTTCGCATCTTGGCCTCAACACGCATCTGGAATGAGGAATGGGGAAAGGGGAGGAGGGAAGGAAGCAAGGATGGGAGAGAGGGGTGAGGAAACAAGAAAAGGCCCGCACCACCCAGCTCCCCATCTCCTCCTGATAATCCTTCTCCAGCTTGCGGCCTTCGGAGGGTTTGATGCCCTTGGCCTGCCAGTCGAGAACCGCTTGCGGGATGACTGGCGGGCGGGGTTTGTTGTCTCGCAGGCGCGGCATAGCTACGTGGATTCGGTTCGCCACGTCCTCAACTCGCTTGCTGCGCATCTTGGCTTCCACGCGCATCTGGTGGGAAGAAAGGGAGGGAGAAGGAAGGCGGGAAGGAGGCGAGGTTGGGAGGAAGGAGGAGCGGGAGGGGTGAGGAAACGAGCGAGAGGCGCCCAGCTCCTCCTCCTGGTAGTGCTTCTCCAGCTTGCGCGCCTCGCAGGCCATGGCCACGCGGATTCCAATCGAGGGGACTTTTGAGTCGACTCAAAAGTCACCTCGGAGGGCATGGCCACGCGGATTCGAATCGCCACATCGTCCACTCATTTGCTGCGCATCTTGGCTTCCACACGCATCTGGAAGGAGGGATCGGGAGGGAGGGGAGGGAAGGTCACGGGAAAGGACGGGGCACAAAAATGGTCCGCGGCACTTGTTTGCAATTCTTTATTGACATTCAACATTCTATCACCCCAATCACCTGCAGCAGTCGTTCACAAGCAGCGTTCTTGACAGCAGCCACATTGACATCAGTCATGGTGCTCATGGTCAGCAGACATCCCGCGCCATCACCGTCACCCATCACCGCCTCCATCGCCCCCTCCCCTCCCTCAGCTGCAGCAGCAGGAGGAGCGATGCCGGGGCCTCCGCACCGGGCGGCTTCAGCCGCCATGTCTTGTAGAATCTTCCTGTCAGCTTCCGAGAGCGTTTCCAGCGGCTGCAAGTCCACCTTGTTGCACACCACCATCAGCGGCTTGTTCAGGAAGAGGGGCTGTTTGTAACGCGGATGGATGGGATGGGCACGGGCGAGAGGGTTTGGAATGACGAAGTGGGAGAGGAGGAAGGGAGAAAACGGGGAGGGGCGAGAAAGGGAGAGGAATCAGGGGTTGGAAATTGAAGAAACGGAAAAGAGGGAATTAAAACGGAAAAGAGGGAATTAAAACGGAAAAGAGGGAATTAAAACGGAAAAGAGGGAATTAAAACGGAAAAGGAAGTACAGACCAAGCTTGTAGAAAGTGGCACAGACCAAGCTTGTAGAAAGTGGCACAGACCAAGCTTGTAAAAAGTGGCACAGACCAAGCTTGTAGAAAGTGGCACAGACCAAGCTTGTAGAAAGTGGCACAGACCAAGCTTGTAGAAAGTGGCACAGACCAAGCTTGTAGAAAGTGGCACAGACCAAGCTTGTAGAAAGTGGCACAGACCAAGCTTGTAGAAAGTGGCACAGACCAAGCTTGTAGAAAGTGGCACAGACCAAGCTTGTAGAAAGTGGCACAGACCAAGCTTGTAGAAAGTGGCACAGACCAAGCTTGTAGAAAGTGGCACAGACCAAGCTTGTAGAAAGTGGCACAGACCAAGCTTGTAGAAAGTGGCACAGACCAAGCTTGTAGAAAGTGGCACAGACCAAGCTTGTAGAAAGTGGCACAGACCAAGCTTGTAGAAAGTGGCACAGACCAAGCTTGTAGAAAGTGGCACAGACCAAGCTTGTAGAAAGTGGCACAGACCAAGCTTGTAGAAAGTGGCACAGACCAAGCTTGTAGAAAGTGGCACAGACCAAGCTTGTAGAAAGTGGCACAGACCAAGCTTGTAGAAAGTGGCACAGACCAAGCTTGTAGAAAGTGGCACAGACCAAGCTTGTAGAAAGTGGCACAGACCAAGCTTGTAGAAAGTGGCACAGACCAAGCTTGTAGAAAGTGGCACAGACCAAGCTTGTAGAAAGTGGCACAGACCAAGCTTGTAGAAAGTGGCACAGACCAAGCTTGTAGATAGTGGCACAGACCAAGCTTGTAGAAAGTGGCACAGACCAAGCTTGTAGAAAGTGGCACAGACCAAGCTTGTAGAAAGTGGCACAGACCAAGCTTGTAGAAAGTGGCACAGACCAAGCTTGTAGAAAGTGGCACAGACCAAGCTTGTAGAAAGTGGCACAGACCAAGCTTGTGGAAAGTGGCACAGACCAAGCTTGTAGAAAGTGGCACAGACCAAGCTTGTAGAAAGTGGCACAGACCAAGCTTGTAGAAAGTGGCACAGACCAAGCTTGTAGAAAGTGGCACAGACCAAGCTTGTAGAAAGTGGCACAGACCAAGCTTGTAGAAAGTGGCTGAGGTTGTTACCTCGTCACCTTGTTTTTTCTGTTTAGCGAGTCACCGTGTTACCTCTTCTCAGCATGTCACTCAGTATGAAGGAGTTGAACAGCGCTGCCTGTTGCTGTAGTCAACAGGAGGCATCAACAGGAGGAGCGTATACCTGCACTGCAGCTGCCAGACGCGTCCACCACAAACAGCACTGCCGCTCCCAGGTGCGCTCAGCTTGTTTCGTTGCAATCTTTGTTACCTTGACTGAGAATGCTGCATGCAAGTCACTCACCTTGATGGAGTTGAACAGCGCTGACTGCTGCTCCAGAGTGTACCCACAGCTGCCAGACGCGTCCACCACAAACAGCACGGCGGCCCTCAGATGCGCCAGCGCTGTCACGGCGAGCATCTCAATGGTGTTGCGCTCCTCCAAGGGATGGTCCAGGATACCAGGGGTGTCGATCACCTGAGGTAGTCAAGGGGAGAAGGTGGAAGGGCGATCAAGAGAGGGTTTCCAATTTCCAGTACCAGTGCCGTACTCACCTGTGAACTGAACACCCCCCAAGACCCCGAATCCCAAAGCTCTTGCACCTGCCAGCGCAGGCACTTGAGGTAGGTGTACCCTAAATAGAGCGTGCGTGCCAACGCATGGAGTTTGTTTCGTTGTCCTAATACAACACGAGTTTGATGGAAGTAAGGCCTTCGCAGCCCACCTGTCCTCTTTTGACAGCGCAGGCACTTGTAGTAGGTGCGCTGAAATGGGGGGCACTTGTAGTAGGTGTACCTGCGCTGAAATGGGGGGCACTTGTAGAAGAGCGACTTGGTGGTGAAATGGTACGGCTGCACCTCCACATCTGCGCGCGTCACCCCACCTTGCTGCTGCTTACCCACCCACCCCACACCACCCCACCCCATACCACCCCACCCCTTTCCACCCCTCCCCACCGCACCTGCCAGCGCAAATATTTGTAGTCAGTATGCCCAACAAACAGCGACTTGGTGGTGAAGGCGTACGGCTGCACCTCCACGTCAGCGCGCGTCACCTTGTTCACAAACGAGCTCTTGCCCACGTTGGGATACCCGCACACCAGGATGGTGCGCGTGTTGGGGTCGATGGACGGCAGACGCGACATGTGCTGCCGGACCTGGTGTAAAAGGAAGAGAGGAATAAACCCATGCACAAGGCTTAACACGAGCTCCTTCCATGCGCATTGGGGTACCCGCACACCAGGATGGTGCGTGTGTTGTGGTCGATAGAGGGCAGGCAGGCGCGACATGTGCTGCCGCACCTGGTAAAAAGAAGAAGAAACGGACGAGCTCTTGCCCACTCTCGTTAAAGAACAGGTATGGTATAAGAATCAAAACAGTCAACGCACCTGCTCGAGTTAGCGCATCCAACGCACCTGCCAGTCAAACAGGCCAACGCACCTGCTCCAGTCAACGCAGTCAACGCACCTGCTCCAGTCAACGCAGTCAACGCACCTGCTCCAGTCAACTCAGTCAACGCACCTGCTCGAGGTACGCGAGCGACGGGCCCTGCTTGCGCATGAGCGTGCACATGCGGCCGAGCGCGGCCCGCTTGAGCTGCTTGCAACGGTACAGCGAGTCGCCATACTTGAGCAGGCGCACGTACTCCTTGGTAATGCGGTCGATGATTCCGCGCGCCACGTTCACCTGCGGGGACAGGGGGAAAGAAGAGCAAGAAGAAATATCACTCAGAGATAATCGAGCAGTCCCACATACTCATTGGCCGCGCGGTCAATGATTCGCAGTGCGCCGCTCATTTGATTGGAAAAATAGGGAATAAGCGACGTTCAAGGATATAAGGGGGGACAAGAAAACCCGGAAACACGAACTCGAGTATCTTTCGGAGAGATTTGCAACATCTAGGAATTGCGCGAATCCACAAACGCAGTGAGCCCAGCCAATCACCGGTCATGCTCATTTCGTAAAACCCCTCTTCACCCAAACCCCCACCCCAAACCCCGCAGCTGTCCGTCATTCCCCGTCGTCCTCTATCACACATTCCCTTACCTGTCCAAGCGCGAGTTTGTAATGGTCCTTATCGTAGAGGACGTTAAGGAGGTCGCCATAGAACGGATGAATCTCCTCGAGCCGTGGAAAGTCGTCGAGAATCGTCGTGAGCTTGTCGTGGAACGTCTGTTGCGTGAACTTGACTTTGCGCATGTAAAACTGACGGATTCTGTTAACGGCGCTGCCCTTGTGGATCACCGTCGGCGTGCCGCGCTGCGTTTTGGACAGAACGATGTCGACAAAGTCCTTGGCGGTGGGGACCACCGTGATCCGCTTGAAATTATACTGTACCATCGTGGCGGTCTGATAGGCTGGATCGGACGGTCGAAAGGACGGATTCGAGACGCCTAAAAAGGCGACGGACGAGATTGACCGACAACCTTCAAAGCCCGCTCGAGTTGTAAGAGACGGGCGAACGAGGAAGAAAGAACGAAGCTAAGCGAACAGGAGAAAAACTACTGCGGCCTGGACGATCGCGATTCGCAATTCGCGAACCGCCTTTGCTACAGCTTCCGTGGAGAGCGGCAGCAAACAGGCACTTCTATAAAGATGGCCCGAAGGCCTGCGAGCAGAAAAGGAGCAACAAGGAGCTGGTGGAAAACCCTAAATGCCGAGCTCGAAAGAGCGGGGTTCTGGTGAACAGCCACAAACGCGTACATTGTGCGCCGCTAGTTGTAGGTGTGAGATGTACATAATAGCTCGTGCTGTTACAGATACTCCATTTCCTGATTATTCTAACTGGTATTGGCAGATCATGAGTGTATTAGCCAATGTTGGTGAACATTCAGCATAAATTTGCTAGCTGGGCGTCTGCAAAATTCAGGAGTCAAGAAAGCAAAATTGCAAAACTGGACAAAATAAAAAACGTTCGAGCAAAATCCAGCGCACTAGTAGCCGCCTATCTAGACTATGCATGTACAAGCCCACCGACCTTGCTCTTCCCTTTAGAGCCACCTAAAGCACAAGCATAAGCCACACTCTTCCCCCCACTAGTCACCATCACCACAACACTTCCACCCATCCCTCCACTCACCTCCTCCTCCGCACCTTTGCCCATTCGCTCTGAATTCACTCTCTCTGACCCCACACCCCCATCCGGCCCGGCAAATCCTGCAGCGAATCCCCTCGTCCCACTCTGGAAAAAACTTCCCACGCTACTTGCATCAAAGTCCGAGAGAATCGACACAACGACTGGTTCAGGCTGTGCGAACGCGCTCTGCCGGCCAAACCCACTCTGCTGCTGCTGACCAGGCACTGCAACTGGGACCGACCGAATCGGACTCCCCTCAGTAGTTGCATTGTGTTCCAAGCTGCTGCCCACATCATCACTCGTCGTGCTGCTGGCGCCGCTGTGCCGACCTCCTGTATTCACAACCCCATCAGAGTCATGAGTGGGAGGCAGGAGGGGAATGGCCTGGTTGGAGTCAGGCAGAGGAATGGCCTGCTTTGACGCTGGCAGCTCGTTCAAATACCGCCTCCGCAAGAACATGCGGCGAGACAGCACAGGCACAGGTACAGGCACAGGCAAGAAGGGCTTAGTCTCCTCGGTGACCCTGCTGCTGCTGCCGGAGCTGGTGGTCGTTCTTGCGGAAGCTGTGGCGGAGTTGAGATGTGAGGAACCCGGAATGTGGCCCCCACTGCTTCTGCTTCTGTCCGTTGCACTGGAGTTTGCACTGCCACTGCCTGCACAGCCACCAGATGAGTTCCTCTTGCTGCTGCTGCCTGCTGAATGTGTCGTTGCCTCTCCTGCCCCATCCTGTGCCTCCCCCTCCTGCGCCGCTTGGGTTGGATGGGAGTCAAACCGGAAGAGCTCCGTGCATGTATGCGACTGGAACAGAGGGCCTGAAACCACAACAGGCAGAGCAGGGTGGGAAGGGGGGGACAAAGAAACATGATTCAGGAAACAAAGTGTCAATCTGACCACGCGAAAAGACCAGGGGAGGGATGGAATGACGAAAAGAGGACCAAAACCTGACTGATAGCACACAGGGCCATCCCATGCCCATGTTGCTGATATAAACACCTACCTACCCTGTGCTCCGGCGTCCTCCTCACCTGAGCTGTGCTGCAGCAGCCACTGCTGCCAGTGCTGCTGATTCCACGGCAACGCACCCTCCACTGCTGCTGCTCCTGGTAGCGCACCCGCCACTCTACCACCACCACCGCCAACCCCAGCCCTCAGCCCCGCAGAGGCACTGCCATCGCTGCCACTCCCACTGACCCGCGGACCATAAGCGCCACTGCTGCTACTGCTGCCACCGCTGCCAGCGCTGCCAGCGCTGCCACCACTGCCACCTCTCCCACCTCTCGCACTACCTGCTGACTGGCTCCTGAGCGTGCTTGCAGGTGACCACTGGCGCCACGGCACAAGGGCCTTGCCTGCCGCTCTCGCTCTCTCTGCTGCATCCCTGCCATCTCTAGGACTATCTGCTGTAACCCTGTCTGCTGCAGCCCTGCCGGCTGTGAGGTTGGGCACCTGGCCTCGTGACACCGCTGCGAAGGCAGGGAACCGCTGCTGCTGCCTGTCAACAGCATGCTGCTCCACCCGAGCGCCGCTCACCACCCTGTGCCTCCACACAGGGTTCAAAGCCGACGCCGACGCGCCCAGGGAAGAGGAGTGCAGAGAAGACGAGTGCTGACCGTGCTGCTGCTGTGGTAATGAACCGCTCATGCTGCCATTCCCTCTGTCCCTCCACCATACGCCCATTCCGTCCCCTCCCACTGCATGCCTCCCCCCCTCCCCGCCCTCCTCCTCCTCCCCCAGACCCAGCAGCACCCGCCCTCCTGGCCTCAACGACCCACCCCCTCCCAACCCTCCTCCCCACTCTTCTCCCCGCGGAACCCCTCCCCTCCCTGCGCCCCTCGGCGCGCCACCACCCCACCAACGCCATCCCTCGCGCCAGGCCCCGGCCACTTGCTCCCAACGACCGGTCCCGCTGCCCTGCCAGCTCGTAACGCTGCTCTGCCAGCCTGGATACGCCGGCGCCACGCCACGTGTCAGTTCGCCGCTAGGCGGCAGGAAGGGGCAGAGGATCAGGAAGAAACCGAACATGGCGAGGGCGAGAGCGGGTGCCTTGGCGGCGGAGACAGCACGGGGTGGCGAGGAGGGCCTGACAGGCCCGGTGGCAGCTGCTGTAGCTGCTACGCCAGTAGAAGCAGCAGGAGTGGCAGCAGCTTCCGCAGTATCCGCAGCTTTCGTGGCACCCACATGCGCATCTCCTTCCATCTTCTGCTTCTTCGCGCCCCTGTCCTTCTCCCCACCGCTCGCCTTCGCGCCACTCCCCCCAGGCGCGCCTTTTTTCTTGCGCGCGGACTCCGGCCGGCTCACGTTCTTCAGCTTCGGAATCGGGACAGGCGGAGCGGGGGGGAACAAACCGCGTAACCCTAACGCCCCGAGTGGTAACCCTATTCCCCCCATGCTTCCAATCCCAGCCAGTCCTCCCAGGATCGGAGGAACAAGACCGGGCGAGAGTGCACTGGGAGGCGCTACAGCCGCTGCTGCCGAACCTCCCCTTCTGCGTCTACCCGAGCCTCGTGCCGGGCCTGATGCGGCAATTCCCGAACCTAACGCACCCGCCGACCCTGCAGCAGCTCCAGTTCCAGCTGCTGCAGCGGCAGCGGCGGCGGACGCGGCGGAAGCGGCGGAAGGGGAGGAGTAGAAGAAGGCGAGCTGGCGGCGGAGGCTGACGTTCTCCGCGGTGAGATGCGCGACGGCGGAGTTAAGTTCCGCCACCGCCGCGGACATGGTGCGGATCTGCGCCTCCAGCTCGTCCATGTAATACTGCCGGGGGAACGGGGGAGAAGGAGGGGGAAGGGGGAAAGGGTTGAAGGGGGGAGAGTTGTTGGGATACACATAGCGTGTTGCGAGAACGATGATGCGGGCGTCAAGCAGCTGAGTTGCGCACGAACGGAACTCGACGTTGATCGAGTGCGAGGCGAGGCTGGTTACCTTCTTCCTTTGCCGCGAAAGTTGCGCACTCTCCCGATTTCTAATCAGCCTAGCCTCCCGCTTCTCCGTCTCCGCATCCCTCCCCTCCCCCTCACCTTCCCCCGCATCCCCCTCGCTCGGCTCGCTGCCCGCATCTTCCGCCGCAACGGCAGCGCCACTCCCGCCACCAGCAACCGATCCCCGCGCCTCTGCTCCCCCGCTTTCGCACTCCTTTAGAACGTTCCCATAACTTGCGTTTCCAGGGGAAAAGACGCCGTTTGCAACCGTAGACGTGGCAGCATCCAGTGCTGTGGGAATTTGGAAGGAGGCTGGTGAAGTCGTAGGAATGGGGAGAGTCGGATTCGAGCATGGAGCGGGATAGCAACCCATTAACGCACCACCCACCCATGCTGTATTCCCTTGCTGCTGTTGTTGCTGCTGCTGTTGCTGCTGCTGTTGCTGCTGCTGCTTCTGTAACTGCTTCTGCTGCCGCTGCTGCCGGCGCTGCTGCTGCTTTTGCAAGCGATACTGCTGCTGCTGCTGCTGCTGCTGCTGGAAACAGGGACTCACAGACCCCGGAAAAGGCACACCCTGTACTGAAACACTTTGCATCGCCAATTGAGTCGTCATGTGCTGTTGCTGAGCAAAACCTGTTTCCTGCTTCACCGTACTCCCCAAATTCTGGGAAGACGGCAACATGCCGGCGAATAATCCGCCCATGCTTGACACCACGCCTGTAGCCGACGGAGGGGTAGCGGCACACGGCGGAGCTGCAGCAGCAGCAGCAAACGGAACTGCTGACATGGCGCTTGACTGATGCCACGGACTCCCAACCTGACTGCTCCCCTCCTTACAGCCACCGCTCTCACAATCACCGCTTCTACAGTCACCACAGGCGCAGTCACCGTCGCTGCTGCCGTCGGCGCCATGGCTACCTCCTTGCACCAGATACGGCAGGCCGTGATCGTTGACGGAAGCTAACGGCTCGGGCGACGACCGGCCGCTAGGAGGCGTATCGACTAGCATCGACCCACCGGCTGTGCGAATATCGCCACCTTCATCGCAAAAAAGCGCGTCGGTTGTGTTAAACGGAAACGGTTCGCTAAACGGCCGGTTTCCGAGTTCCACGTCAACAGCTGCTCCTGCTTCATCCTGCGGTATGGTAGTCTCGTCGCGGAACGGCTCTAGCATATCGCTTGATAGGTTGGCAAAAGCTGAAATATCGATGTCCGCGAGAGGCACGGCTGATGAATCGAGTAAGAGCGACGCCCACTCGTCGTCCACGAAGGTGTTCTGTTCGTCCATGGCTGGGCTTGACTGGCCGCGATCTGGCAAATCCACCATTGAAACGTTGTCAACTCTCGTTTCTGACCGTACAGCAACTTATCACCATCAAGCTAAGCCAAGCATCACCCCACTGCAACTCGACAAGTAGATAAAAGGTTCCTACTGGTAATTGAGTTCCCAAGGCAAAAAGGCACGGAAAAAGGATGACACATGAAATGATTGCTGCTGACTGGAATTCCTCAGGATACCCAAGAGATACACCGTGGAGGTTGTGTTGAGTGGAGCTTGGTGGCAGTGGCAGAAATCAGTAGCGCGGGCGTGGGGGGGAGGAGACGGACAGACGGAGTCACGGAAAGGTTGACGAGATCTTGTCAGGGCTGGACACATTCAAGCTTGGCTTGGGAGGGTGACCGAACCTGTGACTGGTAGCGGTGTACACGGTTAGGAGTACCTCCTTCTGCTGCATCGTGTGGCCGAGTTTCGTGCAGTCCGATCGGACGAACACTGGCGGACCACATCATTTGACCAACCAGCGGTGGGCGTGGTCATTCTTGTTCAACAGCTTCGCCTTCTCGCAGCTTCCACGCACAAACCGTCTGTCTTACCCACAAACCGAATGACACACAGAACCGAACCACACAGGTGTGGTGTGAAGCAGCCGTCTTGACAGGCAGTTCAGTTGAGTATCACGCTCGTGTAGCAGGCTGGCCCTATGGTTTGGATCTGGTTCGGCAGAGGCTGCTGGCGGGGAGACGAAAGTTTCGTGGTTCGGTTTGTTTGCCAGGAAAGAAGAACTTCCAGAACCAGACAGTTTTCCGCCGGCCAATCATTACGGTCTGTCAGCCGCAGGCATGTACAGTAATGCGAGGCTGGATGTTAAAGGGGGATTTACTGTTTCTTTTAAAACCGGAGGGTCAAGAAGCACGAAATTGGTTCAAGCTTCCTAAGAGCGTGTAACTTTTTTGCATTTTGTGATTTTGACGTACCGTCCGATTATATGGAATCGGACGGTACGTTTATAACGAAACGGACCGTCCGATTTGAATGTTTGCAACTTCGGACGGTACGAATGCATATGTGACACTTTTTCCACATGCTAGGGTTCCGCGATGGTATTCCTTTCGCCATCTCAAATGTACACTAGTAACGCCAGTCACAACCCTTCGCAATTTTCGCCTGTGGAGTTCAGCGCTTCGGACATACAATTGAAAATTCCAAACATGCACAAAGGCCGTCGACACCAAACTCTTCGCAATCAAAGGGTCACCACAACCCTCTATCTATAGCAGAGACATCTCTCTGCACAAAAATATGTCGCGCCGCCACCTACTATCCGTACTACACCTCTTGTATAGAGGGTACCAACAGTTCATTGTCGGACCAGGGGTCGACTACATTGCAGAGATTATCCTATTGCTCGATGACGAGGACCGCAACATCATGCAACGGGACCGTGATGTCAGATGATTATATTACTGATGCATATATTAAGGCTGTAGTGGGGTAGCCCACAGGGGGTACAACCCAATTAGGGTTGGTACAAGTACTTGTTTCATTTCATAGTGCACTCATTCCTCGCCTCTATCTCAACATGGTATCGAGCAGGTTCCCTAGTGGGAACTGTTCCTAGGGCCCACCTACTATTCCGTCCTGCCCGGAGCGCGCTCTGCCCTAGCCCGAGTCGCGCTGGGCCTTTTTTTTTTTTCCTTTGGCGGCCCGATCGCGTCGAGCCGCCCGCGATTTTTTTTTTGGCGCGCCACTTACGCGGCCTCGTCGCGCCGCCCCTAGACGGCCGCGCCGCGTCGCGAGTGCCGCCCTCCAGTCGCGCGCCACCCCCTCTGACCCTCGCAACGCCGGCGCCGTCTCTGACGGCCCCGCGATCGCCTGCGACGGCCCCGCCGTCCCCTCTACCGGCCCCGCCACTGCACCTACCGGCCTCGCTGCTACCCCTGACGGCCCCGCTGCTGCACCTGCCTGCCCCGCCGCCTCATCTGCAGGCCCCGCCATCTCACCTGCCGGCCCCGCTACTGTACCTGACGGCCCCGCCGCTTCACCTACCGGCCCCGCCACTACCCCTAACGGCCCCGCAGCTGCATCTCCCGGCCTCGCCGCCCCAGCAGCCGAGCCGCCCCAGCAGCCGAGCCGCCCCAGCAACCGAGCCGCCCCAGCAGCCGAGCCGCCCCAGCAGCCGAACCGCCCCAGCAGCCGAGCCGCCCGAGCCGTCTGCACTGCCCTGTCTGGTGAGCACTGAGCTTTACTCTGCGCACTGCCCTCACCCTACTGCTGTCATGGCTACCCCCAGTGTCCTCACCTTTGACGCTGAGGGCAGAGCCATCGATTTTGACGTGTGGGTAGACGACCTGCTGCTTTTCCTACAGTGCGACAGAGCTGACGGCGTCTCTCTCTTTGATCTCACTTCTGGTGCCTCTCCCGCCCCTGCTGCTACTGAGGATGCCACTGTTCGCTCAGTGTGGGCCACACGCGATGCTGCTGCACGTCTTGCTGTGCGTCGCCACCTCCCTCCCTCTGAGCGTGCACACTTTGGGTCGTACAAGAGTGCTCAGACCTTGTACGGCGCCGTTATTGCACGCTACTCCACCCCTGCCACTGCTGCACTGAGCCGCCTCATGCTACCGTACCTCTTTCCCGACCTTGCTTCCTTTGCCACAGTCGCCGACCTCATTACCCACCTGCGCACTAGTGACGCTCGCTTCCGCGCTGCGCTTCCTGCTGAGTTCTGCGCCAAGAACCCCCCCCCAAATACTTCACTCTCTACTACATTGTCGCCCGCCTCCCTGACTCCCTTCGCGGAGTCAGGGACGACTTAATCTCAGTCTGCCCCACCACTCTCACTGTTGACCTCCTCGAGAAGTCCCTCCTAGCAGCCGAGAAGAGCATTCTCGCTGTAGGGGCCTCTCGTGGTGACCCCCGCACCCCCAACTTTGAGGGGTGTTCCCCCTCCCCCCTCCTGCCCTCTGTCGCCTCTACTGCTACGGCCGACCTAGTTGGTTTTGAGTCGGTCGGCGCGGCGTCAGCCCCCAGTGGAAGACGTCCCTCTGGCAAGGGCAAGGGGGGCAGGAGCGGTGGTGGCGGCAGCGGGGGCGGTGGAGGCGGCGGTGGAGGCAGCGGAGGAGGTGGGGGTGGTGGCGGGAGTGGTGGCGGGAGTGGAGGTGTCAGCGGCGGCAGTGGAGGCGGGGGTGGCAGCGGCGGTGGTGGTGGGAGTGGAGGTGGAGGCGGCGGTGGCGGTAGCGACGGTGGGAGTGGCGGTGGCAGTGGAGGTGGTGGCGGCGGCGGCGGAGGAGGCGGCGGAGGAGGCGGCGGAGGAGGTCGTGGCTCGTCGCAGAGGAGTGGCTCCGGTGGCGGTCAGCGCCAGCAGCAGAGGCAGCAGCGTGGTCAGGACACCCTCTCCCCACAGCAGCTCCGTGAGTGGTACACTGCACGTCAGAGGGGTGGGGGTACTGGTCCGTGCACCTACGTCTTGCGCACTGGCGACCGTGCGGGTGAGCCGTGTGGTGGTCCACACTCCGGCCAGCGCTGCTTCGGCCGCCTGACTGACGCTTGGCGCCGCCAGTTTCTTGACGCCTCTGAGATCCCTCGCTGGGACCAGCTGTCTAGGGCAGGAGTAGCTATCTTTGATCTTGACTTTGATACTATTCTTGCTGCCATGTATGCTGTGAGTATTAGTGAGGAGGGTGACTGTTACCGGTGTTTCCCGCCCGACCCAGGCATTGGTACTGCGGCTCTAGGTGCTGTTGAGGCTACTACTCCAGGTGCTGGTGAGGCTGTCGCTCTAGGTGCCAGTGAGTCTGTGTCCTCAGGTGCTGGTGAGTCTGCTCTCTCAGGTACTGCGTCGGCTCTGCCCTCTCTCACCTTCACTCTTGACTCAGGGGCGTCTCGCTCCTTCTTTCGGGACCGCACCACACTCACACCGCTTAGTCGGCCAGTGGCGGTCTCCCTGGTGGACCCCTCTGGGGGTCCTGTTCTGGCTCGCTACTCCACTGTCCTGCCGTGCCCTGCGGTCCCGTCTGGTGCCGTGTCCGGTCTCTACCTCCCCTCGTTCTCTACGAACTTGGTGGCGGGTGCTGACTTACAGGATGCAGGGGTCGACCAGTTCACCCCTGCACGCCGACGAAACACCCACTACACGGACGCGGACACGGGTCGACACTTGACCACGTTCACACGTGGGCCGGGGTCGAGCCTGTACAAACTCACTGTTCCGTCTCCTCCTCCTGCGTGTGGTCAGGTAGCTGCGTCGGGTCAGGTGTTTGCTGCAGCATCCAGGTCTGGTGCTGAGTCTGCCCCCTGCTCGTGTCGCCTCCTGTCCCACGAGACCCTCCTGTGGCACCACAGGATGGGTCACCCCTCCCTGCCTCGTCTCCGGGGCATGGCCTCTCGCCTTCTTATCTCTGGCCTTCCTTGGTCCCTCCCTCCCCTTCCTCCGGGGCCTGGCCCTCCCTATGTCCCCTGTGTCGAGGGTCGCCTGCGTGCTACCCCTCACTCCTCCCCGTTTCCTCCGACGGAGGCCCCGATGTAGACGCTTCACATGGACGTGTGGGGCCAAGCCTGCGTCCGTGGACAGGGTCACGAGCGCTACTTCCTGCTGGTGGTTGACGACTACTCGCGTTACACCACAGTCTTCCCCTTGCGCAGCAAGGGTGAGGTCACTGAGGTGTTGATCGACTGGATCCGCGCAGCTCGTCTCCAGCTCAGGCGGAGCTTCGGCTCGGACTTTCCTGTTTTGCGTCTGCACTCGGACAGAGGCGGAGAGTTCTCCTCCGGCCTTCTGCGAGCCTACTGTCGGGCACGAGGCATCCGCCAGACCTTCACGCTTCCGGACTCTCCGCAGCAGAATGGGATTGCTGAGCGCCGCATCGGCATTGTCATGGACGTCGCCCGTACGTCCATGGTGCATGCGGCTGCCCCCCATTTTCTGTGGCCGTTTGCGGTTCGGTACGCCGCGCATCAGATCAACCTTCAGCCCAAGGTCTCCAGATCGGAGACCTCCCCAGCTTTGCTGTGGACGGGGAAGGTTGGCGATGCGTCGGCGTTCCGTGTCTGGGGATCTCGGGCGTTTGTCCGCGACTTGTCTGCGGACAAGCTGTCCCCTCGTGCTGCTCCTTGCATCTTCCTGGGTTTCCCCCCTGACGCACCTGGGTGGCAGTTTTACCAACCCACCTCTCGTCGTGTTCTGTCCTCCCAGGACGTCACGTTCGACGAGTCCGTTCCCTTCTATCGGCTCTTCCCCTACCGCACTCCGTCCCTTCCCCCCTCAGGGTCCTGCCCCTTCAGGTGTGTCTTAGGTAGACGCGGTCGAGCCTGTCGAGGTCACTGGTGACTCTGGTGCTGCTGCGGGCGCTGAGCCTGGGGGTGCTGAGACTGGGGGTGCTGAGCTTGGGGGTGCTGAGCCTGGGGGTACTGAGCCTGGGGGTGCTGAGACTGGGGGTGCTGAGCCTGGGGGTGCTGAGCCTGAGGGTACTGAGCCTGGGGGTGCTGAGCCTGGGGGTGCTGCGCCTGGGGGTGCTGAGACTGGGGGTGCTGTGCCTGGGGGTGCTGAGCCTGGGGGTACTGCGTCTGGGAGTGTTGCGCCTGCTGCTTCTGTTCCTGGTGGTTCTTTAGATCGTTCCTCACGCCGCGAGCCGCTCTCTCCTCTGGAGCTGCGTGAGTGGTTTGCCCGGCGCTGGAGGCGAGCTGCTGGAGCTGGGGGTACTGCGGGTGCTGGAGGTTCCGTTGCTGCCGAGGGAGCTAGTACACGGGTCCCGGAGGTGCTCGTACAGAGGGTACTGGAGCTGCCGGGCCCGGGGGTGCCTCTGGAGCTGGAGCTGCTGCGGGTGCTAGCGCTGAGGCTACGATTGTCGGTCCTACTGCGGGTACTTCTGCAGCTGCTGGTGGTGCTGGAGTTGGAGCTGCTACAGGTGCTTGTGCTGCCTCTAGAGGTGTTGGTGCTGTCCCTGCGGTCTCTGGCGGTGCTGCGCGGCCTCGGCCGTACTTCGTTCCGCTCCTTCAGCAGGTTCTTGGTCTCCCGCCTTCCACTAGTCCTTCTCCTCCCTTTGAGTGTCCGTAGCCTGTCCCGTCACAGTCATAGTTACAGCCCGCCTCTCCCCTGCCTTCTCCTTCTCCCTACGCTGGTCCTACTGGAGGTCTTGCTGAGCGTCGTGAGCCTGCGTCCCGCCCTGCGTCGCCAGTCCGAGCTGCTCGCCCTAGTGGTCGCGGTTCGCGTCAGCGTCCTCCTCCTGTCCCTGGCACGCACCGGATGTCTCTTCTCTTGTCACTGACCTTTCCTTTGAGTCCGCTGCTGCGTCTGCCCTAGTTGCTGAGCTGGTCGACTTTGCTGCTGCGTGTCGTCTGGACTACGCTGCCAGTCTTGTTGCTGAGTCTGCTGAGTCTGCGTCTGCTGCGTCTGCGTCTGCCTGTCCTCCGTCCGTCGGGGGTGACTGTGCTCTTGGCACGGACGTCCTTAAGAACACGCAGGAGGAGTTCCAGTGCTTTGCCGCCGCTTTGCCCCATCTCGTGTCCATGCTTGTTGCCCCTGAGGGAGACCCGGATGCTCTAGACATCCTGACCCCACGCTCTTACGCAGAGGCGATGGCCGGTCCCTACTCCTCTCAGTGGCAGTCAGCCATGGACGCAGAGATGGCTTCCTGGAAGTCCACAGGCACCTACGTTGACGCTGTTCCCCCTCCTGGGGTGAACGTTGTCAGTGGCATGTGGATCTTCAGGGTGAAGCGGCCGCCGGGTTCTCCGCCTGTCTTCAAGGCGCGCTACGTGGCTCGTGGCTTCAGTCAGCAAGAGGGAGTTGACTTCTTTCATACCTTCTCCCAGACCCCAAAGATGACCACTCTTCGGGTTCTACTGCACGTCGCTGCTCAGCGTGACTACGAGCTACACTCTCTTGACTTCAGCACTGCTTTTCTGCAGGGCCGCCTGCACGAGGAGATCTTGCTGCGCCGCCCTCCTGGCTTCACTGGGTCGTTCCCTCCTGGTACCCAGTGGAGCCTCCGGCGGCCAGTCTACGGTCTCCGCCAGGCGCCGCGTGAGTGGCACGACACACTGAGGACTACACTTGCGGCTCTTGGGTTTGCTCCTTCTACTGCTAACCCGTCGCTGTTTCTGCGCACCGACACCTCGCTGCCGCCTTTCTACATCCTTGTATACGTCGACGACTTGGTCTTTGCCACTGCGGACACTGCCGCACTCGCCCACGTGAAGTCCGAGCTGCAGAAGAGACACACGTACACAGACCTGGGTGAACTGACAAGCTATCTTGGCCTGCGGATCACCCGGGACAGAGCACGCCGCACCATTACCCTGACCCAGTCACACATGGTGCAGCAGGTCCTTCAGCGCTTCGGCTTCACGTACTCCTCGCCTCAGTCCACTCCTCTGCCTACGGGACACTCGCTCTCAGCTCTGCCTTCGGATGAGTCCGTAGAGTCGAGTGGTCCGTATCCAGAGCTTGTGGGCTGCCTCATTTACCTGATGACTTGCACTCGACCTGACCTCGCATACCCTCTCAGCATCTTAGCACGCTATGTTGCTCCCGGCCGTCACCGGAAGGAGCACATGGATGCAGCTAAGAGGGTGTTGCGCTACTTGTGCAGTACGTCGGGCATGGGGCTAGTGCTTGGAGGGCGTGAGCGGCCTGTGCTCACTGGGCACTCAGACGCTTCTTGGGCTGACGACTAGGCTACTCAGAGGTTGTCTCAGGGTTACACCTTCAGTTTTGGCTCTGGCTCTGTCTCTTGGCGCTCTACTCGCTCTTCTTCGGTTCTCAGCTCGAGCTGTGAGGCTGAGATCTACGCCACGGCCATGGCTGCCCGGGAGCTTCGTTGGCTCACCTACCTGCTGACTGACCTTGGAGAGCGGCCTCGTTCTCCTCCAGTGCTGTACGTCGACAACAAGGCAACCATTGCCTTGTGTGAGGAGCACAGACTGGAGCACAGGACAAAGCACATTGCTCTACGCTACTTCCTTGCTCGAGAGCTGCAGCAGGGTGGTCAGCTTGGCTTGCGTTTCATGGCCACTAAGGCCAACACTGCTGATGTGTTCACCAAGGCACTTCCGCCTCGTGACCATCAGCGCTTTTGCACTCTGCTAGGCCTTGTGCCCACTGGGCCTCACTTGCTTACCTCTTGACCTTGCTTGTACTGCTGCATATATATATCCTTGCTCTTGCTTGTTTAGCACTGTTATATATATATGCTCTGCTGCATGTGAACTGGCCTTGTGGCCTTGACCTTGTGCTCGGAAGTTGTGTGGTATCCTTGAGATCCACCCTGAGCTTGCTTTGCTTTGCTTTGCTTTGCTTGACTGGTCTTGTGACCCCTTGCTCTCCCCCACTTTGCCTATGGGGGTGTGTCAGATGATTATATTACTGATGCATATATTTAGGCTATAGTGGGGTAGCCCACAGGGGGTACAACCCAATTAGGGTTGGTACTTGTACTTGTTTCTTTACATAGTGCACTCATTCCTCGCCTCTATCTCAACACGTGAGAGTCAGAGGGAGCGGTGGGATTTTCTTATTGGTGGAATGCCTCGTCGGGTTTTCATTGACACTTTCCGCGTTAACCGTGCTGTTTTCGACTACTTGGTAGACGCTTTGCACAGTAGGATCTGTGACCGCCAGCGCGTGATACCTGTATAATCGTGCGTTGCAATGACGCTAGTTTATCTAGGCACAGGCGCAACGTTCCGCCAGCTCGGCCTGCAGTTTGGGGTAGTGCCGCAACATGCGCAGAGGATTGTGCAGGGCTTTATGGCGTTCATAGTGGGCGAACTACTCCCTCTCTGGGTTTCTCACCCTTCCGCCGAGCAGATGGCAGCGATCGCCGAAGAGTTCCGGTACGAGGGCGGTATTCCAGGCGTCATAGGAGCTCTAGATGGGACTTATATTAAGTGACGTGGCTTCGGGAGAGACAAGGAGGATTTCAAAAACAAGAAGGGTTTTTACTCCATAATCCTACAGATAGCTTGTGACTCTAACGGAATCATCTGGGACTACAATGCGGGATACCCCGGAAGCGTCAACGACTCCCGGGTGTTTACTAACTCCCCGCTCAAACAACGCTTAGAGGCTGGCGAGTTGGGGAACTATATGTTAGTCACGGACGCTGCATACGCTCTCACAAGCTACACTTGTGTGCATTGGCGCGCTACTCCCGGACGGTCTCTGCCACGTGCAAAAGACAAGTGGAATACACAACAATCGCGTTAGCGTATGATAGTCGAACAAGTCAACGGGCGGCTCAAAGGCAAGTGGCGCATACTCGACAGCCGGATGGAGTGCCACAGTGAGAGGGTGCCGCAGGTGGTGAGTGCCTGTGTGGCACTTCACAACATCGAACTGACAATCGGCAGCATGGATCGCCTGGGCACACCGCCGGAGCGCTACCGATGGTGGCTCGAGGGGCCCGTGGCTACTCTTCGACTTACCGGCCCTGAGGTGCGCGGTTTCACGCCTCGTCTTCGGATGAAGAGGTAGACTGCGGCGATCTACGCCTCCTACTGCGCCGCTCATCCGCGTACCCGCGAAACACCTCCCGGGTTAGTGACTTGAGTTCCTCCCACTTCGCATCCTGCCGTTTGTCAAAATGCTCCCGTAGTTCCCCTATCAACTCGGCAGTGCTTGACGGTTTCTTCGTGTCGACTGCTTTGCGGCCAACACCGCGTTTTGCGGCATTCTTCTTTTTGCCATCATTCTTGCCGTCTTGCTTGCGTGGGTACTGCCACCACGCATTCTTTGAACTCCCCTCCCTGCCATCATATGTAGGGCGCGCTCCCCAATTGATGCGCCGACCGCGGATAGAGATACCCGTCGTCGAACCTGACGGGACCGTTGCGCCGCTTGGGGAGCCGCCGTTGCTCGGAGCGATAGTGTCTGGCGAGAGTGGAGTCTCGGGGGAGGGACGAGACGGAGCGACGGCGCCGGCTTCACGACTGGGAGAGGCAGGCTCGGTAATGCGGCTGGTGGTGGGGGACGGCGTGGGTACGACGGGTGGGATATATGGCGAAACGAGAGCGGGAGGGCGGGGAGCGGTGACGCACCGTGCGGCAGCCGCCGGGGGAGCTGGACGCGCCGTCGCCATGCGGGCGGGAGCGATGCCGGTACCTGCAAGCACGGGGGTATGGTGCTTGGGCGCTCACCCCAGAGGCGCTCAGCCAGATGGTACCAAGGCGGCAGGTTTGTGACGCGTCCCTCCCCAGATCGCCTTATACGGTCGTTGATGCGACGCCACTCCGCCTTTAGGCGGTTGAACTTCGCCTTGAGTGCCCCCTGGTCATGCCGCCACGTCGGGTTGCGCTCAAGGATATCCCGCTGGACCAAGGGGTACCAGGACCTTCCCTGCTGCCCGGTGCGTGCGCGGATTTGCGGGTCGAGATCGATGAACGTGGCCAGCACCTCGCACTCCTCCTCAGCGGTCCAGCGTGGCGAGTTTCTGGCAGTGGAGTGGCGAGAAGCAGCGGTAGTGGTGGTACTTGGCTCCGTTGGTTGCGCGGTGGGTTGCTCTTCAACCTCTCCTGGCGCGGCGTTGTCATCAAATGCGGCACCGAGTCCATAGTCATCGTCGGCGTCGTAGGAGGCAGAAGGGGAGGGGATTTGGTAAACCCAGTAGTTGGAAGGGGTGACGGAGGGAGTGGTAGAAGGAGCTGTCGGCGTGTTGGTCCGATCCCGTATCTGGGACTCTTGTGTTTCGGGAGCAGCTGTGGCAGGAGTGGTAGTATTGGTAGATCCCGGTGGATGGGAGTTGGGAGTGGTGTTGTCAGACTGGGTGTGTGGCGTGGGGTGGCGAGAGGGATCCATTGTGCAGTGTAGTGAGTTGTGAGTCAATGTCGTGGCTTCATGTATTGTAGTGAGGCTAGTTGTGGTTGGACAATGTCAACTTTTGAATCCGAGCCGCATTTTCCAATGTTCTAGCGAGGCGGTCCGCTGAAATCCAAATTCGCCCGCCAGTCGCGTGCGCGGACAAGCGGACAGTCCGTTTGTGTTTCGGACCGTCCGTTGTCAGTGTTTCGTGTCGTTGGAAAGTGGAAAAAGTGTCATGACGGTTCGTTCTTGTAGCGACGTCGCACTCATCCTCGCGAAAAACTGCACGACATTAAACGACAATGGTAACCCTTCGCATCGACGTACGGTCCACGGTTCGTTCCGTCGGGTTCAAAAAAGTTACACACCCTAAGGTTGGTTGGGTGTTACCCGGTTTCCAGCGGAGGCAAACTTTTGAAACACACAAACCTGGTCCTGAACATTCGCCAAACTAGAACACTGTAGGAGCGACAAATGCCCAGTTGGGTTTCATCGCACGGCACATCGCCCAACACCAACCAGCGTAAACATGAGGCACACAGGCAAGAGAAACTTGTCCCCAAAACGCTACTGATTATTCGCGAGTTCAAGGACCCACTATTAGACCCACGTAGCCCGCCAACTAGCCAACATACCGACAAGCGGGCGCGCGCTAATCACGAATTACAAAAGGTATGGGAGAGCTAAAGTTGCGGAAACCGACATTACCGGAAATGTAGTTGTCCGTTGTGACGTTAGCAGACCGATGGCCACGATTCGACCTGCAGAGCTATGCGACGTCGCATTTAGGTCATTTGCATTGCAGGGCAACGCGACGGCGACATTAGGACACGATTTGCCCTGCAGGGCAACGCGACGGCGACATTAGGTCACGATTTGCCCTGCCAAGGCAATGCGACCTACAAACAGGCGGAGGTGCAGGGGCAGGGGGGATCGCGTGGGCAGGCGAAAGCACCTGGCTCACCTCCGCCTCGCTTACCTCCGCCTCTCTCACGCTCCGCCTCGCTCACCTCCGCCTCTCTCACGCTCCGCCTCTCTCATCCTCCGCCTCTCTCACCCTCCGCCTCTCTCACCCTCCGCTTCTCTCACCCTCCGCCTCGCTCACCCTCCGCCTCTCTCACCCTCCGCTTCTCTCACCCTCCGCTTCTCTCATCCGCCGCCTCTCTCATCCTCCGCCTCTCTCACCCTCCGCCTCTCTCACGCTCCGCCTCTCTCACCCTCCGCCTCTCTCACCTCCGCCGCCTCTCTCATCCTCCGCCTCTCTCATCCTCCGCCTCTCTCACCTCGGCCTCTCTCACCTTCCCCGCCCAACGTAATTCCTCCGCCTTTCTCACCCTCCGCCTCTCTCACCCTCCGCCTCTCTCACCCTCCGCCTCTCTCACCCTCCGCTTCTCTCACCCTCCGCTTCTCTCACCCTCCGCCTCTCTCATCCTCCGCCTCTCTCATCCTCCGCCTCTCTCACCCTCCGCCTCTCTCACCCTCCACCTCTCTCATCCTCCGCCTCTCTCATCCTCCGCCTCTCTCACCCTCCACCTCTCTCATCCTCCGCCTCTCTCATCCTCCGCCTCTCTCACCCTCCACCTCTCTCATCCTCCGCCTCTCTCATCCTCCGCCTCTCTCACGCTCCGCCTCTCTCATCCGCCGCCTCTCTCATCCTCCGCCTCTCTCACCCTCCGCCTCTCTCATCCTCCGCCTCTCTCACCCTCCGCCTCTCTCACCCTCCGCTTCTCTCACCTCCGCCTCGACAGGGTAGATGCGTCGTAGGGTATGGGTAGATGCATCGACAGGGTAGATGCGTCGTCCTCCCTCCCTTCCTCCCATCCCCTTCCTGCCATTCTCCCATCTCCTCATCCTCTCTCGATCCTGTCCCCTTCCCCTTCCCATCTCCCACCCTCCTACTCCCTTCCTCTCATCCTCCCATCCTCCCTTTCTTCCTTCCTCCCTCCTTCCACTCATCTACCCAACGTCGTCCTCTCCCACCCCCTTCCTTTCTTCATCTATTCCCTCTCCCAATTTTCTGGCTCAGTGCCTTTCCCCGCTCTCTCCCACCTTACAACCACTCTTCATCTTCCCCCCCCTTCCGCCCTTCCTCTGTGTCCCCCTTGCTCATTTTCTCCCTCCGTGCATTCCTTGTTCCCTACCGCCGTTGCCCTTCCATTGTCATTGTTTTGTATCCTTTCCCGCTGCTTCAACTTTGACACATCCGAGATGTGGTTAGCGTGTGTGCAGGTCTGCCATGCATCCAGTTGTGATGTGTTTGTTGTTTGATGATAGTGGTACCGTATGACAAATAGCTGTCATATATGTTGGGCTGAGAAAAAGCCCTTGGGATCTTTGCAGGGGTGAACTCTGGGTGTAACTGATGTGGTAGCATAAGCGTTTTAATGAAGAGTTGTGAACCACCTTGCGCTAGTATGTGAGGGCAAAGTTGATTGATTAAAGCAATGAGATACAGGATTATATAAGAGTACAAGGAATACGAAGGGATACAGTTATAATTACTTTACTGTTGCTGTTGCGGTTCGATACAGTGACGACTCGGGCAACTGCTCTGTAGCGAGTCAGTTGTGTGTCCTTGCTGTTGCGCTGTACTTGTCAGGTCAAAGGTCGCTGACCTTTGACTTTCGCATAACCTCCAGCAGTTGCTCAACCTCCGAGGGTTGACTCGCTGATGCTGCGATATGTTGTGCTTCGCTTGTGCCTTGGTGTTTCGACACGATAGAGGCGCTTAGAATTAGTTGTTTCCAACAATATATTGATGTTGGATGCTTCTCGTAATACACAACTTTGTGTTTTGGAGCAGAAAGGCACATGACCATTACAAGGAAGTGCAACAAAGCAAGCTATATTTCCAAAAAGGTTTCCAAGAGTGGACTACAGGCACATGCACACAGCTAGGAGGTGGAACATTTCAACCCATTCCTGTCAGGCCACGATCCATGGTGCTGGGCACCTGTGCAAGCATGGTTCTGTGATGAAACAGGGAGCGAAGAGGGGATATGGCAGAATAAGCGAGGGGTGGAGGTGGAGGTACAGAAGGGCATGTATGGGAGGAGTGGACAAGGCAGAGGGGTGAGCAAAGGGGAAAAGGGAGCGAGCAGGGTGGAGAAGGGGATGAGCAAAAGGGGAAAGAGAGTGAGCAGGGTGGAGAATGGGGTGAGCAAAGGAGAAAGCAAGTAAGCAAGCAAGGGCTAAGGAGGGGTGCGAACAGGGGAAATGAGAGGACTTGGGGGTGGAAAAGGGTTGAACGAAGGGGAATAGAGAGTAAAGAGGGGGAGAGATGGGTGAGTACAGGGGGGAAGGGATGGCGAGGGGGAGAGAGTGAGCAAGGGGCAAGGGAGTGAGCAGGGGAATATAGGGGCGAGCAAAGGGGGAAATAGATCGAGCAGGGGGAAAATGGGCGAGAAGGGGGGAAAGAGAGTGAGCAGGGGGGGAGAGAGGGAGCATGAGAGTGAAGGCGATGGGAAGGGGAAGTGAAGAACAACGACATGGTGAAAGGGAGGATTGGCGTGTGGAAAAGCGAGGGGGGGAGGGAGGGTCAGCGTGGGGGCAAGGGAGGGTGGTAGTGGGGGAAAAGGAGGGTGGGATTGGGGGAAAGGGCGGGTGGTATTGAGGGAAAGGGAGGATTAGCGTAGGGGAAAGAGAAGATTGGCGTGGGGGAAAGGGAGGGTTGACATGGGGAAAAGGGAGCATTAGCGTGGGGGAAAGGGAGGGTTGGCGTCAGGGAAAGGGAGGGTTGGCGTCGGGGAAAGGGAGGATGATCGTAAGGAAAAGGGCGAGGGAGAGTGGGGGAAAGGACGGGGGGAGTGGGGGAATGGACCGCCGCAGGGCGGGGTGTGAGGGCGTGGAGGAGGAGTGGAGTGCGGTAGAGGCTGGTGCGGTGCGGAGGAGGAGGAAGCGTGGCGCCGCGCGAGAGGCAGAGGTCGTGGTGAGTGAGGACGCGAGGAGGTGAGGAGGGAAGAGGGAGGAGGGAGGAGCAATTGAGGCACCAGAGAGAACGATACGAGCGAGGGGGGAGGAGGAAGAGGAGGAGTGAGAGGAGGAGGAGGAGGGGAGAGGGAAGCCAATGGTAAGGGGGGGGCAGTGGGAGAGGTGCAGGGTGGTGAGGGAGGGGTGGACGGGTGGTGGGAGAGGGCAGTCCAGGCGAGGTTGGCGGAGAGCAGGCGGGGAAGGCGAGGAGCAGCGCGGCAGAGGCGCCAGTGATGCTGCTGCCCCACACTCACCGATGGCGCGAGTGCACCAGCGACTGCAGGAGAAGGGGGGGAGGCGGGGGTGGAAAGGGGATGGTGGGAGTGGGAAAAAGGGGAGCATTGGTGCAGGAGGCGTTAGCGCAAGTGAACCAACAACTTGAGGAAGAGTGGGTGGGGGATTGGGGGGGAGAGGGGGAAGAGAATGAGCAGGGGAGACAGACAGAGGGGGACGGAGGGAAGAGAAGGAGCAGGGGAAACAGGGTGAGCCGGGGAAGAGAGGGCGACGGGAGAACGAGCAGGGGGATGGGAGGGGGGAGCGCGGGCGATGGGAGAGGGAAGTGAAGTGGACGGGCGGGGGAAATGAAGGCGAGGGGAGGGGGAAGTGAAGGCGAGGGGAGGGGGAAGTGGAGGCGACGGGAGGGGGAAGTGGAGGCGACAGGAGGGGGATGTGGAGGCGAAGGGAGGGGGAAGTGGAGGCGGCGGGAGGGGGAAGTGGAGGCGACGGGAGGGGGAAGTGGAGGCGACGAGAGGGGGAAGTGGAGGCGAAGGGAGGGGGAAGTGGAGGCGAAGGGAGGAAATAGCAACGCGACGAGCCCGGGATGGGAAATTCCGGCACGAGCAAACTCTAACCGCTGTGTGAAGGGCTTCGTTCACGGAATCCGCACCTGGAGGCTTCGACGCCGACAGTATCTCTATTTTTGTCCTTGTTACACGACTATGAAATCTATGTGTTCCGAAGTCACTCATCGTTGGAGTGTTACGTGACGGTGGGTCACTCTACTTGCTCTGATTTACGTTGCATAGATACCAACGTTAGGCTTACTAAGCTCCTAATAGAAGTGTCGTTGGGGCGTGACACTCGGAAATGTGGATGGGTCGTGGGGATATGTTGCTGGTGGTTGGTGCGATTGAGGTGTGGGCATGTTGGCCGTCGCATTATGTGTCAGGTTACTTTGGCGAGGTTTGGCATAGTTCGCGACGTTCGTCCAACCTTTTCGACGTTTCAGTCCCTTCGTGTACCAGTAGCATATCTTTTCCCAACCAAGCTTCCTAAGCTTGAACTTCTTGGCCCGCGGGTTATAAAGAGTACTTTCCCAACCCATCCAACTCATCCTCATTTTATCTCTCTAGATTTCCTAGTGCCACGTGGCACTCTACTTTCTTTGCCTCACATTTCCTAGTCTTACAGAGTACTTTCTGACATTCGATCTTGCATGCTATATCATCCTTGCTTGTATCCACCAATATCAATCATTTCTCATTCAATTCTTCAATTACGTAGTTACTCCTTCACCTATTTCGCCAACACTCTCTTTCGCCAAAGTCTTCCGCCGCGTTTATCCTCGACTTAGTCAACCCCGCTAATCTTTAGCGGATTTAGGCCAGCGGGCCTAACACTTGGTATCAGGAGCCTTCGCGGGGAGCAACTTCCAACGAGCGACCGTCGACGACGAGACTACGACGTCATCGTCCCGCGGTGCCGACTTGCAGACTTGGAGTCGTCGAGCGAGCATGGCCGAAACTATGCACGCTCTCCCCCACGACATGGGCAACACGCTTGCCGAACTCATGCGCCAACTTCAAGAGTTGACGTTGGAAAATCGTCAGGTACGGGCTGAAATGCAACAGCTTCGTGAATTGGCTTCTAACCCCCATGGTCATGCTGCACCAACTCTTGCACCCAACACGTCGACTGGCGCGGAAGCGCTGCCAGAACGTCGAAGCGCGCTCAAGCCGCAGAAGCCCGAGCCGTTCGACCCAAGTCAACGCGACGCGAATGTGCGAACGTGGCTCTTCATGCTGAACAACTACTTTGCCGCGAGCGGGGTGCAAGAGGCGGATGCGCAGCAGCGGATCGAGTACTCCGTTACGCTGCTGAGGGGTCTGGCCTTGGAGTGGTGGTGCCAACTCACGCAAATTGCTGTAAGAAGGGCTCAGACAGACGGGCATCAACAGGGCGTGGGGCATGCAACTGTAACTTCGAGATTAGGGAGTTTAGCTTTGGGTGTTACTAAGGTTCCGACCACATGGGAAGGATGGCGCTGAAAAGTAGGTTCGATTTGGTGAACGCCTCCAAAGCTGCTAGGAAGCGTCTACGTCATTTCCGACAGATAGGAAACATCCAGGAGTACACACGACGGTTTTTGAGCATCTGCAACGAAATAGATGACATCACGGAAGCAGAGATGCGCGATCGCTACCTCGAAGGGTTGAAGCCGCACATAGCGGAGGTTATAGCGATTCATGGATTGTCCACCTTCGAGTCAGTAGTCGCAGCAGCAGAACACGTTGACGTAGTACGAAGCTGACGGGGTCGTGACGATCGCGATAGAGGATACAACAGACCGATCAACGACGCTCGATCGAGGGACGGACCGTCGCCCATGGAGATTGGTGCAGTTAACAGTGACGGCTCACAGAAGACGGGTTTTAGGGGGAACTGTCACTACTGCAAAAAGCCGGGACACATGAAGCGGGACTGCCCACAGCTTAAGGAACGGCAGCAAGGAAACGGAGACCGCCAGTAGATAGCGGGTTGCTAGCTGGTGTGGAGGTTCCCGTACCCACCACGTCTACCAACGTAGAGGAGACGGCTTTGCAGCAGTCATCTACGGAGAACGAGGTAGACACTGTTGACCGACCAGTCGTGCTTCTGGAGAAGCTTCGCGGAGTTCCTGTTAAGATTCTCGTAGATAGCGGAGCTAGCCACTCGTTCGTCTCTTCTTCATTAGTCAGTCGTCTCCATCTCGAAGCAGATTCGGCAGTCAACTTCAAGGACGCGCGTATGGTAGATGGGACGCCACTTTACATAGGACCGATCATTCGCAAGTTGCGCGTAGTGCTAGGACAGATCGCAGTTAAACGTGATTTCGAGTCTGCGACGTTGGACGGATACGACTTCATCTTCGGTAGGGATTGGCTACGGACGGTTAGTACACAGTTCGATTGGGCTTAGGGAAGCTGCAGCGTCAAGGTAGACGGGGAGTTCCGAGAGCTGCCACAGTGGAGTGATGGGGCCACATCCTCCACAGCCATCATCAATGCTGTTCGTGTGCGGCAGCTGGTGAAGCGTGCGGCACGGATCTTCGCGGTTTTCCTTGAGGAGGTGGAAGCCAAGGAGGGGAAAAGAGGGAGCGCAACAGTTGGCAATAAGACAACTCTTCCTGCTGAAGTGGGTGCACTCTTAGCAGAGTTTAGAGATGTCTTCCCCGACAAGTTGCCCCCAGGGTTACCTCCTAGCCGAGCAGTCGACCATCAGATAGAGTTAGAGCCGGGGAGCATGTCAGAATATTATCTTATGTTCTAGCCTGTAGTGGGGTGCTCTATAGCGAGTACAACCCTTCTAGGGTTTGCTATTTGTATCCTCATTTTTGCTAGTTCAATCTTCTTTCTTTCTTCTAATTTTGTCATGCTATCAGAGCAGGTCGATCCCCTTGAATCGATCCTGTGGGTGGGTTACCACCTCGCTTCCGCTGCTACTTTTTCCTCCCGCCGTGCGCCCCGAGGCGCGCGACGGTTTTCTGCCCGCCGTGCGCCCCGAGGCGCGCGGCGGTTCTCTGCCCGCTGTGCGTCCCGAGGCGCGCGGCGGGCGTCTGCCTCGCGGCGTTCGCCGCGTCCCGCTCAGGAGGCGTCGCGACGGGCGACGGGGACCCGTCGCGGCCCCGCCGCCCTACTCCGGTCGCGGCCCCGCCACCTTCGGTCGCGGCGCCGCCACAGACCCGTCGCGGCCCCGCCACCTCCGGTCGCGGCCCTGCCGCCTCGCGTCCCGGCCCAGCCGCCTTCGGTCGCGGCCCCGCCAACTCCGGTCGCGGCCCCGCCAACTCCGGTCGCGGCCCCGCCAACTCCGGTCGCGGCCCCGCGAACTCCGATCGTGGCCCCGCCACCGACCCGTCGCGGCCCTGCCACCGACCCGTCGCGGCCCCGCCGCCCCACTTCGTGGCCCCGCCGCCCCACTTCGCCCCCCCCCCCCCCCCCCCCCCCCCCCTCCTCCCCCCCCCTCCTCCCCCCCCCATTTCCCGTCGCCCGTCGCGGCTCCTTCGGGGGGGGGCGAGCTGTGGGGTGGCAGGTATGGGGGTGGTCGGTGTGCTTTCCTCCCTTTGCTCCTCCTCCTCCTTCGTCTCCCACTGCTGCAGCTGTCGCTGAGGGGGGTGGTTCTGTGGGAGACTGGGGTTTAGGGTTTAAGGGGGGTGCGTGGGAGTGGAGCTAGCGGTGTAGCAGCGGGTGTGTATCAGGGGGGTGGGACTGTGTGCGGGAGGATGAGCGGAGGTTGCCAGTTTGTCGTCAGCAGCACCTGTAGTCCGGGGCGCTGTCCCGGTAGCCCAGTGAGCTAGACTTCTACGCCAGCCGCCCGTGGGTCCGTTGCCCGTCTGCCGCTACTTGAGCCGCGGGGCCTGTTACTCCTGTAGTCCGGGCGCTGTCCGGTAGCCGCTGTGCCAGTCTGCCTCCTGTTGCCCGTGTGTCTGCAGCTTCAGCCGTCGCCTCCTATCTCCTTTCCCCTCACTCTCTCTCCTCCTCCTCACTTGCCCGTTGTGACTACCACTAGCTTTGCTCATAATTGTGAACTCTAAACTATTTCTTCTTGAACTTGTGCTCAGATTGTGTGGTGACATTGTGATCCACCCTGAGCTTGTACTGCTCTGCCTGCTCTGCTGATTACACCCCACTTTGGCTATGGGGGTGTGTCAGAATATTATCTTATGTTCTAGCCTGTAGTGGGGTGCTCTATAGCGAGTACAACCCTTCTAGGGTTTGCTATTTGTATCCTCATTCTTGCTAGTTCAATCTTCTTTCTTTCTTCTAATTTTGTCTGAGCAGGCCAGTAGCGAAGCTGCAATGGAGGTTGAGTCCAGCAGAGACAGAGGAGATGACGCAACAGATTAGGCATTTCCTAGCGCAGAGGTTCATACAGCCATCTAGATCGCCTTGGGCAGCACTGATCCTTTTCGCGCCTAAGAAAGTCGGAGGATTACGGATGTGCATAGACTACCGCGCACTGAACGCTGCCACCGTGAAGAATAGATTCCCAGTTCTGAGAGTAGAGGATCTTCTCGATGCAGTGCATGGCGCTAGGGTCTTCTCAAAGATCGACCACCGTTCCAGTTTCCACCAGATTCGTGTAGTTCCAGAGGACCAGCACAAGACGGCGTTTCATACGAAGCAGGGGTTGTACGAGTTTAGGGTTCTACCGTTCGGTTTAACCAACGCCTCAGCGACATTTCAGACGCTCATAAACTTAGTCATCTCCGAGTTCCAAGGGTCGTTTGTTGTAGTTTATCTAGACGACATCCTAGTATTCTCTAAGACGAATGAGGAGCACGTGCAGCACTTGCAGAAGGTCTTTGAGGTCTTGAGGAGGGAGCAGTTGTACGCGAAGTAGTCGAAGTGCGAGTTCTTCCTCCCAAAGGTTGAGTTTCTAGGTCACGTCGTTTCCGCTAGTGGCATTAGGACCGTTCCGAAGAAGATCGCAGCAGTACAAGACTGGATAGCTCCGACCTCAGTCAAGGAGTTGCAGAGCTTCCTCGGATTCGCAAATTATTATCGTCGTTTTGTTCAGCGTTACGCATCGATCGCTAGTCCACTCACTGACCGACTTCGGAAGGGCGTAGAGTACGTTTGGGGTCCAGCACAGCAGCAGGCATTCGAGCAGATGAAGCAGTCGCTTACGTCTTCACCGACACTGTCGTGCCTTGATCCCACTCGCCCGTACGTTGTAGTGACCGACGCTTCAGATCAGGCCATAGGTGCAGTGCTTCTTCAGGACCAGGGACGCCGGTTGCAGCCGATCGCGTACGAGTCGCGTAAGCTTAGGGGAGCAGAGTTGAACTATCCCATACACGACAAGGAGGTGCTCGCGATCATCCATGCGTATAAGGTATGGAGGTGCTACCTAGAGAGGGCAGAGAGTGTTATACGCACGGACCAGTGTTTGCTTCGCTTTCTCAAGTCGCAGCCGCAACTGAGTCGTCGCCAGGCTAGATGGATGGAGTTCATGGAGGGGAGTTTCCACTTCAGGATAGAGTACAAGCCAGGCGTGCGCAACCCAGCAGATCCGCTCACTCGCCCTAGTTTCCAGCTCGCTAGCCTCACAATCACTGCCAGCCATCCACTTCTCACAGCACTCTTCGAGCACGGTTACACAGTAGATCTCGAATTCACACAGCAGCCGCCCGCAGGTGCAGAGGTGCAGGGTAGTGTCTACATACGGAAGGGTACCACACGAATTTGGGTTCCAGCCTACCGCCCTCTTCGACAGCTCCTTCTCTCAGAGGCGCACGACATAGTTAGTGCAAGTCACTTCATAGCAGATAAGACGGCTAAGACGCTTAGTCGCACGTACTACTGGCCATGGCTTGCGTCAGACGTTGAGGATTACATTCGCTCATGCGAGACGTGTCAGCGTACGAAGTCCTCTCGCCAGCGCAAAGCAGGACTCTTGCAGCCGATTCCACCGCCCGACCGCCCTTGGCAGGTAGTCACAATGGATTTCATCATGGCATTACCGCGCACAGTTAGGGGTCACGACGCCATCTTCGTGGTAGTGGACAAGTTCTCTCGAGCAGCGCACTTCATCCCCACGCACGGCAAGGTCACAGCAGGGGAAGCCGCGACACTGTTCGTAGATAACGTAGTCCGACTGCACGGGGTTCCAGATTCCATCATCTCAGACCGCGACCCTCGTTTCACTTCGAAGTTCTGGAAGCAGCTTTTCGCACTGTTTGGGACTCGCTTAGCCATGTCGTCTGCATACCATCTAGAGACAGACAGACAGACCGAGCGTGTGAACCAGACCTTGGAGCAGATTCTTCGCAGCATCACGATGCACGACGCAGCCGCATGGGACAAGAAGGTGAGCATGGCCGAGTTCGCCTACAACAACACGCACCACTCGTCCACAGGCATGTCACCGTTCTTCGCACTGTACGGTCAGCACCCTAATATCCCCACTCGTGTCGATCTCACAACCGCTGTCCCTCGTGCGGACAACTTCCATCAACATCTCACCTTCATTCATTATCACGTGAGGAAACACCTTGAGCTCGCAAATGCACGCATGGCATGCACCACCAACCGCAGTCGTCGTGAGGTGTCGTTTTCAATTGGCGACCGTGTCCTTCTTGACACCCGCAACCTCCGACTGCCACAGGATAGCAAGCTTCGCCCTCGTTTCATTGGTCCATTCGTCATTGAGCGCGCACTAGGTCCAGTCGCATACCGCCTTCGCCTTCCCGCTCATTTCCGCATGCACCCGTCATTCCACGTGTCGCTTCTTCGTCCTTACACCGATCCCAATGCCACCTTCTCGGGCCGTGACCGCACTCCACTGCCGGTAGCTGTTGACACCGACCAACCCGACTACCAGATCCAGCGCATCGTCAGGCACCGTCGCCGTCTCCAGAGGGGTGTCCCTTTCATCGACTTCTTGGTTCGTTGGCGTGGTTACGACGCAGCAGACGACAGCTGGGTTCCTTCGTCCTCGCTGTCTCCCGACAACGCTTGCCTCCAAGTGTACCTTCAGTCTGCAGGCGCCGCGGACGTCGCCTCCTTGGGAGGGGGGTAGTGTTAAAGGGGGATTTACTGTTCCTTTTAAACAGTACTTTCCCAACCCATCCAACTCATCCTCATCTTATCTTTCTAGATTTCCTAGTGCCACGTGGCACTCTACTTTCTTTGCCTCACATTTCCTAGTCCCACGGAGTACTTTCCGACATTTGATCTTGCATGCTATATCATCCTTGCTTGTATCCACCACTATCAATCATTTCTCATTCAACTCTTCAATTACTTAGTTATTCCTTCGCCTATTTTGCCAACACTCTCTTTCGCCAAAGTCTTGCGCCGCGTTTATCCTCGACTTAGTCAACCCCGCTAATCTTTAGCGGATTTAGGCCAGCGGGCCTAACACTGGAGGTCAGGTACTGTAAAGTAGTTGATGTGGAGAACCGCATTGTAGTCTAACGTTCTTCTTCTGGTGGAAACGCGTTACTCGATAGCGCGCATTCATATGTCGAGTCGGGCTTTTGTAATATGGGAACGCAAATTCACTGTCCTCCCGCACTCAATAAGTGTTTAGCTAAATCACGTGAGACTCAATGGAGACCTCGCAGCCGTCCCTGGTTGCTCCTCCATCTCTTCCGCAAAACCCTTCCCTATCGCCGTATCTCGCTGCCTTAGCCCTCTCGTCCCCCGTCTTGTCCGTTAACGACGAAGACACTAATGGCGAGGATAGATCCACGCTCCTGTCCCCTGCGGTTGCTTCTCCCGCTGCGCCGAACTTCCGCTGCCGCTTCCGCACGCCGCTGTTCGGCTGCGTGGCGCTAGACGCGGTGCAGCGGGAGGTGCGCGGACGGCGCGAGCTTGCGGAGCGGGGAGCGCTCCAGGCGCAGGGGGAGGGGGGGCGGAAGCAGCAGGAGGGGAAGCAAACGGCAGCGCAAGAAAAGCGGAGACTGGCGCAGGAAAAGGGAAAGGGGACGGGGATAAACCAGCAGCGGCTGGGGGCGGAATCAGCAGCGGAAGGGGAGGAGGCACCGCGCATCAGCCACGATTTCGCCATGTTTGTCGGAGGCCCAATCTGGGCCGTTGATTGGTGCCCTCTCCCTCGTTACAGTCACACCCAATACCTCGCCGTCGCCTCTCATCCCCATCTGCGCCCATTCTCCCCCATTGGCGTCCCCCTGTGCGGACCTGCGCTGGTGCAGGTGTGGGCGGTTAGACTGGCGGAGGGGGACGGGGAAGCGGAGGGGGAGGGCGGGGGGAAAGGGGAGGGGGAAGGGGAGGGGGAAGGAGAGGGCGGAGAGGAGGGGAGTTTGCCCTGGTGGATGCTGCCGAGCGGAAGGGGCAGGGGGAGAGGCGGGCGTAGGGGGAGAGGGGCGGGGAGAGGTACGGGGAGAGGAGTAGAAAGCGGGAGAGGGAGAGGGAGGGGGCGAGGGAGGGGGAGGGGTAAGGGGAGGGGGAGGGGAAAGGGCGGGGATGCCACGAGCGGAGAAGCAGGAGGTGTTGGGGAGAGGCAGGAAAGTGCCGGGGGGAGCAGTGTGGGAGTGAAAAGGAAAGCTGGGGATGTGGGGCTCGGTTCGCGAGGGTGGGAAGGGGTGGAGTGGGATGGGAGAGAGAGGAAAGTGGAAATGAGATGGGAGAGAGGGGAGGGTGGGGATACATGGATAGGGTCAGGAGGCAGAGGAGGAAGAGGAGGAGAAGGAGAAAGAGGGGAAGGAGGAGGTGGGGGAGGAGGGAGAGAAGAAGGGGCAGAGGGGAGGAGCAAGAGAGCAGGAGAGCCTCAGGCGCAGATGGTGCTGGGGATTGCACACCAAGGCGGACTCACTCGCTGTGCCAGGTGGCGGCCACTGGTTGGTGGGCGAGACAGCAGGGCAGGTCAAGGAGGAGAGGAGAGTCTTGGGTTGCTGGCGGCTGCCTTGGGAGATGGCACAGTTGCAGTGTGAGTGATTGTGAGAATGAGGGCCAGTATATGGGGGGCAATGTAAGTTGTGAGATGCAGGGGTCTCAGGGTTTAGGGTTTGCACTGTTCCAGTGCGAGTTGATGGTTGGAGCACCTAAATTTGCACTGGAAGGTGGGTCAGCAGTAGTGACTGCAGTCATTCGTTTTGTTTCCATCCTCCTTTTTTAGGCCTGACATTCATGTGTTTGATTCGACTAGATGCCACCACCTTTCGCGCTCCTCTCGCTGCCCCTCCCCTGCCTTCTGTATCTCCCCACGGCAGCTATCACGTGCCACTGCCACAGCAGGACAGCAGCCGGTGGCAAGGCATTAAACAGCAGCACCAAAAGCAGCACGAGCAGCAGCAGAAGCAGCAGCAGCAGCAGCACAATCACGAGGCGCCATGGCTGCTCCAACCGGCTCCCCACGGCCCTCTGCTCGCTCTGCAACCCGTCTTCCACTGGCAGTCCAACCCAGCCCATGGCCCCACCAGGTGACTTTTGCAAACTGCTGCGCATGGCCCCAAAAGATGGGTAAAAGGAAGTCGCAAAGGGCACCTTCCAGTGGCAGTCCAACCCAGCCCATGGCCCCACCAGGTGACTTTGGTGGACATCTCAAAAGCCGTCTTTTAATGCCAGTCCCATCCGGTATATATACGGGCATATCAAGGTGACTTATGAAACGTCTCAAAGGTTGTCTTTTCTTTTAAGTGGCAGCCGAAGCCAGCGCATCACCCAATCAGGTGCTGCCATTCCACCCGCATGTGTGTCCATCAAACCAACACATGGCAGCAGGCAAGGCAAGCACATTGTTTCTAACACGTTGTATCGGAGATCCTCTCCCCATCCTCTCCCATTGTCCCAGGCTCCCCTGCGAGCTCGCGTGGAAGGTGGATTCAGCCTCTCATGCCGCCTCTCATGCCGCCTCTCCTGCCTCCTCTCCTGCCGCCTCTCCTGCTTCCTCTCCTGCCACATCATGCTCCCCACATCGCGCCACCGACCTCCTTGCTGCCGGCTTCCAGGATGGTTCCGTCCGTAATGACCCTCCCCACCTGTAACACTTGGCTGTTTACCTCCTCGCTTGGTGTGTTCTGATAGGTGTCATTTCGACTAGCAGTTCTGACACATCCTAATGCATGCCCGCTCTTGCGTCATTCCTTCTGAGCTGACTTTTGAGTCGACTCAAAAATGCATGCCCGCTCTTGCGTCATTCCTTCTGAGCTGACTTTTGAGTCGACTCAAAAATGCATGCCCGCTCTTGCGTCATTCTTTCTCTTGCGACGCTGCTCTTTTTTAGATGTCTCATAGGATATATGTTATCAAGTACCCTCCCCGTCTGGAACTCTTGCCTGCTTACCTCCCGGCTTGGTGTGCTCCGATGGTTCTCATGGCAAGTAGTGGTTTACGAGACATCCTAATACAAGTCTCTTGTGTCAGTGTTTCTCTTGCGATGCTGATTGTTTTCTGTCATGGGAGATATTTGCCGTCTTCCTCTTGTCGGTTAGGCAATTTAGAAATCTTACTGATCATTCATTGCTGATCACTCATTGCTGATCATTCATCACTGATCATTCATTACTGATCATTCATTACTGATCATTCATTACTGATCATTCATTGCTGATCATTCATTACTGATCATTCATTACTGATCATTCATTACTGATCATTCATTACTGATCATTCATTGCTGATCATTCAGCCCTTGCTCTAGTTTCTGTGCCCCCACAAATGTATATCATTCCCTGCATTGGGAAGGTGGGCATTGGTTCCACCATCTTGTTTGAGATTTTTGAGTCGACTCAAAAGTCATCTTGTTTGAGATTAGTTTTGAGAATTCTCAAAACTCTTCCCTGCATGCTGGTTCCACCCCACCATCCGCAACACGTTGAATATTGAGAAATCTCAAAAACCAACTCCGTCTCACCACCCCTCCCTCTCCTCTCCCCGTCTCCCTCCCCTTCCGCAGGTTCTTGTGTGGCGGCTGCAGCTTGAGCACCTTGTAGCCAATACACCAGTAATACCACCAGCACCGACAGCAGCACAGGCACCCTCAGGACCCAAGGCACAGGCACCACCTCTGGCACTGGCACCCGCTGCACCACCGCCATTCTCACACAACCCCAACCCCATCCTGTCCTTCCCCTCTCCTCAGGTGCTCGTGTGGCGACTGCAGCTTGATCACCTCATATTCAACACTCCAGTAATGGCATCAGGACTCAAGGCACAGCCACCACCACTGGCACCGGCACCCGCTGCACCAACGCCATTCTCACACAACCCCATCCTGTCCTTCCGTGCGGATTCAGCTCTCATCCGCTCCCTCGCCTGGCTGCCCACGCCCCTGCCACCTAAACCCAACACGCCTTCACTGACTGCTGTTGCGAGGACAGGGAGAAAGGGGATGAGGGACGGGCAGGAGGTGAGGAACGGTAAGCATTGGGGGAAGGGGAAGGAGGAGGAGGACGAGGAGGGGGAGGAGGGAGAACAGGATACGGATGGAAAAGGGGAAGAGGAGGAGGATTTGGGTTCTGGAGGAGAGGATGAGGGAGGAGAGGATGAGGGTGGAGAGGCGGCGGTGGATGAAGGGGAGGAGAGCACGGTGCTGATTGTGGGCAGCCAGTCTGGCATCCTCAAGTTCTGGGACCTCCGGTGAGGTGTGGTGTAGTGAGGCGCAGTGGGATGAGGCGCAATTAATCGTTGGTGGGGGGGTGTGGGTGGTGGGGCAGCACTGGTGCACATCCTGTGATGCCAATCGATATTCCATCATTCTGCAAAACCACTGCACAAGCATGTCACACTTATTGTTCTGTAATCTGTTACTTGTTTGAACGTTTATCTGAAGCAACTGATCTTTGGATTGTTAGTGTTAGCCCTCAATCTCACCTTTTGTACTTGTACTTTTTATATCCTAGTTTAGTGTAGTTTGCACTTTGTGTTTGGTTGGGTGTACTCCTACATCCCAACCAAACCCAAATGTTATCACCAAGCAATCTCCAACCCACCAATTGGAGATTGCCTTGGGATTGCCCCTGATCCCCTTGGAATTGCCCCTGATTCCCTCCCCATCCATACCTTGCGCATTTCTGCTGTACTTATAGAGCCTTGAGCTCATTACTAATGCATCAATTCCAGCTCTATTTCTGACAAGGATGCGCGCAAGAATGTCACTTCGTACGTTAACTGTGCTCCCCTCCCACCCACCCCCCGCCCCTGCTTCCCTCTCCCCACCCTGCCTGTCCACCCCCTGCCTTGTCACCGTCCGTCATGCTGCCATGCTGCCATCCATGCTACCATGTTACCATGTCAGGGATGTGTTTCAGCCGGCGTACGAGACACCCACCATCTCCAGGCACGGAGTGCTGCAACTGCACTTCTGCACCCCACTACGGTGAACCCCACCACCATCCCCATTGCCCGACAGTTTTGCACCCGATGGATGGACCTGCCATTACCAGGAATCGCATTGCCTACGCTGCACACATTGAGGTTCCTCAAAAGCGATTTCTGAGGTGCATAAAAACCCGCTATCCCCTTGATTGACCTGCCATTACTACGAATCATATTGCCTAGAATACACCCATTGCGCAGAAATCAGCTAGCAAATGGTGGCCAATGGCCCACTTCTCCGCACTGATTGACATGGCTATGAGCTCCGGCGTACTAGAGTGCTTGACACACAGATTCTGTGTAAGATCCACTGTTCTGCGGTGATTCACACGCACATGTTTTTTGAGAATTCTCAAAAAAAATATGTGTAAGATCCACTGTTCTGTGGCGATTCACACGCACATGGCAAGCAATTGCGGTGATTCACACGCACATGGCAAGCAATTGCGGTGATTCACACGCACATGGCAAGCAATTGCGGTGATTCACACGCACATGGCAAGCAATTGCGGTGATTCACACGCACATGGCAAGCAATTGCTTCCACGATCGTAACCCTCTGTATCTGTCCTGCTTACCTCAATCAACCATTCTTCGTGCTCTTCTCTTCACCTCATTGCTGCATGGCAGGTGCCTGGTGATTGCCATGGAGGAGATCGTTGCGAGTCATTGCGATGCGCTGCTCCTCGCTCTCACAGTTTTTCGCTGGCACCCCAGGAGTCGTCTCACCTCTCAGTTGTTCCTCCTCTTATCGTTCTCTCGATGCCTCCTCCCATGGCATGGCAGGGCCCTGGTGACTGCCATGGAGGATGGGTTCCTGCGAGGCATTGCCGTGCGCTCCTCCTCACTCTTACACCTCAGAAGTCATCCCACTTCTCATCTTCCTGCCTTTCTCGTTCTCCCATGGCACGGCAGCGCCCTGGTGATGGCCATGGAGGATGGGTCCCTGCGAGTTCTCGCCATGCGCTCCTCGCTCTCGCACCACCCAGCGCTGCCCTTCCCCCTCAGCCAGCAGCAGCAGCAGGGAAGGCAGGAGCACAAGGAGGAGAAGAATCGGTACAACCGGCGCTGGGTTGTGTCGACGCTCTCCCTCAGCACCGCTGCAGTGTGGGGCGCCTCTGCCTCTGATGCCACAGGTACTGTTGCTGCTGCTGCTGCTGCTGCAGCTGATGCCACAGGTACTGTTGATGCTGCTGCTGCAGCTGCCGCTGATGCCACAGGTACTGTTGATGCTGCTGCTGCTGCTGCTGCAGCTGCCGCTGATGCCACAGGTACTGTTGATACTGCTGCTGCTGCTGCTTCCGCTAATGCCGCAGGTACTGTTGATGCTGCTGCTGCTGCTGCTGCTTCCGCTAATGCCGCAGGTACTGTTGATGCTGCTGCTGCTGCTGCTGCTGCTGCTGCTGCTGCCGCTGATGCCACAGGTACTGCTGCTGCTGCTGCTGCTGCTGCTGCTGCTGCTGCTGCTGCTGCTGCTGCTGCTGCTGCTCCTGCTGCTGCTGCTGCCATTGATGCCGCAGATACTGCTGCTCCTGCTGCTGCGGTCGCTGATGCCGCATGTACTGCTGCTTCTTTGGTGTTACCTTTGCCACATTAGTTAATGTGACTACACCCTTTTGTGGTCTCTGACGCGCTCCCTGCCGTTGTAACTCCAGGATGCGTGGCGTTCAGTGGTGCAGATGGGTCCATTCAATGCGTTCAGGTAAGAGGCTGATCTTTACCAGAGAGGCATTGGGCAGATTTGTCAGGCTGGTGCGTTCAGTGGTGCAGATGGGTCCATTCGATGCGTTCAGGTAAGAGGCTGATCTTTACCAGAGAGGCATTGGGCAGATTTGTCAGGATGGTGCGTTCAGTGGTGCAGATGGGTCCATTCGATGCGTTCAGGTAAGAGGCTGATCTTTACCAGAGAGGCATTGGGCAGATTTGTCAGGCTGGTGCGTTCAGTGGTGCAGATGGGTCCATTCGATGTGTTCAGGTAAGAGGCTGATCTTTACCAGAGAGGCATTGGGCAGATTTGTCAGGCTGGTGCGTTCAGTGGTGCAGATGGGTCCATTCGATGCGTTCAGGTAAGAGGCTGATCTTTACCAGAGAGGCATTGGGCAGATTTTTCAGGCTGGTGCGTTCAGTGGTGCAGATGGGTCCATTCGATGCGTTCAGGTAAGAGGCTGATCTTTATCACAGAGGCTTTGGGCAGATTTATCAGGCTAATGCGTTCGGTGGTGCAGATGGGTCCATTCGATGCATTCAGGTAAGAGGCTGTTCTTTACCAGAGCGGCTTTGGGCAGATTTATCAGGCTGATGCGTTCGGTGGTGCAGATGGCTCAATTCGATGCGTTCAGGTATGCGACACGCAACAATGCTGTCTCTGCTGAGCTGTGCTGTGCTGTGAGCATACAGTGATGGTCATTCCTGTGGGCACACAGTGATGGTCATTCCTGTGGGCACGTCCTAGTGAGCTAATTGTCCTAGTGAGAATCTGTTATATATCTGTTCTAGGCGTTCAAGGCGTGTATGAGAATTATTAAAAACACTGTGCGGCTGTCCCCGCTCACCGTGCCGTGGGTACACCGAGACAGTCATTCCTGTGCTCGTTCTTTGCATGCTTTTCCTGTGCATCCCCTCTAATTCCCCCTTACCCCAATTCTTCCCCCTCTGATCCTGCCTCTCCATTGCTCTCCACAGCTGAGCAATAACTTCCTAATCAATCGCCACAGCCGGAGCAAGCAAGCCGTCATTACAGTGGGGGGATTCAATCAAATCCTGCCACCGCCCACACAATCTAGTGCGGAAGCTGCTACAGCTGACACCTCAGCAGATGAGTCGTTTGAGCATCGGTTTGTCTTTTTCCGAGGTGGGTCCAGTGAAGAAATAGATGGGGAGGCAGGACAGAAGGGGAAAGGGAAATTGAAGAAGGGACAGAAGGATGGAGGGGAGGAGTTGGAGGTGGATATACAGGGTGAGTCTGCCCACAGGGCAGATTGTGTCGGGGGAGTGGTGTGTGGCAATGCATTGGGATGCAAAGCGGTTGCAATGCACAGAGTGGCATGGAATGCCAATCCAGGGTTTCAGCGGTGGCTGGCAAGTGGGGGTGCTAATGGGGTGCTCCGGTGTCAGCTGTTTCGCCTGCCGTCAGATTCTTAAAGGCGTTTGCAATGTTTGTGTCCGACTTAACGTTTTATCCATCAGATTTTGCTGTAAAACAAGGCATACTGGTGTCTCAAATGTTTGCATCCATCTTTGTTCTTTATCTGGTTTCCCTAATACTGGCTGGTCTAAGTGTTTTCAATCATCTTGTTGTACATATTTGCAAATCCCGTTATGGTGTGATTCGAGCTGCTAAGATTGTGTGGACTCCGTCTTCTGAAATTCACATGTGGATGGAGACATTCGTGCGATCGTTGGTGGGTGTGGTGATTGATGGTTTGGATCCTGCTTAGGCGGGAAATCGTTTTATTGGTTGAACATTAAATCCGTCCAATTGTAGAGTTCCATTTCTGCGCCGCGCTGGTGTGACTGCCACCGCAAGCGTACTCTGTCAGGAACCCATCGTGAGGGGTGCTGCGAGTCGGGGCGGCGGAGGAAATGTGAATTGGCGATGGCGACTCTTTTCACGAAGAACGACGACAGAGGTACCTGTTCTCCACGACCACATGCACAAGACCACTGACTCGCAAGCTGATGTTACCATATGGTAACGCGTACGTGCATAACAACACGGAAGCACACTGTTCTGGTTGATGGCTCAAAGAGTAGCTGGTGTTTCCCGTGAATGCAGGAAGAATTGCGCCAGATGTGGACGTTCAAAAGTCCATGTTCCTGCGATTTTCAATCCTTATTGTCACAGTGTAGAAGGGGTTTTCCTGGTATTTAATATGCCAAACGAGGATATTTCATAATTGTGACAATAAGCTTCCCGTTTCAGCCGTTGGACTTGCAGGCTACAGTGACAATGAAGACCATCTGCTGCCTAGGTTCACTACCTGCTTGATGTATTTGCTCTATGGCTATGGCTGACGGTGGCTGGCTTTCGTTCTGACTCACAGGGCTCCTGCTAGTCACGGATTACGGACGAGATGAACGACGTTTTTCTACCACTAGGTTGGACGCCCTAAACTTTTGCTGTGCTGGTCGATCGAAAGTCCACCATAGCCGTTTTTCCGGCCTTACCCTACTCAACGGCCTAGCCTAAAGGCTGAATAGGGTCCGTCCGCTATTGCGTTGACTGATCAACTCGTGTTTCCTTCGGTTGGTTGTGTTTTCATTTCGAATATCATATCCCATTGCTGACTGACCAGTATGCGGTAACCCTAGTTTTCAGTAGCTGGGAGCAACCTTTTTCCCTCCCAGCGTTCTCGAGCATCGCCACGCCATCTCTACTATCCGTCCCTACTGCATCCTCACTTAGCATTCTGTTTTTAAGCGCGTGTCGACCGACTGAACCGCTTTTTAGACTCTACCTAAAAGGATAGCGATGGCGTGGGAAGCAACAGCATCGCTCACGTCGAAGCTGTCCAATCAGGCCTCACTCTCCTCAGCGGTTAATCTAGACTCACGGCGCAAGCCTACAACCGCTTCTACCTCGCCGTCCTTACCCGATCAATGGAGCCAATCTGGTTCCGCGAGAATATCCGGCTCCTGTAGTCTGACGTCAACGGTAAAGTCTAATCGCAAATGGCGAATGTCGGCCGATCAGCAGTCCTTCTTAACGGGATCGTCTGACGGCTTTTTTTCGTCGCACGCGTGCGTGACTCAGACCTTTCAGGCAGTTGTTCCTAACTCTAACAGTAGCTGTAGTGCATTACCTTATTGCTTTAATTCCCTAGACTCCCTCTCTGCTATTGGCAACAACAATAGTAGTAATTCCTCCTCGCCTAGCGTTAGGAGTAATTTGTCCCCACTATGTATTCCAACCTTAGGCTCGGTAGCCGGTTCGGAGTTACGTTCGGCAACAGGCTCGGCATCGAGCCCGTTGATGGTGGAATGCTTCGAGGTGGAGCGGTGCGAGGGATTGGAGGGACACGTGTCGATCAGTGGTGCTAAGAACTCCGCTCTCGCCGTTCTTGCTGGGGCTATCTGCTCCTCCGAGCCTCTCGTTTTGCGTCGGGTGCCGGACCTACATGACATCAGGCGGATGTTCCAGGTTCGGCCCGAGTGATATCCGTCCCTGCCTCCTATTCCTTCCTTCAAGCACCTACCTTCGTCATTTCAGGCGAAAAAATAAAACTTCGTTGTGTCGAGAGTTGCATTTCCATGGCATTGGGGCCATGTAATTATTCTCATGGCACTACTGCCGTGCCAACATTACTATGTCATTACTGGCATGCCATTACTCCCATGTCTTACTGCCATGTCAGTACGGCCATACCGTTACTGCCGTGTCATCACACTGTCATGTTACCCCTGACGATACTAAACATCATGTCTTCCTACTTACTCCTCGTCTTCTACCCGTCTGTGTGCGTTTTAATCCGCTGCGTCGGTCTTCAGGTTCTCCAATCGGTCGGCGTGAAAATACAGCGAGGCGTGGACGGCCAGGATTCATCCGTGCTGGTCGACGCGTCCTGTCTGTCGTCCGTGGAGCCGTGCCCCGACGTGGTGCGGAAGCTTCGCGCCAGCTTCTTCGTGATCGGCGCGCTTGTGGGGAGACAGGGGGAGGCGGTGGTGCCGCTGCCCGGCGGCTGCAACATCGGCGCGCGCCCCATCGACCTCCACGTGCGCGGCCTCGAGGCGCTGGGCGCAAAGGTCGATATCAGGTGAGCGCATTGAGTCTTTTTTTTTTTGTGGTGTGATGTTCATTTAGCGCGCCCATTACGCGTGTCCACCTAACCGCCAATCGGGGCCAGTTCTAGCCATTGCCGCTGCTTTTAGCTCTGGTGTTTTGCCCACTGTAGTCGCCCGAAAAGTCTTCTTAGGCTGTCTGTAAAGCCTAATGGGCAATGTCGCATTCCGTTATCCGCGAGCCTAGTTGGCTTTCTCTCCCTCGTTACCCCCTGTGTCATCCCCACCGCACTCTCAATCGTATCACCGCAGCTCCTCACTTTTTCTCCCTTTTTCAATTCTCATTCCCTCCCTCTACCCTCCCCTCTCTCCCCCTCGCTCCCCCTCTCTTCCCCCCTCCCCGCCCGCAGGCAGGGGCGCGTGCACGTGCAGACGGCGGACGGCGGGCGGCTCAAGGGCGGGAGCTTCTACCTGGACTTCCCCTCGGTGGGCGCCACCGAGACGCTCATGATGGCCGCGTCGCTCGCGGACGGCGAAACCACTCTCTCTAACGTCGCCCAGGTGAGCGCTGGGGGAGAGTCGGGCGACATGATGCTTCGCTCAGGTAATCACTAAGGGGGAGGTAGGCGTGCCAACATGATGCGCTGGAATGTTGCTCTGGGTTGCTGACGACGCTTCTTGTCTTTTCCGATCGTCGCCTCTGCAGCCACCACTGACTGCTGTGGTTTTCAATTCTGTCCCTTCACTTCTCTTCCCTTCGCTCCTTGTTTCTCCTCCCGCCTCCCATCACCAGCCTGAGGTGGTGAACCTGGCCTATCTCCGTATTTCCCAAACCAACCTCCACATCCCCTCCTATCCTCCCTTTTCTCCCGCCAGGAGCCCGAGGTGGTGGATCTGGCAGATTTCCTCATCTCGTGTGGCGCGCAGATCAGGGGGGCGGGCACCAACACGATCGTCATTAAGGGCGTGCCCAGGCTGGGGCCCGCCGAGTTCACCATCATACCTGACCGCATTGAGGCGGGAACCTTCCTGGCAGCTGCGGCCATCACGCGATCGGTGGTGTCGCTGTCGCCGGTGATCCCGCGGCATCTGATGGCTGTGATCAGCAAGCTCAGAGCCATGGGGTGCCGCGTGCAGCAGACCAAGATCGGCACTCTCAAGGTATGGTTGGTACAGTGTGGCTGTGTGGTACAGTAGGTACAGGTGTGCGAGGCATGTCCAAGGCGTGTGGAGAATATTGTCAGATGTTAAGTATGGAACGTTTGGTACAGTAAGAATGGGTGTAAGGAGATGTGGTGAAGTTTGGCATGTCAAGCTGTTCACTCTCTGGTTTTTGCTCTCGTTTCTCCACCTCTCTTCCCCTTGCAAGCAGATCTCGCCGGGCATCTGGCCTTTGAGAGCAGCGGACGTGACGACGCTGCCGTACCCGGGCTTCCCAACGGACATGCAGCCGCAGCTCATGGCCGCGCTCACCACTGCCAGCGGGCAGAGCGTCATCCGGGAGACAGTGTTTGAGTCACGGATGAGACATGGTGAGTGCGGCGAACAGCCTTGTGGCGCTCTGTTTTGTGCTGCCGAGCTGCTGAATGGTTTGGAGTGTGCGGGCGTTTGTCCTGTCGCTGTTTCTCTGCTGCTTGAATCATTCATTTAACCGGTGGATTCTTGTGTGTCCGCATGGCATGGTGTTTGTGGTATGCATGCGTTGGGTGGGTTCGCACGCGATAATCCATGGCGCGAATGGGTCTTATTGCATGCTGTATTGTGGCTGGCAACGTGTGTGCTGTGCAATGGCATGTCATCATACCATGCTTTGAGCAAGCAGTGGAGGAGCTGCAGAAGATGGGAGCCAAGATCAAGATCACAGGCAACACCGCCATCATCAGCGGCAGGGATCAGGGCAGCCAGCTGTACGGCGCCCCCGTGGCAGCCACTGACTTGCGGGCAGGAGCAGCGCTGGTGCTGGCAGGGATGGCAGCGGAGGGCCGCACGCACATAGAGGGCGTGGCGCATATTGACAGGGGGTATGAGCGCCTGGATACCAAGCTCAGAGGGCTGGGGGCTAGGATTCAGCGCCTGCCATGCCTCCCTGCTGAACTCACGTTGTGAGGGGTTGGTGGAAGAAGAAATCAGGTAGGGCTTTTGGTTGGTCGTTCAGTGGATGTTAAGGAAGCATTATCTGGAGGAAGGGTACTTCTTGGGGGGTGAGAATCGAAGGGGGCCAGTGGGTTGTGGTTCATAGGGATTTTTAGGTAGCACTTGAGATGCTGTAGGGTTTTTTAAGAAACTGTTGTAGTAGCTAGAAGTTTTATATGTCTCGCCAGAGGTGTAGAAGAGTATCTGTTGTATAGGATCATGAAAGAAGCTGGGTTGGGGAATAACTGGTACCATGTGCATGCTTTATATATTCATGCACATGTAGGATCTGTGTACTGCAGCGCAGTGATTCTCAATTGGTACTAGTGAAAAGGCAAATGCCCAGGAATGAGGCATTGAGATTTATACCACCTGCTTGCCGAAAAGAGTGACCAGGTGATTGATGAGAATGGAACGGGTGCAGTTGCAACAGGGATCTTCTCAGCTAGGGCAGGTGCTGCTAGGTGCATTTATTTAATGGGGAGAAGAAACAACTGTCAGTACACCCACACACACTGTAGGTACAACTTAGTTGAAGCTACACATGGGAATCAAATGGTATGCCCAAGAGAGTAGCTTCACACGCCCTGAGCCTTGTGACGCTTTCTTCAAGCTGAACCCTGCGCTGCTGATCAGCCACCTTGAGAGCTGCGAGCTTGGAAGCACTTCCAGTCTGAATCACCCCCCAAATCGCAGCATCTGTATCATCCACAAGAGCGTCCTCCTGAGACATGCGGATCTCCATGGGGATCACATCGCACAACCTCTTGTGCACCACCTTAGCATAGGAAAACACATTGATCTGCAGATCCCTTGCCGCCTGATCATCGTTGCTGATCAAGTCAGCTAATGAAGCTGTGTTTGAGCTGAATCCATCAACGCTGGGAGTGTTGCCATATCGGTCTGCTTTGTAAGCAGCAATCGACTGGTGTATTTTTGAAACGGTGTCCATGTAGTAGTGATTCAGAGTAAAAATCACCCTCCTTTCCTTCAACAGAAGGTTCTTCGTCATCTGAATTGATGAATCTTTGGCCTTCTTCAGGGCAATGAGTGCTTGCAGTTGAGCGGCATTCTCCAGGTTAGGATACCCTGAACAAGTCTTCGTTATCACTGCTTTTTGAATCTCTGCTGCAAAGGAAAAGCAGTCCTCCACCAGCATCAACGATGGCCCTTCAATACTGTCGATCATCTCTTGCACCAATTGCCTCAACACAGCTTGATCCAGCATATTGGGCAGCGAAATTCCAGCAACCTCTTTCAGGGCATTTTTGCATGTCTCCGTGTATTTTTTCCCAAGAAAGTCGGGAAGAATTTTCCGCATCTGAGCCTCGTACTCGTTGAATTTCTCGTTCAGCCTCGCAGCATAGTGCATGGCGATGTTGTTGGAAACAATGGAACTTAAACGCTTCAGCAGTGTCAAAACATTGCACCAGAAGCGAGGCAACCTACACCGAAGCACCTGCGAGTCAACCCTCGGAGGTTGAATCGGCTGCAGGAAGTTACGCGAAAGTCAAAGGTCGCTGACCCTTGACCTGACAAGAACAGCGCGACAGTTAAGGACACACAACTGACTCGTTACAGAGCAGTTGCCCGAGTCGCACTGTATCGAACTGCAACAACAACAGCAAAAGTAGTTATAACCGTATCTCTTCATATTCCCTGTATTATTATATAAGCTTGTATCCTTTCAATATAATTTAATCTACTTTGCTCTCACACACTAGTGCAAGGTCGGTTCACAAAGCTTCATTAAACGCTTCCGCTATTACAAAGTATCCTACCCAGAGTTATCCTCTGTAAAGATCCTTAGGGCCTTTTCAGCCCAACATTGTATGAGAGCATACAGTGGAAACTCTACCTTTTCAAGATCATTACAAGACATGGCAACAAACAAGGAAAGGAGCTCCCCTAATGGCTCCTCGGGCACTACTCCTACTCCACCGCCAGCCTCTGGCCTGCAGACAGAGGAAGGCACGGCAGCAAGACCAAGGGGAACGTCAACCGAGACCCCCACGAACCATCCTTCTGACTTTGATCAGAGCATGATGGAGAAATTTTTCTCCTTCATGTCCTTCTACGAGCAACACCAGCAGTCGGGACCTGCACAGACACACAACAGCAACAACGGAGTGACACCCATGAGCCTTGATGGATCGTCATATGCGCGAGGGAATCAACAGCAGCAACCCACCTTTGCCCCGTACGAGCGCGGGTCGATCAGCTTCCTGCCTCAACCTTCACCTACGCAAGACAAACCAATAGACGCTTTACAAGTTCAGTCACAATTCGCGCATGTCCTGAAACTGCAAACATCAAGACCCTTCGACGGAAAGGACTTCTTCACCTGGTCCTTTGAATTCGAGCTGATCATGGAGGGCGCGCAGATACTCGGCTTCTTCGACGGATCCCTGCAGTATCCAGCAAACGGCACACAGTATACGTATCAATCGATGATGGCGTATACTATTCTACTGAGAAACATCACACCAACTCAGCAGCAGAACATTCGCTCTTACCGGAACCTCGGCTACAACTTACTGAGTGTCGGTCAGCCGAGGCAGCTGCGCTTTCACAATACACATTTTTAGAAAGTGTTACACACTTTCGAAAAAAATCATATTGAGAAAGCTTGCTTTCTGTTCTTGCAAAGGCAACTAGCTTCATTACAATTGGGTCTTCTGAGACATGTGCAGCTGGAGCGTTGAAAACGTGGTGAGTGTAGTTGCGGTTGATGACATTGACGAAATGCCGGGAGGGGCGGCGTTGGTGAGTCGTGGGCTCCATGTCGATGGCGTCCGAGGTGCTGTGCGCGAAGGTTGCTCGTGCTGTTGATGTGGATGTCCCTGGTTGTTGGTGCACCAGGATAGTGGTTGAAACTAGTGGTTCCCGTACTCTACACGCCCAATGTACGGTACAACTTTTATCTTGGGATTTAGCTTCCATGTGCTCTGCTTTACCCTACACCTCCAGTCGTTTGATGTTCCGGCCGGAATAACTACAACGTGGGTGGATGTAAGGGTTTGAAGTGGTCCTCGGGTGAGTGTGGTATTCGTCATGTTGGTTGGGTAGGAACGGTCACACAATTGCCGCCTTTTACTCCCAAACGCCCATTCAGGTGACAGCATGCAAGTCGTTTCAACGTGTGCTTTTGCTTCCTTGTCGGGTGTTATCGAACGAAGTGGGATGAGAATGATGGCGAAAACCGATCCCATTGTCATTGCTCTTATTTGGAAGAACACGGAATGTGGTTCAAAAGTGTGTGAACACCAACTGGAGTCAAGTCAATATTTTAAAACCAACTTGAGGTGCACTTGAACAGTTGCTTCCCGAGATTTCAGTGGGGCTCCAACCAACCTTTATTGGTCAAATTAAAAAGTAAATGGGGTACATAAAAAACCAAGGATGATCCAGTCATACAAGCGAGCACATTGTTCGAAATTTTTGCCCATTTTACAGTAAGGCCAACGTGTGGACCTTCGAGTCTCTTCCCCCCTAGGGGACGGCTCTCAGGCCACGCTAGGACCCTTGGTCCCCTTCCCTCCCCTGGGGGACGGCTCTCAGGCCACACGGGGACCCTCGGTCCCCTTCCCCCCCTGGGGGACGGCTCTCAGGCCACACGGGGCCCTCGGTCCCCTTGCCCCCCTGGGGGACGGCTCTCAGGCCACACGGGGACCCTCGGTCCCCATCCCCCCCTGGGGGACAGCTCTCAGGCCACACGGGGACCCTCGGTCCCCTTCCCCCCCTGGGGGACGGCTCTCAGGCCACACGGGGACCCTCGGTCCCCTTCCCCCCCTGGGGGACGGCTCTCAGGCCACACGGGGACCCTCGGTCCTCTTCCCCCCTTGGGGGACGGCTCTCAGGCCACACGGGGACCCTCAGTCTCCTTCCCCCCCTGGGGGACGGCTCTCAGGCCACACGGGGACCCTCGGTCCCCTTCCTCCCCTGGGGGACGGCTCTCAGGCCACACGAAGACCCTCGGTCCCTTCTTTTTATTGGGAGACGTCCTTGGGTGCGCGTTGAGTTGATCCTGTCGTAAATGTAGTTCTCCCGCGCGACCAGTAGAGTCTTTAAAAATGTTTTTCCGCACCCGTGGTGTTGAGCCTATTTTTCTGCCACCAAGTAACAATAGGAGCATAGAGATTAATGGAAAATAATCGAAGAGATCATAACAGAAGAAAAACTTAAACTTAAAAGACTTGCAGCACGTAGGCAACAAATGACGCCCAGTCGAACGACTTTAGGCGCTGCAGTAGCAATTTCGTAACTGCCGCTCCAGCGGCCATTTCGTCCCTCGAGCGCTGGTGGCGATTTTGCCACTGGCGCATGTGGTAATTTCGCCACATGCGCGCATGTGGCGATTTCGTCCCTGGCGCGCGGCAATTGCGCCAGTGGCGATTTCGTCCCTGGCGCGCGCCACTGGCGCCAGTGTCGATTTCGTCCCTGGTGCGCGCCATTAGCGCCAGTGGCGATTTCGTCCCAATCGTGCGCCACTGGCGCCATTGGCAATTTTGTCCCTAGCGCGCGCCACTGGCGATTTCGTCTCTGGCGCGCGTGTTGGCGTTTTGTCCGACGCACTTCGATCTCAGTTGAGCGCCCGCTAGTTACAGTCGCACTCGTGATAGTTTGCCCTTCATGGAAAATCAAGCGCCTGGGTTGAACGTGCAAGTGAGTATTAGCTTAGAAGGTAGTTTCTAGCGACAAGGAAACGGTCGAGGTGGTTGGACGAGAATTGGAGTGAAACTGCAAAGTTCTGAAATGAAGTCGTGGGTGGAGGCCGAATGGCCTCCAACTCTCGTTATGTACTCGGCGAATTGTAATTCGCTGTTGCTTTGCTTCGTTAGAGGCAGCTGCGCTTTCACAAAACACATTTTGAGAAAGTGTTACACACTTTCGAAAAAATTCATGTTTGATGTCAGAACTTGCCATATTTCACCCTCGCAAACATTCATTCGGCGACTCGCTGCTAGAAGCACGACCTTAGGCCCGTTCACGGCTTTCTGCGATTCTCGCGTCGAATTATCTGGGCTATTTGTTTCTTAGGCGAAGAGCTTTTATCGGGAGGTCGTTGCTGCCGCGCGATCAATGTAGGGACAATGGCCAGTAGGTTCATTCCTACAGTTAGATCGCACGGACGGCGTAGATTAGTTCTGCCGCTGTGCGGTTCTTTGCCGCGAATCCCGCCTGGAACACCATTTCTCTGGACCGACGAGAACCTTAGGCTGTATAACGTCGCACGCTTTTCAAACGAGACAGACTCCCAGTTACGAGACACGCAACGCGTCCTTGCAGTCGATCCGGTTGAACTCATGCGCGAAGGACCGTTGGGAATTCATGATTTCAATCAGGCGAAACTACAGACACGTGTATTTTCATCAGCATCCGCTTCGCTGACATCACGGCCGACTGTGATGACCCGACAGCTGCTGCCTTCACTAGCATCACAACCAATAGTGACTCGACAGCTGTCGGCGTTGTCTCCACAACCGACATCGCCACTGGGCGGACCGTCATCGTTTGATGCAGCAGAAGCAGCGGAAGGAGAGCTGAGTGAGAATGATTTTCACCGGCTCGCAGACGAAGCCCTGCACTGGCTCCACGAGAACTTCGATGTATGCACCGAGATGTTCACACTCAGATGCTTCTGCTCTCACATTTAAATGCTGTCATTTGCATGAGCTCCTGAACATAACCCATTTAGTCGCTCTTTCCCTTCAATATCTGGGCTTTTAATGATTAGCCAGTTGACGATTGACATGAGCTCCGTCCCCATATCGTTTCAGGGTTTCGGTCATAGTTTTCCCTTGCTGCTGTCTGGCGGTTTTGCAGGTTCTAGGTGATGAGGTGGACATTGAAGGATTCGATGTTGACCTGTCAGTAAGTGTTTTCTGGCTTCCGGTAAGCTTGGAAGTCCCACTTACACAGTCTTTGGCCAGCAACCTGTCATTATCTCCGTTTGCATTTTCCTGTTTAGCAACCCCGGGAACCTGAAGTTCACATCATTTTGGGTCGCTTCCCCAAGCAGTTATTGAGAAATACCCTGCACTGTTTCCTTCAAATGCTCCCTGCAATTCTTTTTATGCAGCAAGGAGTTTTGACGCTTCGTCTCGGACAACACGGGATCTTTGTGATCAACAAGCAAGCTCCAAACAGGCAAATTTGGCTTTCTTCCCCACAAAGGTATGCCTCAAGTAGCAATGTAGTATCCATCCTGATCAGTAGGCCATGCCACCACTGTCACAGGTTTTATCATGGGCTGCCTTGACTAAAGCTGTATGTTCTTCTTGTAGATTGTGCGCAGCACAACTTTTCCTCGTGTGCTTATTGGCTGAACGCGAAGATGGTTGTCCATGCTGAATATATTCGCAGACTTGCACGTATCACTTTTTTCTGTTTCAGCAGATACTCATGCTTCATCCACTGCTTGCCTCCTCCTGCTCTCCCCTGCAGTGGTCCAGCACGCTTTGACTGGTTACCAGGCCAGGGTTGGGTGTACCGTCGCACAGGAACAGAGCTCATGTCTCTCTTGCAGACGGAGTTACGCACATGCTTAGGCACTGGAGTTGTGCCGTCCCTGGCCCTACACCGTCCTATATAGCGTCCATGCATGCGTGGTATATTTCTTCTGGGGCAGTCACCCTATGATTCCAAATGATGTGGAGGATCAAATTCACCGAGAGAACTGCTTTTCAAGGTTTTGTGGGGGAGAGAAAGGTTGAGGGCACCCCTAGCTGAAGCTACAATTGCAGGCAGAACGCTGTGGAACCTTGTCCAAGGCTGTGAGTCTAGAGGAGCCAATGAATGTGTGGACAAGAATGGATATAAGCAACGGAAGGGCTTGTTAGTATGCGATGGAAACAATTGGCAGGAAGGGTCTTTCTGAAGATGGTTTGCTGGAGACTACACCCCCCCCTGCTCTCTGCATGTTGCTTACTTCCGGTTCTCTTCTGCACACCATTTCCACCCGTTCTCTGCCATTCCTGAGTCTGCTGTACCCTCTTGTCAAACTCCCTCCTCTGCTGTTCTGCGCTCCGTCTTTTTCCACCTCCTTCCGTCCCTTCCCCTTCGCCCAGCCCCCACTGCCCCCTTCCCTGCTTCGCCGTGCGAATCCCCTTCCCTTTCCCACTTTTCTCTCTCCAGCTTCCCTCCACACTCCCCCTCTCGCGCCGCTTTGTCCTTCCATCGCTTCCATCTGGGCCTCCATCCTTCCCTCCCTCCCTCTCCCTGTGTCTCCATCCCTTTCTTCCATTCCCCGTTCGTTATTTTTCTACTTGCCGTCTGACTCCCCTCTCCTGCCATTTCCCATCTGTCTTTCAGCATTCCCTTTCCCTGTCCCTTCCTTCTTCCCTGCACACCTTTTCCCCTATTTGTCCGTTTTTCCTAATCCTATTAATCCCTCCCCCGCTCCACCTCTTACTTATCTTCCTCATCTTACCCATCCCGCCCACCCTTCCCCTCGTCCTCTCTCCATCGCCCTCTATTCTTTTCCCCTATAACTGCCCCTTTTCCCTTCCACTACCACCCTTGTTTTCCCTCCTTTGGTCCTCCTCCCATCACTCGTCTCGTTTCACCCGCTTCTCCTCATCTCGTCCATTCTACTTTTGCACCCCTGTTTGCTTCTTCCTGCATTCACAGCCTCCCAAAATTTTCTAGGTAATTGCTCCTGAGGTGCCTCTCTCACCCCTCGCTTCCCTCTTTTTTGCCTGGCATCCCACTCCCCACTGGCTTTCCCTCTTAGCTTCCTCTCATTTCCCTCTAAGATTGGGAACCTGACAGCGTTTTAGATGAGGAGGGTTATATGCACACGACAGGTATTTACATGTGAAATAAGAAGGGTGTGGTTGATTGAAGACATTTAAGAATTACTTGGAACAGAGATGGGGGTCCGTAGGAGACAGTAAAGTGGGGAGGTGATGATACAGTACAGCTTATATCCACTAAGTGCTGGAGGGATTAGCAGATTGTCCAATGAAGTATCCATGTTAGTCTCCTAGCTAAGCGTAACAATTTCCCTATCTAGCAAGAACCCTAACCCAGGTCGATCCCCTCCCAACCATCATCATCCAGCAGATGTTTCGTTTCCACCAAATCAGGTGGTACCAGGAAAAGGCTATTCGGCCACTAAGCTCAACTAGCGAACATAATACAGGATCAACAAATCATTATCTAGCTCTCTTTGCACAAGACGGGCATTTGTAGTCCTTGATGTGCTCTGCCTTGGCTGGTGTTATTTTCACACACTTCCCATGATACCTGCAGAAACACAACATCGTATTAGAATGGAAGCGCTTATTGTGAAGAATGTGACAGAAATGGAACGGAAACAAGATAAAACGCACCATTTATCACAATGGTCGCAACCAATCCAGAACTCGTTTGCCCCATAAAGCCCGCCGCAAATGCCACAAAGCGTTTCCCCATGCTCCTCCTCGTCGTCCTCCTCTTCCTCTGGAGTTTCTTGTTTCGCCTTCGATTGTTTTGTCTGCACCTCACCACTCCGCTGAAATTGTGAACACGAACCGTCAGCAGACAAGAAAGGTTAGGAACCCTAGAACAGCAGATTGAGGGGAAATGCCACTACACTGGGCAAAACTTACCGCCTTGCCAGAGCTCTTCGCCTTGTTCGACCCGCTGTTGTTGGCTGCTGCCTTTTCAACCGCTTGCTTCTTGCCCGTTACTATATCAAATAGTGTGGGCAAGTCATTGATAAGGTTAAACAACCGCTTCCTGCATCAGCACGACCAACATAATTTAGCAAAAAGCAAAAAAAAAAATGTAGATCTAGATTGAAGCAAAAGACATCGTACCGCTCATTTTTATCGAATCGAGCTCCGTAGTAAAATGCTACTGCGAGGAGCCATGCGTCGCTGTGCACTGCAACCAAGGCTAGCCAATCTTTCTTCTGCATTCCATCTCTTGCAAAATTTATTCCAAGAGCGGGCTCTGGTAGTTCCGGTGGCACTTCCTCTGCTGGTAGATTGACCTCCCAAGCCTCCTCCGGGTAACCATACAAACATAAATTCTCCTTTTCTGCGACAAGCGAAGCGACGAATAGCGACAGAACGATAAGAAAGAGGCGGAACTACCGAGCCATCTAAATGCAAATTATCGTCTTCAATTTTAAAAAATCGCCTCGGAAGACAAACCTGGATCACACTGTCGATAAAAATCTTCCACATCTGCACTCACACGCGGGACGACGAAATGGTGTTAACCTAGAAAAGCATATTTAAGGTTCGCAACGAGACGATAACAAAATCTGAAAAATATAGACTACGTCGTGCATACCGGTTGTCAAAGCCTTTAACATGCCCTTTCGCCGACCACTGAAGTCCTTAAAAACATCCTCTACGGTTTTTGGATTGGCCGCCATGGTCCCCCCCCCTTCCATCAACCAGTCCTACCGAAAAGGGGATCAGCCGAGGACAGCCAACTAGGGATATGCAGTTACAAAAGCACCCTAATTTAGAACCTCTATCCTTGTCGATAAGGATTGCCAGAGGGGCGCAGACATATCCCGTCCTTATACAAAACCTTCCAGGTAGAAATAACAAAGGAAAAGTATGAGATGCAGTTTTCACCCTGAACAGCTCTTCAATGAAAATGGAAGTACTGCGGACCCGCGTCTCGATTTGTGGAGGAAGGAGGTGTTGGGGAAGGACCCAACGACAATCCTCCGTCGCCCAATCACAAAAAGCGAAGACAGACGAACTCTTCTGCGAAATCATTTGTGTCACCGAATTTTGAAACGAAACATATCCTTTATGTTTTCATTCTTTTATCACATACGTTGACGAGTATACAGTAAAACTCTGGAAGCATTCTGGTCCAGCTAAAATAGCTTTAGAGAAGCACCAACGGATGGATCCCAACCACTGTGATCCAACGGCCATTTTCGAAAATGGTGAAGCTAGCGCTGCAAAGGTGGAGATGCTGATGTGGACGGATCAGAACTTCACCGGCTCGACGACAGACTAGACGGTGGCGGGTAACAAAGGGAATCACGAGCGTGGGAACATGTGGTCTGGCCGTCCACTCCGTCCCCTTATCGTTCGTCCCTCCCATTCTTTCTCACCCAACGCTCCCCGCAACAACTTCTCCAAATCCAGTTTGGTTGGTTTGGTTGGTCAAGAGATCAACTCAGGCAAATGGGTCAAACGGGAAATCATTATCAGAGCTGCATTATATTTCAGAACAGATGCGTTCTAGAAGTCCGTCAAATCATCCACCCGCATTCCACCCATTGTATTGTCCGCAGTTATCGCCTGCTCATGACTCCAGCCGTTTTCGGAAGCGGAAGAGTCCTTCTGGTGTAGTTTGATTTCGTATCCAGCCTTCCGTCGATCTATATCTTGGCATGGAAGGCGTGAAAGATGAGAGTGCAAAAACAATGCCAGATAGCGGAGAGTTGGATTCAGAGCAGCGGATAAACGAGCAGACTGACGGAACAGGGGTTTCAGGAGAGGATGATGCTGACATTGACCAGATTCTAGAAGAGCTGCTCCCAAGAGCTACATCCGCTCCTCCTCAGCTGGCAGAATTGCAGGTTGGCAAGTCGTTGAGAGCTGTCAATATGATATATTCGAATTTGCCATTGCAAGACTTCACACTTTCTTTGTTGTGCTGGTCAAAGGGAGAAGTGGTTCCTGACTAAGTAAGCGTTTTGCGGTTACGATCATCCTGACGCGTATCATTGAAATCTGCAGAAAGTTTATGGCATCGCTCCGGACACAGGAGCATTCGCTGGTAGCGAGGAGGGCGACGTTGCTGTCAAGCCTTTTGAAGGTACCTTTCGACGGTTACGTTTCTCAAGGATACGTCTCTGAAGGTTACGTCCCTGTTAACTGACTAACACACCTTGTGTCTGAGGTGTCGTGCTCATCAGTTTACGTTCTTTCCTGTAAGGTGCGAACACGTAGGATTACGTTGGCTCCGTCTAAAAGTCAGAATGCAGACACAATTGGTGACGTGGTGTTACGAACGAGGTTCTTCATTGGAGAGGATAGTGTGATTCTTCACGCTCCCATTACCTCTTTCCTCCTTCGTACTTGGTCGTCACACATCGTTTCCACTCCCCTGTCCCTGGCAGACATCCGAAGAGACGAAGACTATGAGGAGTTCTACAAGGTGTATTCCGGCGTGAAAAAGCTCCCTCCTCCCGTGGAAAGCCTCCAGCTGTACACGGATTCTCCCAAGTTCGCTGCAAGAGAAGGCGAGATGGGCGCCGACGGTGGTTTTTTCGGCGGTTTGGCACTAGACGACAGCAAGCTGAGGGAAAGTATGGAAGAGATGAGGAGACAGGACGCGGAGAGGGTGCAGAACGAGGGTGGGAAAGCCAATGGAGAGGCGATAGCTGGTAGCGGAGGCGATGGGACAGATGAGGAGGCCTTTCTAGAGGAGATGCAGCGGCAGGTGGCTCAGCAGCAGGCGCTGCAAGAACGGGAGCTGTCACGGAAAGCGCTGGCTGACAAGAGACCAGGTCAAGACGCCTCTGGAGCTAATGGTTTGGCAGCGGCTTTTCAGGGGCTTGGTGTAGGAGGATCCGCGAGAGACGCGAGTTCCAGTAACGGAGCTGCTGATAGCGGATCAGGACATGGCAAGGCAGGGTCCCAGCAGCACGTAAGCAGCCCTTCTGGAAGTCATGGCAGCAAGGGGAGTCCAGTCGTAGTAGGGACGGCTAATGTAGGCGGGTTCATGGGAGGGATGGGTGGCATGTCTGCTCTTGGTTCCTCAGCCACTGCAGGGATATCTTCTCTTACAGGTGCCGTTGGAGGCCCTGGTGGTATACCACCCGCTCTTGCTGCAGGTCTGCTGGGCGGAACTGTGGGTTTAGATCCTTTCACAACGGCTGCGCTGTTACAAGCGATGGGAGGAGCCTCGGGAGCGTCTGGTGCGAGCTTAGAGGAGCTCCTGGCAGCTGTGGGTGCAGGGGGAGGGGTAGGAGCCGCGGCAGGACTGGCAGGCGCTGGTCTCGCAGGAGCAGGTGCAGCAGCAGGTCTGCCTGTTGGAATGGGCTTGTCAGCTGCAGCCGCAGCCTTTGCTGCCCCCACCCAAAACAAAGACAAGGCAGGAGAGGCAGGGAAAGGCGCAGCAGCGGACGCCAGCGCGAATAAGGCAGGATCAAGCGCCGCTGGACCAGCAGCTTCCACCCCAGGAGCTCCTAGTGCTGCCACTGCTGCTGCAAGCTCCCCTTCTCTGGCTGGAGCCGCAGGAGGGGCACTGCCAGGACTTGGTTCCCCAGGGCTGGGAAGTCAGGGCGCCGGGATTCTGGGTCTGGACGCCCTTCTTGCTCAAGGCGGGGCGGGCCTTCTTCCAGGCATGCTGCCAGGCGCAGCAGGCATCGCCCCCTCCAATCTGCACCTGTATGAGCAGCTGCTGAGGGCCAGAGCAGGCGCGCCTGGCGTGGACTTGTATGGCGGAATGGGCGGCATGGCTGCAGCGGCTGCAGCAGCGGCAGGGGGTGCTGGGCCAAGAGGGGGATTTGGCATGGGTATGGGGCTTGACGGGTTTGGGCTTGGCGCACCCATGGATGCGTTTTCAGCAGCTGCTGCCCTGCAGGCTGCGAGGATGTTTCCTGGGGCGAACCCTGCGGATATGCTCTCTGCCATGGGTGGGCTTCAGCAGCCACAGCAAGTAGGGGCAGGGCAGGGGGAGAAGGATTCGAAGGATAAGGGAGGGAAGGGGGCTTCACAAGGGGTGGCAGCAGGGTCGGATGTGGATATGTCCTCGTTGCTTCAGGCACAGCAGGTAAGAGATTAGTTGCTGGGCCGAAAAACTTGCTTTGATAAACCTCCCTCCCGCGCCCACTGATCATGCGTGTACTTCTCCCTTTTACCATATGACAACCTCAGGTCCATCTCATGACTTCTTCTTTCCCTTCTGCTGTCTTCCTCCAGATGGCCATGCTCCAGGCGCAGGCGCAGAGGCTGCAGGCGCTGCAGCAGCAGGTGGAGGAGGATCTGCTCATGCGGCAGCAGCGCCAGCAGCAGCAGCAGCTGCTCTTCCACCAGCAAGCCTTCCTGCAGGAGCAACAGCAGCAGCTGCTAGGCCAAGCTGCCAACCTCCCCATCGGCGCAGCAGCAGCAGCAGCCGCTGCTCAGATGCTCCGGGGGGGCGCGCCAGGCATGGATCTCTTTGCTCTCAACCCAGGCCTGGCTGGCATGGCGGGAGGGTTTGGGTTCCCCCCTGCCACAGGGGCAGCAGGCAGCGGCAGCAGCAGCACTCCGTCTGGCCTGTGCAAGTTCTTTTCCCAGAGCGGGTACTGTGCACGGGGAGAGTCCTGCCCGTTCCTGCATTCCATGGGAGGAATGGGGCTCGGAGCTGCAGGAGCAGGAGCAGGCGCTATGGGAGCAGCAGGGGGCGGAGCAGGCATTGCCGGTAGTGCACCGCAGGGTGTAACGTCCCAGGCTGGTTACCGCGTAGGGGCGGCTCCCTATGTGTCTCCCGACAGGGGTCCGCGAGCAGGCGGGGGAAGGGGAACTCCTCCTGGGTTTGCCGGCGGCACTGCAGGGGCAGCACGGGGGGCGGGAGGTGGGGGCAGCGGGGCGCCTGGAATGCTGGGCCCTGGTGGAGGTGGCATGAGGAACAGAATGGACGGGGCGAGTGGGGCGAATGGGCTGATGGGTCCTGGGCCTGGAGCGGGGCTGGGTGGAGGGGAACTGGGCGGTGGATCACCACCAGTGGGGGGATATTCTGGGGCTGGAGGGTTGATGGGGGGATATGGGGTGGGAGGGATGGGGATGGGGCTGGGGTCGGCGCAGCACTCAAAGTACTCGTCGCTGGATGAGGTGGAAGGGCAGATGGCTGTCATTGCCAAGGACCAGCATGGATGCAGGTGGGTTTCAAGTCTAGTCTAGTCTGGTGTAACGGGATTAGGTTTCTGCTGTGGAAGTTTGGCAAGGGAAATCAAAAGCAGACGGCACACGTATTAAAGGAAAGAGGTCTCGTTTGGTGGATGTATTCAAATTATAGTACTCCCTCTTGCCCTCGCCCACAGGTTTCTGCAGCGCAAGTTTGACGCGGGCAGTGCAGAGGAGGTGGCGCGCATATTCAAGAAGATCAATCCTCACATGTTGGAGCTCATGACAGACCCCCCTCTTGCTCTTCCCTCCCCTCCTACTACTATTACTACTACCCCTCGCCCACAGGTTTCTGCAGCGCAAGTTTGATGAAGGTACTTCAGAGGAGGTGGCGCGCATATTCAAGGAGATCAAGCCGCACATGGTGGAGCTCATGACAGACCCGTTTGGCAACTACCTGGTGCAGAAGGCTCTGGAGGTGTGCAGTGAGGTGCAGAGGGAGGAGATCCTGGCCATGGCCACGGAGAACCAGACAGACCTCGTCAGCATCTCCCTCAACATGCACGGGTGAGTGCGGTGGTTGATGTGATGGGGTGGTCTTTAAGATATCTCACCTCAAGAAGGAGGAGATCCCTCGCCATGGCCACAGAGAACCAGACGGACATCGTCAGCATCTCGCTCAACATGCACGGGTGAGTGCGGTGGTTGGTGTGATGGGGTGGTCTTTAAGATATCTCACCTCAAGAGGGAGGAGATCCCTTGTCATGGCCACAGAGAACCAGACGTACATTGTCAGCATCTTACTCGACATGCACGCGTGAGTGCGGTGGTTGGGTCGATGGTGGTGAAAAAGGGTTGATGTAAAACAGCATGTGGCCGCTGCAAGGTTTCGGGTTGATAGGGACTCTGATGACCAACTGTCCCCTCCTGTTTCCCCTTTCCGTTGCCCATCCCAACAGCACGCGATCGGTGCAGAAGCTGATAGAGACGGTGATGGCCCCCCAGGCGGTGCACCGGGTTTAGCGTCTCAGAAGTTAGAGATGGTGATGAACCCCTTTCACCCGCTTCCCCTTTTCTGTCCCATCCCATCAGCACGCGGTCGGTGCAGAAGCTGATTGAGACGGTGACGAACCCCCAGGCGGTGCAGCGGCTGACAGCCAGTCTGGCGGGCGGCGTGGTGACGCTGATCAAGGACCTCAACGGCAACCATGTCGTGCAGCGCTGCCTGCAGCGCCTGTCCGCTCAGCAGAACGAGGTAATTGAGGTGGGGGTGTGAGGTAAAAGAGTGCAACAGTTGCGGAGTGGTGACGCTCATCAAGGACCTCAACGGCAACCACGTCGTGCAGCGCTGCCTGCAGCGCCTGTCTGCACAGCAGAACGAGGTGAACGGGGAACGGGAGCAGCAAGCAAGGTGGGAACACTAGGAGAGAGGTGTAACAATCTGGTTAGGGAGTGGTGACGCTCATTAAGGACCTCAACGACAGCCACGTGGTGTCTATTTTCGACATAGCCGTCTTTTGCTGCATATGAGACATTTGCAGTCCCTAAAGTACCCCCTCCCCCACCCCCCACACCCCCTTTCGGCCCACGATCCCGGCGTCCCTTTTCAGTTCATTTTCAACGCTGCGGTGTTGCACTGTGTGGAGATCGCGTCGCACCGCCACGGCTGCTGTGTGCTGCAGCGCTGCATTGACTTCGCACAGGGCCAGCAGAAGAACCGCATCCTCGCTGAGGTCGCCTCCAACGCCCTCGTGCTCTCCCAAGACCCCTTCGGGTGAGTTCCTCATCTTTGCAAGTATCTTTTGAGTGATGTTTTCCCTTCTAACAAGTACATATCCTACCATGTTATTTTGCTGCAAATCGTTACAACCCCCATGCTGATCCCCTTGTAGGGCCCTCTCCAATGGCTGAGTACCGCCAGGGTTTCGTTACCAGAGGCTGTGGATATGCGCATGCACGTCGCAGCCCCCCCTCTTCCCATATCACTGCCTTGCCCTCTTCCTCCCCTCTCCTCCCCTCCTCAGCAACTTTGTGATGCTGTGGCCCGACCCTGGGCCTCCTCCTTTGGGTTGGAGTTTTAAGACATCTCAAAACTGCCCATATTTCCCCTTCCCTCTCCCGATACTCCCCTTCAGCAACTACGTGGTGCAGTATGTGCTGGACCTAGGGCTGCCGTGGGCGATGGAGGAGGTGGTGGTGCGGCTGCAGGGGCAGTACGCGCCATTGGCGCAGCAGAAGTTCAGCAGCAACGTCGTGGAGAAGTGCCTCAAGCTCGCCCCAGACAACTGCCGCCACCTCATCATCCAGGAGCTCGTCGTCTCGCCCCTCTTGGGGCAATTGCTGCAGGACCCTTTCGCGAACTACGTGGTTCAATCCGCTCTGACGGTGGCTAAGGTGAGGCTGGCTATGGGCTTGCAGGGAGGGAGGATCAGGTGCGAGGGAGGGGGTGTCAGAGGGGAGTGCCTGAAGCTCGCCCCTGACAGCTGCTGCCACCTCATCATACAGGAGCTCGTTGTCTCTTCCCTCCTGAGCCAGCTCCTGCAGGACCTCTTTGCCGACTATGTCGTTCAGACTGCACTCATCGTGGCTAAGGTGAGGCTGGCCCCCTGGGGCTTACAGGAGGGAGGGTCGGGTGGGAGGGAAGGGGTGTAAGAGAAGTGCCACAAGCTCGCCCCCGACAACTGCTGCCACCTCATCGTTCAGGAACTCGTTGTCTCACCTCTTCTCGGCCAATTGCTGCAGGACCCATTTGCCAACTATGTGATACAGCCTGCACTCACCGTGGACACGGCGAGAAACGGAGGGCAGAGGGGACGAGGGGATGGGTGATGGCGGGGAAAGAGATGGTCCACTGGCAGGCCATAATCCAGGAAACTCATGCCTCTCCTCTGCTGAGTTCCTCCCTCTGCCAACAATCGCCCTCTCCTCCCTGGCCCCTCGCAATCCACCCTCTCCTCCCTGTGCTCTGCCCACCCTCATCTTTCCGTCCTACTCTCCCTCTAACCCCTCCTTCACCCCCTCCCTCTTTCTTCCAGGGGCCGCCGCTGTACACTGCTCTTGTGGAGCCCTTCGCCCACACCTGCCGTCCCTTATGCACCCACTCAACCCGACATACTTTCTCTCCCTCTAACCCGTCCCACCCTCGCCCTCCCGCTCACTCCCCCAGGGCCCACTGTACACAGCCCTGGTGGAGGCCATTCGCCCGCACCTGCCGTCCCTCCGCAGCAGCCCCTACGGCAAGCGCATCCTCGCCCGCACCAACCTCCGCCCCAAGTAGCCCTCCCCTTCCCAACTACCTGCCAGAGTAGCTCTGCCCTGCCCAAGTAGCCGTCCCCTGCCCAAGTAGCCCTGCCTTACCCAAGTACCTCCGCCCCACCCCCCTCTCCAGTCTAGTAGCCCTGCCCAACCCTTCTCAGGTTCTCTATGCAAGTAGCCCTCTCTATGCAGCCCTGCTTTCTCTTTCCTCGCTTGCTGCACTTACTGCCACAAAGACTCACCCTCTTTCACTCTTCCTTTCTCGCACCTACCTTTGCAACAGCTGTCCCATACCCCAGGTAGCTCTGCTCGAGTAGCCCTTTCCTTGTAGCCCACGTTTTGCCCCCTTGCCCAGCTGAACTCACCACTAGAAGACTTTCACTCTCACACCCTCCCTCTCTCACACCAACCTCGACAGCAACTGTCCCATACCCCAGGTAGCCCTGCTTCGCCTTTGAAAATTCTCATGAGCACCCTGCTTCACCTGTATCTCTGTCGTCCTGCGACCACCTTGCATCCAGCAAACACCCCCATCCGGTCACCCATGCGCTTCACCCATCACAGCTGCGTCAGCTGAAAGCTCTTAAGTCTCAAGAGCCCTCAGAGACCCTCAGGGGCATGCATCTGCTATCAGGCATAAGCGTGGTGTAAGCACACAGTGCGCATTGCAATGCCCCGCTCCCTTGCAAGTGACGACTCGTACTGCTGTGCCTTTTCATCCCGCGCACCGGCCATGCCTATTTATCTTGAGTTGGTTGCCCTATGCATTCGAGCGCGGTGGTTGCTTGCCTGTTGTCAGACCATACCCATTCCATACCCCATCCAGTTGTCCCTGTCTCCTCCACCATTCCTTTGCCTACCTCTCCACTCTTCGTTCCACTGCACATTGTAACAGCTCCCTCCCGCTGACTTTCTGTCTCACTGCTGTAGTCCTCCACTCCCATGCTCCGGTCTACAGCATCCCTTGGACTTTTTCTTCTGCCGCAATTTATTTTCATGGCAAAACTACTCTTAGTGTGCTTCCAGTGGCGATTTGTGTCTGCTATTGCTGGTCAGCGGATTGTATTCTGAGGCCTGTTTGTTGTAGTGCTATGTTGTTGTGCATTTGCAACGTGTTGTGACTTCTGTCTCATACCAAAATTATCTGAAACTGGAAATACCTACGTCAATAGCTGAGCAGGAAAGCATGCAATAACATTTCGTATTAAGGTGGTTTGTGCTTGAGATATACAAACAAGCAACTATACGCTTACTAAACCTACATATTAGTGAGAACTAAGGCTTGTGAGCAAAGAAGCAGCCACGCTGCGGAAAGCAGCGCGGAAAAAATAGCAGAAAGCGCCCGAGGCGGGAAGATCTGGACGGTCGGAACGAAGCCTGGGGAAGCAAGCTTGCGCAAACTCCCCGTCTTCTGCCTCCTGCGCTTCAAAACTGCAGATCAATGGCTTCTCCTCCTCTCTCCCCTGATTCGAAAAATGGTTAGCACTCAGTAGGTCCTAATCGTTTGCTTCTAAATCAGAGCGTGCAGTCAGGAGAATCCCCGACTGATGAGAGAGGGTGAAGCCATCAATTATTGCTCGGAGCGGAGTCTCCATCATGCCTCAAATCCTTCCAGAGGGTTCCAATTCATCATTTTCATTAGCTGTAACTCCGCCGCCTGTAGCACGCTAACCTCCACCAATGTGACGGCATACATCGCGGCGCCATTGGGAACATCCTTCTGCCGGCCGCCGTCCAGCTTCGCCGCCGTCCACAGGCACGCCGCGAGCAACACGCGCAGCGCGTTGCTGTCGACGGATCCGAGCGGCAGGTCCCGAAGCGCGCGATGAAGCACGTGCAGCGCGAGGTCGACCACGCGCCGCCCGCGCAGCGCCAGCTTGGCGCACCACGAGGACAGGATGCGGCGCAGGCGGTCCACGGCCTGATGGCGCAAGTTGCTGCGCGGAGAGAGGTGGAAGTAACCATCCGTCTGCTCCGCGGCTCCTGCGGCTGATGTCACCTCTGACGCTACCGGCGCTGACGATTTCACTGCTCGCCTTGCGGCTGCCGCTGCTCGCACAGCTGCTGGTGCAGGTGGTGTCGACTCCACCGAGACCAGAGGCGGGGGTGGGATGACGGAAGCCGATTGGGTAAACGGCGGAACCAGAGACGGCAGCGACGACCACTGTTTCCGTCCGTCTGCTACAGCGGGGGCATCGTTACTACACGCAGACTTCCTTTTGCCCAGAAGGGTTACGTTGGTGGTAATAATGCTTGCGTCCGCGAAAGAATTGGTCAGGAAAACCCCGAAACCCCTTTTCGAGGAGCCAGCAGGCACAGCTGCCTCCACCGGAGTAAGGGCTTCGGGCAAACGGAGGGCAAGCTCTGGCAATGCCGGCACCACCGTTGCTTCCGCCGTCCCCGCTACAGCCGCGCCCGCGACGTCCGCGAGGAGTCGCAGCGAGCTTCGCGTGTCAGCCGCGTCAAATTCCGCCACCGCCGCCTGCGCCTGCGGCTGACTCGAGAAGCCACCGCAGGTATTCGAAGACGATCTTTCCCCCCTGCATTGTGCGGGTGCGCTCTCCGCGGTTTCGGGGAAGAGTTGGAGTGTCGGCGGAGTTGGCGGACGCGGGGGAGCAGCTCCAGTGAGGGAGCTGCAGGAGGCGGAGTTTGGGAGCGGAACTTGGTCCGCCGCGGAGAGGTCGTCGTTGGACCGCGAAAGCGCATTCATCAGCGGAAAAGCCGCTTCAATCTGGCTTCTGGTTACCGCTGTCAGGCTTCGCGGACCGCCAGTGAAACAAGATGGAACGGTAAGCAGCGTCGACTGCTTCTCCTGCTTCTGCTTCTGCTGCTGTTGCTGTACCGAGTATGGGTGGAAAAGGAGACTATTGAGTCCGCTTGAGCCCGCAAGTCCCGGGGGTAGCAATGCGGCGGACTCGTCGAACTTCTGGCGCTTGGGGAGCGTCTCGTCAGGGGGAAGCGGAAGACATGCTCCGCACACTGCACGGGGCGGAAGAGTGTGGTTCGCGCCAGCCGCCGGGGGCGGCCAGTGGCAGTTGGTCGGCGCGGCGCAGCGCGCGCAGAGGACGAAGCGCGCGTGGCGGCGGAAGATGCAGTTGGCGGAATGCACGGCCGCGTCGCAGTCGACGCAGAGGTCCGCGCGGTCGGCGTGGCAGCGCACCGCGGCGGGACGCGCGCATAGGGCGCACGTCGCGCGCACGTGTGAGGGGACTGAGGCGTAGGTGGTTTCCACGCAACCTAAAGCGGAACCCATGGCAGAACCGACGGGAGAACCAAAGGGAGAGCCCACAGGAGAGCCCACGGGAGAGCTGACAGCGGAACCGGCGGGAGGCTCGGACGTGCCGGCGCAGGGATCTGGACGAGGAAAGACCTCTCGTGTGACGGTGACAGGAGCTGCTGCACGTGTCAGGGGGTAGTGTCGCCGGCAGAAAGGCATCGAGTCGAAGCAAGTTTGGAGGTAACGGAGACTGTTCATGATGCTAAAAAACGATAAGCGTTGCCACTATTGCTACCGGTAGTCGAAATAGTTCTTAGGCGCGGCTTGTGCTTTAGTGGAACCCGGCGGGACGTTCGGTCGGTCGACGGTTTGTCACAACGGTGGAGGAGAAAGGAAGAAGCTGTTTACTGTGAGCTGTCTGGTGACTCACTAGGATGCTATCTTCTGGGAAGTGTCTCAGGGGGACAACGGTGTGTTGGAATGGAAGTGACGCTGGTTCACTGATTACTGGAAGGTTGATTTCTGAAAGAAGCTTCTGTTCTGTGCCGTGTTGGCTTGCTGAGTCGACTATGTAGCATGTGAAAAGTGCAGCTGACGGGTTCTAGCTAGGGGAACGGCGGGTTCTCGTAACAAGGCCGACTGGACCAAGGAGGCTGCGCGAGAGAGCACAGCCGGAGTAAGGTACACGTAAGATGAACATGGGCTCTTTTGCGGTTACAGATACTGTGTACAGTAGGATATGGTGGTTTGGGGCCGAGTGATTCACGGACAGGGACGCCTTTCGTTTCACCGCACAGTCAGTCGGCGGACCTCCTTTTGGTCAGGACTCGGGGCCCAGTGGGCGGGCAGTCAGTGAGTCAGTGACTCCCCTTGGGTCCCTCCCACCCAAGGTCTTTGTCAGCCGCGCTCTGGCTGGTCTCAAAATCTGACTTGGGAGGGACCCAAGGAGGGACCCAGTGACCCAAGTCACCCAGTTCAGTGCGCATGTGCGCTGCGTGCGAGCTTCTGTGCGCTGGCGCTGTGCGATCTGCTGGCTGGCGTGCTGGGTGACTCACCCAGCAGCAATCGGCGTTTCTACTCTATTGTGAGCTCTCGTTTCACGCTTTCGTCTGTTTTCCTTATGACAGCAAGCGTTATTGCTTGGGGGTTTCCATCGCTGACGCCATGCTCGGAGGGATCTAGTGCTTTTTCGGGGTACAGTACAAATGTGCTGTCAGTCAGGGGGAAATGCTGGAGGGGAGCATCATTCGAGCGCGTGGGGGGAGGGGGAAGCTGTGATTCTGTGAAAAATGCTGTCGTAGGAGCGCACGGACGGCCGTTGGCGGGACGAATAGGAGATAAGGAATGCATCACAATCACTGCTCATTCGCACCATGGTTCCATAGGTGCTACTTGAGAAAGCAAGCACGGGGGGAGGCATCACACTGTACTGAACAGTGGAAATGAAAATCGTTTTTTGGCTGAGAGAAATGTGGTCATGGTTCGCCGCAAGTGGCGGGATTGTAGAGTGTGGGTCGTGCGAGAGATGGGTCGTGGGATATGAAGTGCTTGTTCTTATCCCACGCTAGGCGCCACTTGCGGGGGGGAGCAATTCGAGCTTGTTTGATGGTGCAGTGCTGGAATGGACCCATAGGAAGTCTAGCAGCACCAGCGTATCCACCAACCAGCACTTAGCAGAACTGTTTCCACAGGTGGAACCACGACGGAATGGTGAGCGAAGAGAAGTTCGTGCGTGACCCTAATGTCAACGAAGAGGCAATCTCTGAGTCACGATTCGTGTACTGTACCCACTCCTACGCAGTTGGAATTCCACGTGAAGCTGCCTTGGTTACAGAATGATGAGGTAAAAAGTGACGTGCTGGAGGGGGCTGATTTTTACGCTTCCAAATATTTCTTGCAAACCATTTCCAAGAGTCAGGGAATGTAGAGGCTGACTTGTGGTCAGGAAGAACTCGCCACAAATTTAGGTGTCTTGACCGAATGTTCCCATGACCTAGGGGAGAAAACCAGTAGAATGCGGCCACGCCCGCGTGGAGCAATTTTTCTGCTGCACCTGAAGTCGTTTCTTGATATGAAACGCTGTCAGTCCGGAAAAGTCGCACGGTTGCATGTATGAGTCTCCACTAGCATGCCACCGCATTCATTATCACGTGACCCTCACATGGTTTCTTGCCGGAAAGCTGGAAACCTGTCCAGATTCAGCAGCATCATTCTCTACCCTCCAAACCAGCAATATTTTCCAAGAATGGTGGGACATCCGATGCAGTGGTGGACACAACCGATTCTTTACCTAACTTCTCAGTTATTTTCGTCTTGGCAGACCGTGACTCCATGCAACTGATGGAACAACTGTCCATTCCTGAGCATTTGATGGAAAGGGCACTCAGTTTCGCACTTACGACTCATGGGCATTTTCATCTCAACAAACTGAAGCCTCTAGGATACCGCCAAAAACATATAACTACCCCAGTGGTTTTGTATTTTCAGTTTCAGACTATATGCGCACCACGTGGACAAGATTCCTGCCCAACACTTAGGGAGTAGAAGCGAGCCGGCTGGATTTATGATTGGTGTAATTCGTTATTCCCCATGGCTCTTGGAAAAGCGTTTGTACTTGTTGACCGACCACAGCGGATGCCCATTACAGTTCTACGAGGTCACACCACATATGGGGCGTGATAGATCTGCTTTGTTGAAGCGCTCGTCAACTTCGCCAACGGGCAAAAGGGCTTGTAATAAACAACAAGCCCTTTTTGTTGTAATCCACGCTGAGGCATCTGCGGCTGTTTTGTTCCCCACGTGGACAGTTTGGCGAAGTGCATTATCTTTGCAAATGGCTCGGCAGGTTTGTAAACCGCAACAGCCCAGTGCAAATCGATCTTCTGAAGAGAATTAGGATTGGACATAGCAAACGCGTCTGGGACAGTAAAGCATCATGTGTGTATTGTGAGGAAATGAGGAATGAAGGAGAGGGGGGTTGCACTAGCAGCAGTTGGCATACATATAGGAAACCCTAATTGGGTTGTACTCGCTATAGAGTACCCCACTGCAGGCTAGACAATTATAACATTCTGACACACCCCCATAGCCAAAGTGGGGTGTAATCAGCACAATGAGCAAGCAGGCATAGAGCAAGTTCACAAGGACAAGCAAAGCTAGAGGCATTCACAAAGGGCAAGTGAGGAGGAGGAGGCGAGACTGTAAGAGGAGAGGAGATAGGAGGCGACGGCTGAAGATGCAGACACACGGGCAACAGGAGTCACCACTGGCACAGCGGCTACCGGAACAGCGCCCCGGACTACTGGAATAACTGGCTCCGCGACTAAGTCGAGCGGCAGGAGCAACGGACCCTCGGGCGACTGCCGCAGCTGGCTACAATTGGGCTACCAGAGCAGCGCCCCGGACTACTTGTGCTACTGACGACACGACGACAGCCTCCGTTCAACCTCCCCCAACTGTCCCACCCCCTTTTCACACACTCCTTGCTGCACCCCTAGCTCCACTCCCACGTCACCCCCCTTTTCACACACCCCCTGTTGCACCCTAGGTTCACTCACACCCCACCCCCTAGCACCACTCCGTCGACTCCCACACACCCACCCCCCTCAGCGGCAGCTGCAGCAGTGGGAGACAGAGGAGGAGGAGGAGCAGGGGAGACCACACATCCGCCACCCCCTACTCGCCACCCCCAAACCCTAACATAGGGCAGGGCCGGGCGACGGGTAGGGAGGTTACGGGAGGGGGGGAGGGGGGGCGACGCGCGGCCTCCCAGGGCGCCAAAACAGGCGGTAGAAGGAGCGACGCTCGCCCCTCCCCCCCCCCCCAGGGCCCCCTCAGGTCGCCTCGACAGGCGACGGGAAAAGAAGGGGGGGCGGTGCACGTGCCCCCGGTGCGCTGCGACAGGCGACGGAGCATGGCCGGAGCGGGGCCGGAGCAGGGTCAAGGCAGGGTCGAAAGGGGCGGCGACGGGGCCGCAAGGGGCGGCGACGGGGCCACTGGAGGCGGCGACGGGGCCGATAGCGGCGACGACGGGGCCACTGGAGGCGACGACGGGGCCGATAGGGGCGGCGACGAGGCCGTTAGGGGCGGCGACGGGGCCGCAAGGGGCGGCGACGGGGCCGCTGGAGGCGGCGACGGGGCCGATAGGGGCGGCAACGGGGCCGCGAAGGGGCCGCGAGGGGCCGGGAAGGGCGGCGACGGGCCGCTAGGGGCGGCGACGGGACCGCGAAGGGGCGGCGACGAGGCCACTGGAGGCGGCGACGGGGCCGATAGGTGCGGCGACGGGGCCGCGAGGGGCCTCGAAGGGCGGCGACGGGCCGCTAGGGGCGGCGACGGGGCCGCGAAGGGGCCGCGAGGGGCCGAGAAGGGCGGCGACGGGGCCGCAAGGGGTGGCGACGGGGCCGCTAAGGGTCGCGAGAGAGGCACGCCACGGGGCGTGCAGTAGACAGAGTAGCAGCGAAAGCAGTTAGGTGGGCCCACAGGCCAGGAGCGTAGATGCTCTGATAGCATGTGAGGAAATGAGGAATGAAGAAGAGGGGGGTTGCACTAGCAGTGAGAAACTGAACGGGAATGAAATTACTAAGGGAAAGTTGGGTACAAGTACAAACCCTAGAAAGCTGTACCCCATATGTGCAAACACTATAGCCTACAGTAGCTATGTCATATAAATCTGACACACCCCCATAGGCAAAGTGGGGGAGAACAAGGGGTCACAAGACCAGTCAAGCAAAGCAAAATAAGCTCAGGGTGGATCACAAAGTCACCACACATTTCGAGCACAAGTTCAAGCCACAAGGCCAGTTCACATGCAGGATTACATATATATATAAGGCTAGACAAGCAAGAGCAGGAGTATATGTATATATATACAACAGTACAAACAAGGTCAAAGGGTGAGCAAGTGAGGCAAGGTAGGCACAAGACCCAGCTGAGCACAGAAGCGCTGATGATCACAAGGCGCTAGTGCCTTGGTGAAGATATCAGTAGTGTTGGCCTCAGAGGCCACGTACGCAAGGCGCAGCTGACCACGCTGGTGTAGCTCACGAGCAAGGAAGTAGCGGAGAGCAATGTGCTTTGTTCTGTGCTCCAGTCCCTGCTCTCGACACAATGCCAGCATGGCCTTGTTGTCTACGTACAGCACTGGAGGAGAACGAGGCGGCTCTCTGAGGTCAGTCAGCAGGTAGGTGAGCCAACGTAGCTCCTGTGCAGCCATGGCCCCGGCGTAGATCTCAGCCTCACAACTGGAGCCGAGAACAGAAGACGAGCGGGTAGCCCGCCACGAAACAGAGCCGGAACCAAGGCTGAAGGTGTAACCCTGTGACGACCGCTGCGTAGCCTGGTCGTCAGCCCAAGAAGCGTCTGCGTGCCCAGTAAGGACCACTGGACTCTGCCCTCCAAGCACAAGCCCCATGCCCGACGTACTGCACAAGTAGCGCAACACCCTCTTTGCTGCAGCCATGTGCTCCGGTCTGTGTCTCCCAGGAGCAACATAGCGTGCGAGAATGCTAAGAGGGTATGCAAGGTCAGGTCGTGTGCAGGTCATCAGGTACATGAGGCAGCCAACAAGCTCTGGGTACGGGCCACTCGACTCTACGGACTCATCCGAAGGCAGAGCTGAGAGCGAGTGGCGAGTAGGCAGAGGAGTGGCCTGAGGCGAGGAGTACGTGAAGCCGAAGCGCTGAAGGACCTGCTCCACCATGT